TAGGCACAAGGAACTACAATAAGGAATACCGCAGCTACAAAGAAGTAACACTAAGCAATACAGAATTAAAGATCTCAAAAGTAACAAACAACATCTAACTGAAAAGCACGTTCAGTTTTTACAAATTTTAATCAAGAAATTCCTTGTACTTCTCTGAAACTGGACACCCAGCTTACAAGTACTAACATGCTATGTGCACAGCTATTGCTCCACGGACTGGAAACCTTACTGACTAACACCTAACATGGGTTAGGCGAGAAGTTCTATACAAAGCTTGCATAGCAAGAAGCCAGGTTTACAGAATTCATAGGTGCCACTCTTCTGCAGAATAATCATTCATCAAGCAGTTTGTAATTAAAACCATGAAGCAGTTTTCCCAGTTTCTCGCTATTTATCCACAGATCAGCAACAACCAAGTTTCCTGTTAATCTGCCCCAGAAGGCTAGGAGACCTCCCCAAGCTAAAAGTAATTGGAAGGACATCAGACAGATCTCAGCTTCAATTGGATGAAAGGACAGGCCAGTCACAGGAAAGGCACTACAGTCAGAGTGAGTGTCTAAGGATTCTGATGGCAGGAGTTCACATTCAAAGAGCTGCCAAACACCTATGCTACAGTCCTCATGCAACTCTGAAGCACACTAAAGAGTGTCCCTGCACAGTGACAGGATGCATGATCTTCAAGACTAGGGGCACCAACAGCTCGCTTTAGGCCAATTCCCTTGACACCTTCCTTGTGCTGAAAGAGGGCAGCAGTACCAAAACCTGGAAAATCTTACCTTTGGATTTCCTCAAACGAGAGCAGCACTTGACTCATTAGGAGCATATGGATAAAACTCAAAGTAACATAAAAAAGGTACTTTGATAACAGGCACTAAAACCATAGCCGATGGACAAGTTTACTCACAGCCCTTCTTCTTTCCAAAGAGTTTTTTTTTTTTTTTTTTACCCGTCCTTGCACTTTACCACAACTCTATCATTGATACACAGATTCTTAGTTCCCCTGGAATAATGATCTTACTTTGTAAATTCTTCAGTTAAGATCATTCAGTTTGCTGCAATTCAATGCTAGGAATAAGACTAATCAGCATATTCCTCCAGTAGCCTCAGCTGTAACTCAAACAGGAGATGAACTGAGGTGAAAGTCTAGTCTGAAGTAATCCTCACACCAAATATACTCATTCAAGAGTATCACCACAGACATTCAGGAACATAATGACTAAAAGCATTTTTTCTCACCAGTCAAGTAGATTTGGCATTGCAGCTGATTCCATGAAGAAAAAAAAAAGAAGAATCATTTCAACAGACACTCCACCAAGAACTCAAAGATGCCATCAAACAAATATATCAAGCCCAGGACACAATATGGACCCCACGTATTGCCAGGTGATCAGAGGAAAAAAAGCAGTTACTTTAAAAGTAACTGCACATCCTCCTTCCATAGCTCTGGTTTTGTTTTTAAAAGAGGTCTCCACCTTCTTCACTGATGTAAACATGTCAAACACAGCAAGTAAATTGTACTAGAAGCAAGGTTTTCTTGTTCCTTCCTGTTAGAGATAGTATAGAAAGCAACAACAAAAGGTATTACAGTTATTAGCAATTATCAGCCATTACAATGAAGTGATACACCACACGCATTCCAGTGGTTCCACCCTACTGCATTGCCTTCACTGCACAACTTATCGCCGCTGTTGGTCAGCACAGAAAGGCAACAGCCACATGCACAACCAGCAGGACCCGCAGCACAAGTCAGTTCACCAAAACCTACTGTGGATTCTAACAGCACAGCTGCTAGTGTTTTGAGTGCACTGGTTTAATTTCCCTGCAGGACTCCTAAGTACTCTCCCCTACACATACGTGGCTATGCATATCTGCATCTATAATATGCAAAAATAAGCTAGCACTCATTTTTATTAAGGTATTTAAGAACATGGAAAAAAACAATGGTGAAACCTCTGCAAATATTTGAAGATTGCTGAAAACACATAGGCAACTTGGTATTTAGATTGCAGTAACCAGGAAAAGGTGATATAAATTTTATGATTAAAAAAAAAAAGTCTAACCAAATGGCAGAGCCAAGAAAACCCAACTACAGGGAAATGAAAGCAGAGACTGGAGAGCTAACAGAAGTGGACAATGCACAGCCACACTGGCAGAAGCTTGAGTTATTCCTGATGCAACAACTAAATACTAACCAAAGCAGTTTAAGGGAAGTAACTTAAGTGGAGAAGCGCCAGAATAATTAGGGATTAAAGCAATTAATCAAAGGGAAGGAAAAGTTAATGGAGTATAACATGAGTTCATACCCCTTGGTGGAAAGTTGCATTCTGAAATAACTTTTTGGTACTAGAGAAAGAAAAAAAAAAAAACACTAATGTGGAAACTTAAGAAAAATTCAGTATACTACCTTGTTATTTGGAGGACAGAAAACTATCAAATAGCACTGACTTTTTTTCCAGAAAATATAAATATGCACTAGCCAAAGTATTCTGTCAAATAATCTCAATGACAACAGAGGAAATAAGAAGGCAGTAAACAACTTAAATTTTCCCATGCCCTTATCAGAACAACTGCTGAGTCTAAAAACATCCTCACACATGAGTTAGAAAAGGACGAAATTCCACAGTGCAAGTACTCCCTGTAAAAAAGATAGGCTGTTCTCATAAAAAGTGAGAATGTTTAAAAGAAGCTGTACAACAGCCAGCTACACTTGTAAACACTGAAGAAGCTCTGACTCTTGTTTCTCATTTCACAGGAGAAAGCAAAATAAGGAGCATTAACCTCACCCTGCTTCAGCCCCACTCCTGCACAGCCTGAGCGGCCCAGAAACTTGCCAGGTAGCCCCCAGAACCCATGGGATACAGGCAGCTTTAGAAACACTTGATTTTCCTGATTTAATGTTAAATGAGGGTATATTACAACACTGAATTAAGAGAACAAAATAAGCCAAAGGGAGAGAGGGCCTTCTGGGTAGGCAATCACTTCAGCAACTTCTGCTTGGTCAATATCTAACACGGTATTTTCACTCACAGGGCACTCAGCATCCAACTACAAGATGTCTCCAATCATAAAGCACTAGCGGCACACTTGATCTTATATGAATGTTAAACATATTACATTTTATGCATATATTTTACACATACATAAAATCATGTAAATCAACCCTCATCCTCAAGACAGCTAAACTGCATTCCACAGTTTCTATTACAAGTAACACTATTTTGCTGGGCTGCTGAGATCATTAGTTACTTGGCATGTTAGAACTCAGCTCAGTGCTAAGCTCTGAAACTTACAAAAAATACCGTATTTGACATTTTCCATGATAATCTGTGCAAGAATCTCTGCTTTAAAAAAAAAAAAAAAAAAGCAGCCCACTTCTTCCATACTTGATTGCAGATGGAAGTTTGAAGCCACAAAATACAAGAGTTAGAAATAAGAGCCCAAAATATGTCATTACTTTGTTCATTTCTCACTTTGCCAAGGCATTTATATCACATTACCACAGTTAGTCTTAGAGCCAAAATCAGCTCCTCAGAAGTGACTATGCAAAAAAAACAAAACAACAGGATGGGGCACCAAGTTACGCATTCAAAATAAATAGCAAGCCTTCACCTAAACTGCTCAGAAAGACACTACGAAACCAGTCTTAAGGTGACATTAGGAAAAGTTTGACATTCAGTCAAATATTTTAGAACTACAGAACCTTTATATACAGAATCATATTTATACTGTGTGGAAAATGATGCTGAATACAGTTTTAACATCAAAACCATCTGATTGTTTCTACTCCGGCCACAGCTACAAGGCAGACTGATCTCAGCCAGGAATCACAACTTGGCAATATTTTTAAAAAGGGACCACGTGAATTTTAAATACAGCTTTGTTACCACGCAACACAATTAACCTTTATGAAAACACAGCTCAAAAGCAAACTACTGCTCACACACAGTAATTAGCAGAGAGAACTAATTGCTGGTATCAGCTCACGTGGGACAGCCACTGCAATGCATTGCTGTATCTCCACAGAAGTACAGTGTATGTCAATGGGAACAGGCATTTTCAGTGCCTATTTTACTTAGTGATCCAGACTGCATCCATATTCATCACCAGCACCCACTGCAAAAACATCAGTGACAAAAAGCCAGCAGGTTGCAAAAGTAAGTTGCATTCTATGCAAAGCTTACACCTCCAAAGAGTACTGTGTGCTCCTTCAGAAAAAAAAGAATTATTAAACATGAACACCTGTTTGTAACCTCTGTATCACCTGATTTGTTAGGTGAGGTGCAGTATTAACAAAATTTCACACTATAGCTAGTCTTAAACTATCATCAACTTTACAATGAACTGGAAATGTCCATTAATTATTTGCTTTACCTGCCGCAGCACGAATGGATCTCTTAGACAAATCCCACACGCGGGGGTTTAGCACAGAGCCTGTCGCACCTCGCCTCGTGAAAATAAATAAAGTAAAACGCCCTCACCCCGGTGCCAGAGCTGTGCCAGCAGCAAGGACACGCGTAACCCCGGTGAGAAAGGGACGCTCGGTTTTCTGCTTTGCTCCAGAACTTGAAATAAACGGGGAGGAAAGAGGTGTTGGCGTTGATTTTTGGGTTCTTTTTAGCTGTTTTTTTTTCCCCCCCCCATAAATATTAGCACCGCTGCCTCGGAACGATGGTATCGGGTATAACTCAGCGTCCTTCCCAGGCGCTCTCCTGTCCCCCGGCAGCGCAGACGGGCGCGGAGCAGCAGCGCACACCCTCGCACCCCCTCACAGCCTCGCCGGACCCGCAGCGCACGGCCGTCAGGGCTTCTCCTCGGGACCCACCTGCGCTGCGCACCGCGTGCTGCGGGCGCTCGGGACCGCGGAGACGGAGAGCGGGGTGCCGCTGCCCTCCAGCCCGGCCCCGCGCTCGCAGCCCGGCCGGGCTCGCTCCCGCACCGCACACGTTACGGGCCGAGCTCCCGTTAACCGAACAAAATTATAAGAAAGAAACTTTTAAAACCTGAAGCACTCGCGCCGGCTCTCAGATCCACAACCCGTCTCCTGCGCTCAGCTCGGGCGCTCCCTCGGAAGAGAAGCCCGACCCGGCAGCGCGGCGCCCGCCCACCTCGCAGCGCGCCCCGCAGCCGCACCGCTCCGCCGCTCCTCCTGGCCCGTCCCGTACGGCGAGGGGCCCCGCACCGCCCTCCGGCCGCACCTGACGCCCCTCGCTCCGCTCACCTGGCGCCGGGCCGCCCCTGGGCGGTGCTTCCGTCGGCGGGGGCGCGGAGGGGGCCCGGCCGCGCCGTGCCGCGCAGATGGCGGCGAGAGGCGCAGGTAGAGAGCGGGAGAACTGGGTCAGCGACTAAAAATACTGCCCGGCGAGCAGGAAGGAGCTCCGAGAAGCTCTCGCCCCACTGGGGCTTCTCGGCGGTGCCGGGCCGGGCGCAGCGGGCACCTTCCCCTCAGGCGGCGGCGGGAAGAGCTGCAGCGCGAGCGGAGCGGCGCAGGCTGCGAGTGTCGGCCAATGAGCGCGGAACTCCTCTTGCTTTTTTGTTTCACCGCGCGTGGCTCCGCGCACGGCGCGTCAAGTCATGAGGGCGCGCGAGCGGCTGCCTCGCAGGCCCGCCCGGCAGCCCGGCCCGGAGTAAATCATTAACCCGGGGCAGCGGAAGGGCAGGCCGGACCGCATTCCCCTCGCCTCGCCTGGCCCAGCCTGGCCGGGACGCGCGCCGTCGCGGCCCCGCTCACCCCTGCTCGCCTCGTTGGGCCCGGTGCTGCCGTCCCAAGCGGGGCACCGTGTAAAGTGCCTGGTTGTTCTGCAAGGTCAGCCTGGAGCTGCGCGGGCCGGAGATGAGCTTAATGGTGTGCAGCGGTGCCGAAAGGCCCGAGCTGCATCTTCTTAATGGCATAAGCTGCCGGGTTTGTGCTGAGTTTATGCAAAATAGGATACGAATGGAAACAGACGAAGTTTATGCGTTCAGCTTTCACTGCTGTAGAATCATGGAATCATAGAATTGCTCAGGTTGGGAAAGACCTTAAAGATCATCGAGTCCAACCGTGATCTAACCATACTACCCTAACTCAGACAACCCTCTGCTAAATCATGTCCCTGAGCACCACATCCAAACGGTTTCCTTTTCGCACTTCGTGTCACTTGCTCTTTGTGCTTCTCTTGTGTGAGTGGGGGCAGAGCCTGTGCTCCCCTCCCAGGGCTGTATGGAGGAGTAACTGCAGCTGTGTCCTGTGCCAAACCAGAGGAAGGAGAGTGTCTGTGCATCAGGCGCTCCTGAGTCCAGGGAAAGGAGTGTGTTGTGTCTCCGCACTGCTGTGAGTGAAAAGCTGCTTTTGTTTTTTTGGGAGGTTTTTTTGTTTTTTGTTTTAATCAGAAGTGATGTTTTTCCTGTGAAGAATGCGGACTTAGTAGGTGAACAAATGCTTCGTGCAGTATTAATGAAAATCACCTGTTTTCCTCATGCCTTGCAGGTTTCAGTGAGTGTGTTGTGGCTCGTGTCAGACTCCTTGACTGTGTGAAGGTGCTTTGGAGACTAGGCACCAAAGCGGTGTGTGCAGCCAGTGCACACACATAACATGAGATACAGAGGGAAAATACTTCATTCACCTTTACAGATCTCCAGAAGGTAAGCTCTGCCTACATAACATCTGGGTGGAGAAGCTTTCCAGTGCCAGTAACGCACCCTGCTGCCATAGCAGCCTTGGGGCTCATTATGTGCCCAAATAGGAATCTGTACAGATTTGGTGACTCCAGAGGAAATGCTTGACATCACACTAATTCCCTGACCTTCCTTCCATCCTCCGCTACTATATACAGTTGCTGGCTATTTATATATGATGAATATGATTCAGAATTGAACATGCCAGGAAGACACTAAATCCTTCAACCTACTAATTAAAACAAGGGGTATAGCATGATTACTTTGTTCCATCACCACATGAAAGAGGACTATTTGTTTTTATTGTGGTTAGCTTAGTAGTAACAAACAAAATATTTTATTCCTATCCATGAGAAGCGATCTTGCCTATCTTAATGGGCTTCATCCAGAATGTACTGGAGTCAGCAGCAGTATGCATGGGCTTTGAATTTACATGTGACTGCAAATCTGGTGAGATGGATTAGATCAAGAGTGCTGTCAGACTACAAGGCTGAGCATTGAAGACTTTGACACCCCAAAAAGGAATAATGTCTGTCTTTCAGTGAGTCTGTACAGTGCTTCAGCCCTTGGAAGGCAAACCCTTCACTATTGCAGCTGAAGCACACTGTCAGGCATCTGTTGCTGTGGCTGGACGTGTGGAGCAAGGAACATTGTGAGATTTTTGTGGTGTCATTAGATTACTGCTCATGTGAAATTGAGTGATAGATAGTTTACATAGCCGGCCTTTTAGCAAAGTTCACAGGCATGGCTCCAACTGTACATATGGAGGCTAATCTCAGTTACAACTTGAAAATGCCTCTGTCTTTGTTACTGTGGGGATGGTCTGGAAAGTATCAACAGATTGCTACATCTGAAAGCTCGTCATACTGGTCTTTATCCCACCAAAAATCACTGTACCCTGTGACTGTTTCATTGTGACTTGCTCTTTCATTTTTTGTGGTCCAGCTATTTGTCTAGGCCTTTTGTACAACAGTAATTAAGGAAAAAGAAATCAGCTTAAAAAACAAATATGACTCTTAGATTCTTTTAAACTGAGATAAGAGTGAGGGAATTTGGGAACAGTTGCATTGGCATTCCATAAAAATCTTCCCTAATTCAGCTTGGCTGGAATTCAGGTTGAGAATGATAGTAGAAGTCATTACATAGAGGAAATGTTTGTCAAATCCCATCGAGAAGGATTTCAAAGAAATGGCCAAGGATTTTCAATGCAAGGAAAGAGAAGAAACCAGCAAGACCACTGACATCTGTATAATTTCTTTATTTTATTTTATTTTATTTTATTTTATTTTATTTTATTTTATTTTATTTTATTTTATTTTATTTTATTTTTTTACTTTTATTTTTTTGTGTCATTTGTCCTTGGAGATCGCTTTCTTGGGATTCCAATCAAAAGCTGTTGGAAAACAGTTATTCTGGTCACAGCCTCACAAAACACCTTTCTTCTGTTGTTAAGTAGCAATTAAATGACTTCTGCTTCTTTTTTTTTTTCTCCTCAGTTCTTCTATTCCTTTTTTTTTCTGTAAATGTATGATGAAGAATGAAGTATTATGCTGCCTAATCATTTAAAAGGAGTGAAGGAAAAGAGAAAGAAGTAAGAAAGGCACAAAAACCTTACAAAAGGAAGAGAAATGGAATACAGATGATAACAAGGGAAAAGGCATCCAAAACTACGAGGAATAAAGTAAAGAATTAGAAAATCCAGAGCAAAGGATGAAGAACATAGGCTGCATGTCTAGACTCTTGTCTTAGGCCCCACATGTACTTCTGAAAGGGCTAGAAAGATACACTATGCTGAGATGGCTGTCTTTAATAATAGATATGATTGCAGCAAGTGTAAATATATTGAAATAGTACCAGGTAACTTGAGTATCAATAGCAATAAAAATGCAGCAGCACAGGGTGGCCAAGTCAGTGTTCTTCTGGTATCCAGTGTAATGGATGGTTTTGAATAGGTTATTAGGGAACTACATTTCTACTCCTGACTCTTAATGGTTGGTTGCACTGTACTTTAATATTATATGATAATTGACTAAAAAAACTGCCTTGTAACAGGGACTGAAATTCAAATTTCCCCACTCCGAGCCATATACTCTAATTGTTGCGTTGCAAAATGATGCTTTGCTTCTTTGTCCCAATGAATGTGGATTAGTTTGTTCAGAATAACAGCTTTCCAGCAGGCACAATGAAGGGATTCCACCAAACTAGCCTCTGGCCTGGTGATGAAGGGGATTTCCTGGGAAGTGAGAGGTGGGCATTCAGTATTGTTCTCAATACTCTGCAATACTCTAAGCTGCTGTCTGCTGGGCCTTCCTCCTGGCATGCTTTTGAAAGATACTGAAGTCCAAGTGCAGAAGTGCTTCAACATAACTCAAATGTTGTAGATGCCAAGAACATTGTAACTTCAGTATCAGGAGCTGGCAGCTCAGGTGCTTCTTACACTGCCTGTTAGAGTTTCTGGTCCAAGGTACTGGTGCTTCTGGTGTGGGGGCACCTGCCTCAGAGCTGTGGGCTAGGAAACCAATGCCAGAACTTGAGAGTTGCAGCTCTTAACACTGCACCAGATAGTCTGTTGTGGATAAGGCTTATCTTTGCCGTGCTTGGGAAAGCACTGTGTTGTGGATTTGTTCTTGTTCAGTGGTGTGCTCACTGGTAATTCATGGCATTATGAGGCAGACTTCTGTAAGATAAAATTCCAGCATGCTGGAGGTGAGCATACTCTGTTGAGATTTTTCATTTTATTTTTTTTAAGGTGGGGAGAGGGCCAGTGGAGACATGTAATGAATGTCGATAACTACATTCAATTTCTTTGGCAAGTGGTAAGTACTGTTCCCCTTTGTTTGCTCATGAAGACTATGTTTAAAGTGTTTCATAATATAAAGCAAACCTTTCTGGAGGCCAGTGCCAATTTTGGTTGAAGAAATGTATAGCAGCACAGTTGAAAGTTTTCATTATCTCCTTATGCTCAATTACTAATGAATATTCTTTAATTTTTTTTACCACACGTTTCACATTCATGACTTTTTTTTTTGCCTGAGGCCTATGTGAATAAAACAGTGTACTTCCTGCTTTGACAACATACTGATGATGTACGTTAAGAGAAAATCATTAGGAATAGCCCTGCTGACAATGTTGCTGGATGGTAACTTGCACTGAATCCTGTAATTTTACTTGTGATTTTACCTGTAAAGGCTGGAAGTAAAATAATTCTCTTGTAAGAATCTCTGGTATTTCTCATCCACACTTCGAAAATAGACAGGCTGTGGGTATATCCACTGGTGAACAGTTCGCAGATCTCTGGGCTGAATTAATCCCGTAAGTAAAAATTTTCTTCATATGGTATCAACAAAGCAAGGTCGAGTTCTATACTTATAAGCATCATTGGTGAAAAACCAGAAAGTATTTTTAAAGCTTTAAGCATTAGACGGTTGTACTTCACTTGATTCCCTAATGTAATAAAATTCTTCCTTTCCAAGCCATTATCAGTGAGACAAACCCCTGCACTGTATGTGTTATTAATTATTTATTCTTTCCATTTTTTCCTAAATGCACATTAAAGAATTGACTCATGGCTTTTAATACAGTTCTGAAGAAGAAACTCAATCGATAATTTTTGGAAATGCTTTCTTATGACAAATACAATTATAAGAAAGACAGTAAGTTTAATCTTCTGTGGTGTTAAGGTAATGGTTCAACTACTTTACTCCTATTAGTATTTTGATAAATCTAGATAGGGATTTTTTTTTTCTTCTTTATACTAATGATTTTTTGAGAATTTGTATATTGTTCTTACAGATATGTTAATTACTTTTCTATTATTTTTTCTAGTTGAAATACAATGACTACTTCTTCCCCCTTGTTTCTGTGGTTTCAGTTTCATGAAAACATTCTTGTATAACCTAGTGCAGAATTATGAATTTACTGTTTTATACATGTAGTTGTTATCCTTAGGTATTTTCCACGTATGTTATTTTTAAGCTTTCACATAAGGAAATGCATGCAAAAATTCCAGACATGGCTATTTGTCTGTTCTGATAGAAAAGCAAGCAAACAAAAAGGTTATGTAGTGAATGGAGGGCCCAGCACATTGCAGAATTTTCAATGCATGTGAGTATAATTGCAGATTTAATTGCCTTTGACAAGGGAATGAGGAGGGATGTTACAGCTATGTGAGGGCATGGCTAAACCTTGCAGAAGTGTACTGGTTGGAATGGTGGCTGCTAGGAAAGGTTAAATTATGGATTATATGTAAAAGATGTTTGAGGGATTCATATACTGCCAAAATATGAAGCTCTCCAGTCATACCTGCTGAGTTCCTAAGAGAATAGTGAAATTCTTTGTAGATATCAAGAAACCATTGAACAGAAAGAAAAATAAGAATCCTTATTTTCAGCCATTCTATGGGACCCATTGCAAGTTAGAGGAGAAATGGAGAAACTCTCCAAACAAGTTGCTGGTGGAGGTATTGCAGAAGTAGGAGAAAGTGGTTTCATCACTGGCCCACTGCAGACTTAATGCTTTGAAAAAATAAATTTTGCTGAAGCAAAACCATTTGTATTCTTATCTGTAGCTGGTCAGCTATTTAAATGGCACTGAAGATTACTTCCTTCTGCAACTTTCCTATTATTTAAGGAACAAATAAATCATACTGCTATTGCAGCATCTCCCTCATGAGGCTTGGGTGTGAGATTTAAGTTAGCAGGGTTTAGCCACATTTACACTGTGGCAACTGTGGACATGGGGATGAATAAGATCTTAGCAGCAAAGACCTGGTGATGTGACTTGTTCTGACAGGAGAAAAGGCTAAGCTAACTTGTGTATAGCAAATGCAAAGTAATGCATGCTGACAATTTCTGCAGATCAGCTGATGTATTACTAGTTGTTCTATGAGCTAACTTCATGGTACTTCTGAGATCACAAGACAGTTTAGTGCACCACGCTTCTCTTTGCTTAGACTCTGCTCTAAGAGTAATGGTCTTTCTATAGGCTTCTGTGGATTTCAGATCTCTATGCATGCAAATATATTGCATTATACACACAGTACCTTGTTACTGCAAATTATACGTACCGGTTGGAGTAGTCCTATGTCAAAGTAGTTATAGTATACGTAATGGGACAGAATCAATAGAGAAATGACAGTAATTTTGATAAAGGTAGTTCATTCCAAACAGAGACTTGCACCAATAAAATAGGGAGGAAAAGCTTGAACTCAGTTCTCTGTGGCAACAAGATATTCCCATCTGAACCTTAGTAAGACAGGATAGAAGGAAACAGTGCTTTGAGGAAGCTGCACTGCGGCAGCATTTGACAGGATTTCACACTGCTTACTCAAAAGGGAACTGTTAAAGGTGAAGAGCCAGACAACTAGAGAATGAAAACGTTTCCTCATCTCTTTTCCCATCCTTTCGAGTACAGGCAGATGAATTCCAATATTAATGAAAGGGCAAGCATGTACTTTTGATTTTGAGAAATACTGAATGCTGTTCTCCATGCATGAAAGGTTGGATAGGGTGGGAAAATACATGTAGAATTTAGAGTGAAATAATCCAATGGGAGAAAAAAATCCTTTTTTACATTTGTACTTGTGTTTTAGTCCATGCTTTTCTATTGCAGCATGGATCAGTTAGAGATATTCTTACGCTAATTCATATCTTAACCAAACATTATTGTTCTTAGAATAGGTTTGATTAAGTATTATTTTTGCTCCCCATTTCAATACATGTTCTAAATAGTCAAAGAAACGTAGCTAGGAAAAAAAGACCTTGATTGCAATGGCACAGAGACTGTTGTTCTTGGCATAACTTTAATGACCAGGCAGACCTTTAAGTAAAAAAATATATATTCCTGTCAAGGATTTCCCTTCAAGCCCCTTGACTTTCCAAATTGGGAAAAATATATTGTTGCGTCTGTGCATCTGAAGTAAAAAGAACATTCCCATCATTGGAAAATTTCAAGTAAATGAAAAAGGTATTGCAAATGTTATGTATATACAGCACTCCTCACCTGAAATACAGTAGGATTCATCTAGGACATTGTGTTGCTATTTCATACCAAAAAGACAGTGTAAATAAGTGAGTTTTTTGATAGACTAGATAAATTTTGAATTAATATTTTAAGCATGCATTATTTTGTCTATTGTGTTTTTTTAAAGATTAATTGAACGTGTAATGAACTATAACAAAAAAAAAGTTCAACATGAAGTTATGAAGTCATTAATGTTAACACTGTGTGGGCAGTCTCTTTCTTTTTTGTTATCACTTCAGTTCATTTTTCTGATAGCCCAGTAGTCCTGGATAGTAGGAAGTAAATTTAAGTTGCAGTAGGAATTAAATACTTCATTGCTAATTACTTGCTTTCTGTTAGCTAAACTTAAGGCTAGCATGTAAGTTACCCACCAAGATGCAACATCAGAATCTTCTGAAGACAGAAGTCAGTTTACTTTCAAAAGTGATTATAAAAAAACATGCGTGTTTTTTACTGTGATGAGTTTCTGAGTCAGAGCTGGCTTGCGCTCCAGAAGAGTACTCATCCCTGCTGTCCCACATGGCGCCCTCCTTAACCACAATCTCTTGCTCAGCCTTCTATTAGTGAGCATTTGTCAGGTTTTATAATTTTCCACAGTCTGTAATGCAAATGGTAGCAACAAATAGCATTTTATAAGCTCGTACATATTATTAGAATTATCTGAAGAATCCTTGTTATGTGTGACTGTTTATCTCATCATATGATACTTTATATGTATGACAGAAGACTGTAAAATACCATACATAATATGGATGGTACATACATTGACTTCTGGATTTTGTTTGCAACTCACTGTGAGCAGCTTGTAGTGGGTTTTAAATGGTTATAACAGGAACTGCTTACATTAAGAGTTACTGATCCTCTCTCTCTCTCTCTCTCTCTGAATATTGATATAATGGATGGTGGTGCCAGCTAAAGCTGATTACTTCCTGCTCTTTAGTCCTGCTGTCTTTGTGGAAACTAAAGCTGCAGATTTCCTTAATTAATCATACCAGTCAAGAAACTGAATAATTGTAGTGGAGAATTCTTCTATTGTCAGCTCTTCTTTCCTTTAAATACAAAGCCTGGATGTTAGCTAGCAGAGGTAATTTTTCAGGGACGACTTTGGGCATTTTTACCACAACATACTTCCATAGTACACCTATCCCAGAGACCAAATTCCTTACTCTGTAAAAAGCTTCCCAAATTATGCTACCTTAAACCTTAGACATTGCTAATAAACTTGTGTCCAGGTGAAAAACCTTAGGATTCCTGATTATCACAAGGATCAGACATAACTAGTAGCCTGACCTAGAAATGGAATGAGACTTAGTCCTTGAATGACATGTTCCTTCAGCAGGTTTCAAAGTATTCTGTAAAACAGGTAAACCATGTTTCTCTCATACACAAGTAGAGAATATCAAAGGGTTCAGTGACTTGCTCTGTGCTGCAGAGAAAATCAGAGGTGATGGGGGAAACATTTTTACTCCTATAGCTATATATTGAATTGTAAGTTTCATTTCTTCATTTCATGCATTTGTTTTTTGTTCTTCTTTATATTAAGAAAATGAGATCCACGGATCAGAGTGGTTCCATTTTTTCTCTGCCTTTCTAAATGCACAAAAATATATTTAATTTGGTATTGGTTCTCCTCCCACTTTAGTTGGATTCCTAGATGGGTAAATTAGCAAAATAAACAGTACTGCAGTATTTTATTTTTTTTCCCTTCAGACAATAATACAAGTTTTGCTTAAAATATTTATTTTTATCAGATAATCTAAGAAACACATTAATTGCTGAGGATTTATACCACACTTCCAAGACTGAAACTTGTTTTTTTTAATAATTAAACATGAATACACTCCAATGAAGGCTTTCTCTGGTATCACATCAGAGTTGCTTGCATTTAAATTAGTGGGTCAGGAAGACAGGACAGTGGAACCTTTTATTAGCAGCTGACTTCTCTCGAGTCTCATTTTACATTTTTGGTTCCAGCACTATTCAGCTGAAAGAAGATATTGTAGGTGAAATAAAGGAGGTAAATAACAGACAGGGCAGCTGCCAGACATCAGCTTCCACTGAGTTCTTCAAAAATATCTGTATTCTCAGCAATAGTAAAAAGAATCATAATGCAGCATGTTTCCTTGTGAAACAGGTAGTCTTTTGTATTCTCTTGGAAGAGCTTTTCATAAGCTATGTCTATGGAACAGAGTTCAGTATTTTTTAAGGCTGTCTTAGATGAAGAGGATGACCATCAAGTGAGAAACAATGGAAAATGTCCATATAAACTAAATTTCACTTGCTGGAATTATTGTGGTACTGTTGTTAGCCAAGGAGATCCATATTTCCCTTGCAACCACTTCGTTATGTTCCAGAAGACCTCACAAGTGAATTTGGTTACATTATTATTCTTTCAGGGTGTTGAACAGCCTGATGCTCCTTCAACATCTTTTAGCAATGGTGCTCTTTGAAAAGCTGCAGGATGTCTTGATTTCTCTTGAATTTTATTTTTGAGGGCTAATTAGCACACAAATAACAGAGACATTGTGAGACGTACTCAGTGAACATATAGCCTGCTATCACACGCATTAGCAAGTAAGTCAGAGATGCTGCGTTTTTCTTTATAGTCCTAGTTCTTTCCAGCTCCGACCGGACATATGTGAAGATTTTTTGCTCGGGCAGCATAGGAAAAGGTTGTTGATATTAGTATATTCTGAATTACAGAGCATGTATGAACTTACAGGGCTGCATTCCCTATAGAATGATATATAATGAATATGTATTAGAACTTCATAATGAGGAGGTAGAATACTAGAAAGGGTTTGTTGTTACAGCTGTGTTTTCTTTGGGACACAATGTAAATGATCTGCTTGAGGAGCAGATTACAGAGCTAATTTATCCCTAGTGTAACTTCACTGGACTCAGTTGATTTGCATGGGATTTTTTTCATCCCTAAGAAAAAAATCAAACTGCAGCTTATGTGACTGGATAAGCATTCAGTACGTAATGTCTTTATGTTTATTTTCTTGTTAGTATCTTGTTAATATGAAACTTCTGTTCCAGCTTTAAAAGCTGAAATATTTTCATTTACTGTTGGGACTTGAAAAGAAAAATAAAGTAGAATTTAAAGTTATTACCATGGATTGCAAATATTAATGACTTTTTTTTTCCAATTGCAAACATAAAAAGGAAGCCCTTCCTTCACTACTGTAAAACCTTTTCCTTAGAATTTTTAGGAGTGACTGGGACTCTCTACCCCTTTGACTCAGTACAGAGGAAAAGAAAAAAGAAAAATCAAACCCATCTGGAAGAACACACCTCTGAAGCTGTTAAGCCTCTTGTCAGGAAGAGGCAGTAAGAGGAACAGATGAGAACTGCACTGAGATCTTTAATTAATAATGCTGCATAGTAGAAATGGAGAAGATTCAGTGACAGAGGACTAACCAATTTCAGTGAGAATTACTGCAAAAACTTCCATGGGATATTTAAAATGTATCATTCAAAACTATTTTTAAAAAAAGGAAACTCAATAAAATCTTCTTATCACAAGATAGAATGTTTGTATATTTTGCAAGTGTTAGTAACAGTAACTTAAATTCGAGCCTATCAAGCAAGATTTGCAAGACTTCCTAGCAATTACATAAGGCGTTTGCTGAGTACTCCCTAATTAATTTTAGAGAAGGTGCTTTTTCCAGATAGGTATATGGCATTTCTGTAGGAAATTTCTGCTCTCCCTGCAGTTTGGCACAGGCACTCTCACTTTATCCTGCTGATATCACAAGTTCTTAGTCACCTGATAATGAGGAACACTCAAATGCACCATTTGTGTTACGATAGAAAGATGGGATCCACTCCAGTAAGGTAACATTGAATTCAACAGTAGTTGAGATAGGATCTCTTCATATTTTTCAAAACATAGAGAAGAGCAGAAGAATCATAACAGGAATGCAGTAGTACAGATACATTAGCTTAAGTGCTGTTTGGAACTTGCAGATTTGTTTGTCTGCTTATCAGCAAAATGTACGATCTACATTTGAAATGGAAGGCATTCACTTAAACAACTTTGATTTGTTTTCCTGTAATTTAATTATTTACATAACTTCATGGGGAGAAGTGCTAGTATTAGTTTACAAATGTAGTATTACTTAAGAAAATACAGCATGTACAGAGCACCATCTAGTGCAGGATATCACTAAAAAAGTCTTTCTACTATCACTTGTCTTCATTAAGCTAATTTGTTATGGACCATCATGTTGAAGAAAAAGCCAGCCCTATGGCTCTTGTGGCAATATAATTACTTGGGGGCCTTCAGCTCATGGCAACAAAATTGGAAGCACGGAAATTCAGGTAATCTTCTGTAAGAACAACATACTTCTAAGAGGAATCTTCTTATCGTCATGTCCACAGTGCTGGGCGCATACTCTCATTACAATAAATACTGTCCCATCTAGTTGTAAATGAGACTGGACATTGATTCCCAGAACACTTTAGTGACCTAATTGCCATTTTAGATTCCTTAAGTGCACCAATTAGCACCTCAAAGCCTTTGCTCAGTTTCTGCAGAACCTTAGTGTTCCCCAGGTTCCTTAAACCCAGGTATTCACCTGTCATGACTAACAGGTGAGATTAAATAATTGATTATCATTAAGAAAAGAAGAAATCAAGGAAGTTTAGATTCAATAAGAGGCAAGCAAAAGAAACAGACAGTTACTACAAATTGCTGAAGAAGGGCAGAGAAGAACAAGCTACAGGGTTAAGTTTTTCTTTTTGCAAGGGCTGTGTATCAGTTCTTTTGTAAGCAACCAAATACATGAATTTGGCTCCAAAGTTGTTCAATCAATATTCGAATAAATATTATATTTCTGATGCAATCTGTTTAGCATTAGGGTTGGATTAAGAGGAATTGCCTTAGTTAACTGAACACGTAAACTGACTTCTGTCCTGCACTAAATAAAGGTTGAAATGGGCCACAGCAACTTAGAAAGTATGATTTTGGATGAAATACTACGTTTTCAAGCCACCATCACTGTCAAGATTTATCTAATCTTCTTATTAAGATGAACAAACATTGTAGTGTTTCTCTTTGTACATTTAAATTCTCTCTATTGCATATGTAGTTTGGCTGAATGCTTGAAACACTTCTAGTTCCCCTGTTCTCAAACGTACTCTGAGGAAAACCCTACTTTTAACAGCTCTGTTTTTTTGTGGGTTTTTTGTTTGTTTTTGCTTTCTAACAAGAGAACAAGACGGAAACAAGTGGAAACTTTTGAAAATCTAGATGTAGAATACTTCCCTGGATACTTTCTTTGCTCTTAATACTTCTTTCACAAATGCAAAAGAGAACCCGCTGCTGAAGCTAAAAAAAGGAAGTATACAAACTTAAATTTTCATTCTTTTTGATCTAATGAGAATTAAAGGAACTTGATAAACCTAACAAGTAGTAGTTTGATCTGTCTTTCTGAGCATATTATTTTTCTAAAAGCCATGAAAAATAGCTTTGACAGAACAGAATATGATACTTAAAAATGATGTTTAAGAATTGGTGTTAGGAATAACAGTTTTGGGAACACAAGCAGTATAGCTGAAGAGAAGTTCCCACTGGAAGTAAGTAGGCCAGATTTTAGTGCCTCAGCTCTTTATTAGTGCATACTGGACATTTAAAAACAAGTGCTATAGCATCAAAGGATCTTTAGCCGTTCATTTAATTCTCTTTAGATTATAGTTTTTATTGTTTTGTTCTCCAAAATGTTTAGGAAGTGGAAGGAAACAGTTTAACATACAGTTATATTTCTCTTGAACAAATATTACAAGATATACTTCCGATCACATTGTTCATTATAAAATCATTACTGACAATGTATTTTACTTGTTATATCCTTGATTCTTTTTCTTTAGAGTTATAAGATTTATATCAAGTAGTATGTATTCGTTTTCAACTATTTGGGAGTTACTATGCTGTTCTGTCTAATGCCTCAACAATAACAAAAAAACAACTGGCCTTTATTCTGCTATCTTGTAAGAATAATGATTCCCCTAGAACAAGTTTCTACCTGTTAAGGAAATAAATAGTTACCAACAGCCCATGTCAGGCTGTTTATACTCACTCTTTGAAAGTAAAGAGTTTGTATATTTAAGAATAATTATGATCATTTTGAATTACATCATTCACATGTTTTTCATCTAGCCAATGTGATCTACTGCATGAGGAAAGGCCACAGAGAGATGGTAGGAATTAACTATTGTATTTGTTTACTGCTAGCAGTATGTGAGGTGCTTTTCAAACAGCTAGGTAGGATGTCAAAGTCCTTGTCCTGAAGAGTATCCAGTTGAAATAAACATACAAATGCATTTTAAAATGCACAAAGATTTGTTCTTCCTTAGTTTTATGATATCCAGTAGAGAAAAGGAGTAAAATTTTATATCAAAATGTGAGAAAAGTACTCACTCAGCTGAAGGATATCATTAACATTCTCATAAGTAAAGGAGGAGGAGGAATTTATGCTGAAGCAAACAAAAAAGTATTACTGCAGATTACTTGATTTCAATTGATACGCGTTAGTAAAAGTCTGTCTTTAATTTCAATTAAACATTAAAAAAATTATACGATTTGTCTTAACACTCTTCAAACGAGCCAATCTTCCCAGCTTTTACAATTTCTACATGATGTCATCCCTGGTTTTACAAGGAATTAAATCATTCTCCTTTGATAGTAGCATGATTTGAAAATAATGATTTAATACTGAAAGCTGAATATATGCATATATATATATATGCACATATATATGTGCATGTACTTAAGCCAGGCTGCTTTCCAGTTACAGAATTACATTTCATTAGGTAGCTTCCTAGAGAATGTGCTTGCCCTTCTCCATGGCAGCATATATTCATCAGTTGTTTATGTTGTTACTGACTGCTACAGTCTGTTTTGGTGCTAGGCACCCAAGCTATAGCTAGGCAAAGTTTCTCTTACAGTTTTTGTTGTACAAGGAAAACATAGATCTGTAACTTGATAACAGGAAAGGCCCAGGTAGCCAAGAGAAGAACTGAGAAAAAGGAGAAGCTTGGAAGAATAAAAAGAATTAGAAATGACTGAAAAGAGCACTCAAAGCTGTGGAGATTAACAAATACATAAAGAAAGGTTTTATGAAGTCAAGTACTAAGAACCTTAAATGCCAGATTTTTAGATTGCATGTGAAACCTAAATCCCTCTATACATTATGATAGTCTACACTCAAAGCATAGCTTACATTAAAAATAGTCACAGCCTTTTGGTAAAGATGTTGATATATTAATGTCCACAATATCTATCTGGTTACCAAAAAGAAGAATGGCAGAATTACAACCATCAAAAAACATAAGATTGAAGTGATATGACCACCACTAAAAATTCAACTGATTCTTGGCTGATGGCATGCCTTCTCTTCCTCCAGTTTCCTATCTCATTCTTTATGCTTTTTATGCGTGCTATGTACAAAACATGTTCAACAAATAAATTGGAGGAACTTACAGACAACCAATTTCTTCTAAAGTCTTGATTTGTTCTTGAATGGGAACTGTTGAGTCACAGCCTGAACCACTGGTTGAGCACATGGGGAAAGGACCCAGTCAGCCCTGAGAGCACAGGTGAAGGCAATTCAGTTGTGTGACCAGAAGGGATGGAGCTTGGCTGCACCTCTCTTAGACCGCATTTAAGGGCTGACTGTCAGTGGGGAAGGATCTTTCTGGAGATCTCTTCTTGGTGAAGCTTTCCCCTGCGAACCTGGAATCTTCTGATATAGGTGAGCAATCTTGTTCCCTTTCTTTATAGCATCTTTCTATCATGTCAGTCGTTCCATCACGGCACATTTGTTGTATGCCTTTCCCATTGTATTGATCTGTCCAATTGTTACAATGCTGAAGAAGCTATTTCCACAAGGAAGCTAAACTTAAAGGTTCTATTTAAATTGCCTTTTTGGATGCAATACAATCCATTTTAATTTTTGAGACATAATAGTGACAATACATTTTTTCTATTAAAAAGTAAGAAGATTTCCAGTTACCTTTCAAGACAAATTCTCCATGTTGATAAAGATATCCTTTCTCCTAGGCAAACTCTGCCATAAAAAAAAAATAATCCTGTAGACACATTAGCAGTAGTATTTATGGTTTATGAATCCATATGTACATCTTCTCATGTACATCTCAAAACTATTAATTACAGAGGAATTATTCTAGATTTATATAGACATAGGTAATAGCCCATCTGTTTTACTTTGGATCCATTTGCTAGAAGATAAGCCTTAATAAAATATTCAAACAACATTTGGTTCAAAGTGTGCTGGTCTGACCTTCATTACAACAGATTTCAGAGAATACCACCACCCATGCCAAGTATACCAAACTATTCCATTGTCTGTCTTTGCAGTATAGGGACCTTTGTAGTACAAACCATTCAAGTTGGCTGAGTGACACCTAGTGAAAAAGTAAAGAAAAGATTAATAAGACTCCATCTGAAAGGTGCAAACACTTCAGTTTCTCCACAAGTGAAAAATTCACTATGTTGCTAACAGTCCAGTATGACAGTTGCAGTGATTTACATCTGTGGACTGCATCGCCCCTACACACAAACAGTTTAATTAGGGCACAATTGCAAGTACTCTTAACATCTTTGAAACAAAAGTTATTTCTGTTCTACAAGTTTTCTAACATTAGTGGATCTCCAAGTTCTGCCTGTTAATCTGTCTTAATGAAAAATAATTCCAGAATCCTTTAGGTCACATGTAGCAACAGAGACTACAACAAGCAAAACTCTGGGAAAAAAATATCATGCTGCTTATTATTGTTCCAGAGTAGCCCTTCTGATATTATGCAGTTACCCACATAGTATTACACAACAAAACATCACTATCAGTTTCCCTTTCAAACTGTTGATTTCTATTTAAAAATACATTACATCTCACAGCTAGTATAAGAGATCTACACCACTTCCATGAGTCATCGGAACTGGTATTCTTTTTGACTGAACTCACTACTGTTTAACATACGGAAACAGAAATGCTGTTACAGATTGTTAAGTATACTAACTGAAAACAAAACTAACCAACCTAGCAAAACCCTCTACCAGCTCAACTTTGATACTCATTTGGTTTCTACAAGAAAGTAGTAAGCTTACTTTCACGTCACCATATGGAGAGCAAAGTATTTGTTTCTTCTGCAGCACACTGCAATAAATCTGCTTATCTGCCAATTCAAAATTTTGTCATAAGCGTTGTTAATATGTTGTTAATATCTGGTTGTCAGACACCACAGTATTTCAAAAGCAGACTTCAGAAAGCATTGAAAGAAAACAGTCCAAATGAAATTTATGGAAATTTTTACTGGCAAATCTCGGCTTTGCTTACACTTTATTCACAATGGTTTTGAGAAATGAAATAAAAAGATTAATAAAAGCCTCACAGGAAAATTCTCATACATGAGTGCTTATTCTCTGCTTATAATTTAAAATTATTTTTGTTAATAAACACATTGAAAACTTATAAATTGCAGATATCAAAAGTGACTTAATTTTTAATAATGATGAACTTGTATCAGACCTAACAATCTTTTTAGCAATACAAATTCTGAGTTGAGACAGTACTTCGTTTAAACACACTTCAAATCAGAATTGATTTTGTTAGAATTGTAATCAATAAATCCTCTTTTTCTTCTTTTGATGGAAACAGCCAGAAGTTGATTTTGTCAGCAGTAACATGAGCCCATAATAACCCTTAATTAGTGCTAGGAAGCACTAATGGCAAAAATATATTCTGTAACAGTCTGGAGGCAGACTAAATCAACTGGCCATACTGCAAAAACAGTTGGCTTATGACTACTGATAACAATTTTCTGAAGCAAAAAGTCAATAGTTACCTTAAAGTTAGCATAAGTTCCTCCATTCTTTCCAACAGGCTAGTTTTTAAAGCCAAAAACCCTACAGCAATAGTTTCAAAAGTACAGCCAACTCTCAATAATCCATTGAAATTTTATCTGAGTTACATATTAAGTTTGTGACAGATACAGATAGATGGAGTTGGTTCCCTGAAGAATGATTTAAATTTCTGCCTGGACTTATTGACTCCAGCACAGCCCTACATGAATGTAGCTGTGCTGTCTTCAGAAGATTGATGAGACACAAAGCCTGATTGAGACCTGTGGCCACATCTTGATGTCTGCCAAGTCTACTGTGGTCATCCATGCACTCTGCAACTAAAACTGGGGAGACTGGAGAGAGAATAAGCTCATGTCCTCATAGGCCTGTAAGCTCTTACTTGGCAGTTCTAAACCTACTGATCTTTGCATTACCCTGGAAGAAGGAAAGGGTATGAACTAAGTGTAGTACCAGAGAGAACCTAGCACAGTGGATTCCAAGTGAAAATCTCTGCTTACAAACAAGTGCAGAAGAATGTTCTCTCTGCAAGAGTCCATGATAAATGCAGAGCTGAATCAAGAGATCTGAGCTATTTTCTATGCCTCACTTGTATCACATCCCTTGGTATTCATATTATCTGTGTTTCTATATTTCATTAGGCTAGATAGCATAGAGCTGGCTACAAAAGATACCTTCACAGCTGGGAGCTCCTATACAAACCAGCCAAGAGCACTAATTTCTTCTATGTTTGCTCATCTGTGCATGACATACTTGTGGTCTGAGTGCTTTCTTTTCTTTGAGCCTGCCAGGATTTCAGGATACTACAATTCCCTAATATTCTGCAGCTTTCAGTTTTCTATTCAGCTTAACATAAAGTCAGTAGCAGGACACTACTACTACTAACTGATTTTCGTTATCCAGATACACTGTCACTTTAACTATGTCAGATACACATCCATAATAGGAACTAGCCTGGTAGGAGCCAGCTATCTTTAGTAGTTTTGTAACACCAACTACAAGGTATTAATAACTGTCAAGTTCTGCTGTAGAGCTACTTCTACAGAGAGATCGTTCTTCTGTACAGGCCAATCCAGTATTAAAAAAATTAAGTTTTTAAAAGACAAAAACAATATCATTTAAGTGGGTGATTATTCACTGTTAATAAATCTCATGTCATGGTTTCACAGTTTTATACTATTCAAGGTGTGGATTCCTAAATCCACTGATATCATCAGTAAAGCATCTCCCACAGTTTATTTTCCCTTTTTTATATCTTTTTTTTTCATGAGAACTGCAAGAACATTTGACTACATGTGAATATTTTCTGTATGCCTCACTCTGCCAACCTAAAATCCCTAAAACGTATTAAAATTATTAGTTGTGAAACACTGAGCTAGCAGCTACTTCATATCAGTAGTGCTGGTCACAGACAACTTATGGAAACAGAACTTGGAAAATAAGGAGTTAAAAAACAGGAACAAAGGATGACGCAGAGAGAAACAATGGAGTTGATTCAGCCTGGCAGCTCTTGCCCAGTGAACTGAGATCAGAATGAGAGAGTAGTGTGCTTTTCTGAGCTGCATTTTAAAGCTGTCTATTATCCAGATATATATGAACAGAAATGATATGGCTATATATATGGCTATATTTTGTATGTGAAGTATGTGAAACAATAGAGCTACCTATGTATATGATGTTAACATTATCAGTTTTAGTCTTCCTTTTAGAATTGCTATTGTATAGGTAAGTAGGGTTTTAAATTTCTTTTAATGAAACCTATTTAAAATTATTTTCCTCTCAGTCCAGTCATGTGCACTGACATAAACTGAGTGAGCACATTCCCATCTTGATATAGAAGGAACAACAAGAATGAAGTGTTAACTGAAAAAAATCTACAGCTTGTTAACCCGGCACTAGCTTAACTACTCATCAGCTATTCAGCAGTACTGCCACATCTGGTCTAGTGAAACACAGGAGAAATACAAGAATGAAGTACAACAGGAACATATCTGCATGACCTATTTATGTAAATGTTAATTACCTTAAAGGGACAGAATTGTCTCCTTCTTACTGTCTGATAACAGAATAACCAAAGCCTATGACAAATACAATTTCATAGATAAGCTTGGCCAGTGCAGTAAGTGAATCTCGGTCCTAACAGCACTGGAATCTCTGCTAGCAGTCAAGGACAGATTGCAAATATAATAATGATGTCTACTTATCTTCTAGCAGATATTGTATGAATACACGTGAAGTAGAGAGACAATGCAGATATAAAATCAAAATACCTGTTAAACCACCAACCAGCCTTCTCCTCTTCAGCACAATTGCCTTCATAGTTGTCATTGTCCCTGTCTCTAGTACTGAATTTCATTCCGCAATGATCAGCCCACCATTTTACTTCAGGATGAAACCCCCCAGTTAGGGAATCACCAGCTGTACCAGAGTATTCACCACAGCTCATCTGATAGGAGTGCTAATGAAAATTGTGAAGAAGGAAAAAAGAAAGTAATCCAATGTGTTTTTAACCTTCAGTATGTCAGGGAGTAAATCCACAAAGAAGAAACTAACCTGTTCCATTCGCTACTACTATTTGTATGCCCAGGAGTGTCATGCCACTCAAACACCGTACTAGTGAATAAAGGAATATATAGATGCTTACCAGGTAAAAAAAAATCAGTAATTTTATGTAGAAATAACAATAAAAGCTATTAGTTAGTTTAGAGTACATATTGAGAAATTATGCACCATTATTGCTGATAATAACAACCGAAAAACTGCTCACATCCATAACTGCTAGAACTAATGATTCATACAAATTCCACGAGGTATGAAATCAGTACATCCATATAAACCACTATTATGACATATTTGAAAATTCCAACCATTTGTAAGAAAGAATACTTGTTAACAAGGCTCAGCATAAATCTTTATGAAAATAAAGGCACATGTATGTTTATTGCCTGCTTATATAAGTCACATTTTCATTAAAACCACCAGTCATTATTAACTATTTTATTACCTTTTCATCTGCAACTCCAAATCTTGTATATTGTGCATAACGCTGTTCTCCTTCAAAATCACTTAGATCAATTCTTAAAGTATAGTTTCCTTAAGAAATAACAATAGAAAATATCTAAATATTTTATATATATTTTTATATAATATATATCTAAACAATAGAAAATAAAACTTGCCTATCTTGCTACTTCTCAGAACAGAGAATTATAGTAGAATATTAAAATACTAATTAGGTTTTTAGTATAAATCTTATCTGTACTATTATATTCCTTTAATCTTCTTTCATTATGCCTTTTAAAGTACATCTTGCTATGTTTTTCTTTATTCACACAATTCATCTTAGAAAATTTTAGGTTTATTCCAACATAGATTTCGGCATGTAAACAAAAATAGACCTTATGAACTTTGTGTTTTATTAAGGCATTTGAAATAGTGATGAAAGGAGAGTGAGAATCAATTAATATGCATACACTTAAGAAAGCAGTATTTCTACACTCCAAAAATAAGAGTTAAACCTGGATCACATGGTGGTGTAAATCTTCAGAGATCATTGATTCTAGCAGCTAAATCCATTTACAGGACCTGAGAATCTGGTCCTATATATGTAAGTGAAAATAGAGATGAATGTATATATATCTCCCACCGTACTGGTCTAATGTTGTAAACTTTTGTGAGTCCCAAAGCCTTTATCTATGCTGCAATATAAATTGTAGATAAGTATAACTTGCAGCATATTTGAACAGACCTGACCTTTAATATACAGTAATAGTAAAGAAATCACAGCAGTGATCTCCATGCATATTAGCTGGTTAAGTCAATAGGTAGCTTTTGTATATTCAGCACTCGATAGGAAAACAAAAGTTATTGTAGATTGAGTAACTATTAGAAAAATTGAAATAGCTTTTCAGTATTAGCCTAATCAAGATGACAAGCCTAGATTTACCTTCACATAATACCATATGCAGTCATGTAAAGTTCTGACTAAATGAATTGGTACAGCATACTACACCAGAACTGTTACTCATCCTGACTGCAAAATGGGTAGAGACAATTGTTTTAAGGTATGCTCCCGTCTACTGTTCCCTGTTTTGAAGGATCTCCCTGTATTCAATCGGCCTAATCAGAGCTTTCAAGCTTTCATTAGAAAATATTTTAATTTTTTTAAAACTAAAGTTCATACAGACTAATAAACACAACTCAGGATTCATGCTAACAATAAAATGGCCTGGAAAGAGAAAAGGAGCAGAAATAGGGAACTATTATCACAATACAAATCTTACCTTGATTAGTCAAGTAATGAAGGTTCTTATTTCCAAGCCAATATTCACCATTAGTCAAAACAAAATTTCCAAAGCCTTCTTCATAGTCAGTCCAGCCTCTGTAGATGAGTGTAAATGACTAATTTAGTAAGCAAAAAAATAAGTTTGTTAGGGTATTTATTTTGTCATACAATCACAGACAACAGAATAATTAAAGCTGAAAGGAAACCTAAGGACACCATGGCAAGGAGCCTATTTTCATCAACACCCTCCAACAGCTCAGTTCTTAGTGACTTCCTTGTAGACACAGGCAGTCTGCTTTTAGGTTCTACTGCAGCCATCTCTTCTCCAGGCTGAATAAGCCACTTCCTGTCCTCATAGGACAAGTGCTCCAGCCCTTGATCATCTTACTACCCTTCTGCTACCTATTTTTCTGTCTTACACTCTACATACTGCACCAAGTCCAACAAGACCAATGCTAGAATAAAAGTTTAAAAAAATTACATCTTAAATACTTTGGTAACTTAACCTAAGAGTTGATCTGGATCATACAGGCAGTCTGTGATAGAGCCAAAAATGATATCTCATCTGGAGGCTGTCCCACTGAATCACTATTCCTTTTTTTTTTTTTTTTTTAATCTGAGATTGTTTATCCATATAATTCTGAAGTTAATCAATAACTTACCTCCTTCTGGTTTCTTGTTTTTCCAGTTTGTTTCCAATTTTAATGACCAAGTCTAGTACCTACCTATTGAAATTCTGGCTGCCATCAGAACGTCTCTGAAAAACAGTCCAACCACCCCCTTCAGACATGTCACAGAAGGCCAGGAATTCATTAGGACTGTGGATAGGTTTCATCTTGTAAAATCCACTTTGCTTGTGGCCATCACTGTAGATTTCTGCACAGTCTGTTCACAAAACATCCATTGAACACAGTTTTAAAGTTCTATACTTACTAGCAAAGCCAGAAAAGTCAATAAGGAAAAATCAAGTCATGTCAGGTAAGAGGCACACATGAAAAAAGCTAGTAGAAAGCAAATACCTCCACAAATACATTTTTATGACTTTAATTCCTTTGGGTTAGGTGGTGCCACTTCGAATTTACAATGGTATAATCCACACTAGAATCATGTTACAATCATAATTCTCCTACGTATAAGCTACGCAATCTTCAAGAAACAAAGATGTGGACTTTCTAGATGTAGAAGCACAGGAAAATTGCCAAATATGAGAGTATGGAATTACCAGTGTTAGAAAAAGGAAACAATTACCGGACCTAATACTGTTGTCCCTTGCACCACACAGGTCCAAATATACACAGAAGTCTATCCTACAAAAAGTGTTATGTATGTCTGAAATGTTACAGTTGGCTTCATACCATTTTTCAGTCTGGTCTGCAATGGTTTCAAGGACTAATCACCATGTAAATCAGTATTTCAGAGCTCATGAAAATATAACAGTACTGTAATTATACCATCTTATCTCTTTTCCCTCAAGGAGTTCAGAAATGAAAGGAGTTATTTGTTTATATGTAATCTACCATCAAGCAGTCACACAGGAAAGTAGTATAGTTTTCAACATTTCTGTTTTTCCTGGCAGAAGTGAAACTGATTAACTGTAAGATTTTCCCTGAATCTTTAAGAACATGTTGGCTGAACTTCGAGGCTAGTTTGGAACTTTATGAACTACAACATTTCTGCTCAGTGAAAGCAGTGGTGAAGATCAGATATAGAAAATATAAAGAGCTTGTAATGAAAACAAATAGCTATGCCAGGATTTGGACATATTATAACAGAAAAAAATATTACTTAAATGACAACTAAGATGTCTTTGCAGAGACATTTTGACTGTATTACAGAAAATAACTTTTTCTTTCATCCATTATTTTCTCAGTAGGTTACCAAAATACTTAGGTGTATTTTAATTTTAAGCAAGTGTATTTACTGTGGAATTCTTCCCTCACTGTATAGCTCCAAATTATCCAGATCTATTGACCTTAAAATATTACAGCATCCTGAATGAAATAATGCAGAATCAACAAGGAAAAGCATTTACCAAGCTATTAGTAAAGTGAAAAAATAATCAACAGAAACTAGAAATAACTTAGATCTGTTATCCAGAGTCAATTTAAAAAAATTGAAGAATACACTTAGGAAAGGACAAAGACCTTTCAGCTAAATGTGTTTTTAATATGTTTTTTTTCCAGTAACAAAAAAGTCAGCCATGTCAGCCGTAACAACAAAAGAGTCTTCCAGGATGCTGAATAGGTAATTAAATATAGAAATAAAATTCAAAGTCAGACTTACAACAGATTTTAATTTTACTTCAATGGTGCTTTATTATGTGATGCTTTCTTATATGCCGTATTTTCTTCCAGAAGCAAAAACACTACAATTATATTCATACCCATGTATTGAATACCTTAGAAGTTTAGACTCTCTAGCACAGGACAACTAGAAACTAACACCAACCAAGAATCAGACCCCCAAAGTCTACTTACAATCCAATTATTGTTTGGATTTTAAAAAAATTATTTCAGAAGAGTTTAAACCTTACTTCAGCTATGACAAGTTAACATACTTTGTCTTCTTCCACTGTAGAGGGATCCAGTCACCATCAGAATGCTGTTGAGGATACAAAACCAACTTAAAAGCTGGATTACCTGGACTTTACAACTCCAGAAACAGTGACGTCTTGAGCTGAATTTAACTTGGTCACACCATTGCAACATAAAGAATATAATTAAGGTGAGGTCCAGACACCATAACAAGCTCCTATGGATGCTTTTGGCACTTTACAGGTTAGAACTCATATACCTATTCTGCAAGAAGTGTGTCCATGCCAGGTGACTTTCTGGATTTGGGATTTGGTCTTAGAAGTTGAGTATCTTCTATTTAACTAAGCTAATTGAACTGCTGACCATGTGTCCATCCTTTTCATTATCTTTCCTATTTTGCAGAGACATCTTGTCTCTAAATGAGATACTTAATTAGCAGAACATGGAGAACTTAATATATGCTGAAGTATTGCTCTCTCATACAATAAAAGGTCTCTAACTGGTCTAAAAAGACTAGTCTCTTATTTCTTTATTCCAATTATATTTCAATTAATTTCAAAAATTCTTTCTTTAAATGATTTTGTAAGTGGAATCAAGCTTTCAGCTCTCAAGCAAGATTCAAACATTAATTTGAGGCTAGAAATTACAAAACACTATGCTCTAATATTGAAGTAGTAGAAATAATATTATGACAGAGCATCTTTACTGATAGCACAACTAAGGATATTTTAATATTCCTTGAACTATTAGCTATTTGATGCAAGACTGTCATACATTGTTAACATTAGCAGTTATGCATCTTAAAGGTAAAAGGATTAGTAAGTATACGCTGAGCATCTTCTGCAAACGTTTAACCACATGAAGCTTTAAGATGTGCTGTTGGAAGATCTCTGTAGATTTATGGTAGTAGCACTTAATATCTTCTTCCTTCAAGGCCTTCCATCTGCATTTTTTTCCATCTGCCTTGGCTATATTAATGGAAATAATTCTGAAGTTAATTATAGGAGTTACTAGGCCTTGTATATTCTACACTACAACAATGATTTTGCCACATACAACAGATAATTATGAATTATTAAGGATTTCTTAGATGGAAATGCTTGAAAGCTTTAAGACTCCAGTGGTGCTGTACTTAAAATTCTTCAGCACAATTTGCATTTTCCTAACAAAAGACAGTTCTTTTCATAGTGCTAAACCACAGAAGCTAAATTGTCCCAGTAACAAGCATAATCTGCAATTGGTTTTCTTTTATGAGGAATTGGCCACTAGACCTATTACTATTGTAGATAACAATAAAATTATATCTTAGGGTTAGGTATTGTTTTTTATTTATAGTATTCCTGTAAATGGGAATTCTTTTATATTTAGAGAAGCATCAACTTGCAAATGACTACTGCTTGCAGCTGAGAAAGAAAGGACTCTAAGATAGCTAAGCCTTTGGGGCTATCTCTGTCAAAGAAGTCATCTTAAAATCTATCCAAAAACCAACCATATGAGTAGGTCATATATACGCCTCCTGTGTAATATAATTCCATCATTATATTTCATTTCAAAGAAATAGAAAACAAAATGTGGATTTCCTAGGCCACTTTAAAGATATAGATCTTTGTAGCAAGTACAGCCTTCTGTGTTATCATAGATGTCAAGGTGTCTGCACAACACCCATCTTGGTAACATAAGGTAACAATTGCTGACATGATAGAGATGTGAGTGTACACTGTCTCAGAAAAGATGTTGTACTCACACATAATTATTGCCTCTAAACTGATAATGCTAAATAGTAAATTGCAAGTAATGATATTTTCTGAAAATGGCAATAAAGCTCATTAAACAACCAGAAAACTACCAGATTATTTCTGAGAAAAATGAGTCAGCTTGAAATGTTTATAGATGAGGATAAGAGATCTAGACAACTAACCAGTTAAACCAGATTTCACACTTCCAATAGTTGCTCTGTCAAGATCAAGACCTACCTCCAGACCTAATCCTTCCCAGTGAACCACAAAAAGCCTGTCTGCAGGCTACTGGATTGACAACATGGGATACAGTAAGTACGATCTTTGACCTCAGATGTTTGTATGTGAACTTTTAGGATGTTTGCTCACTGAAAAATGGATTAGCAGACTGCAGGCTGCAAGATGGTACACAAACCATTGCACTCAGATTTCTATCTCCATGAGGTGTGTGTGAACTGGGAAACCTGCACTTCCAGAGGAGGTGTGAGTTACCCACCTCTGCAAGAGCAAGTATGTGCCTGGGACCCTGAGAATGTGTAAATGTGAACTGAGATAGACCAACAGTTCTAAATCTTGTGTGTTAGAACTTCTTGAGATGAGTTAAGGGATGTTTAAAAATTTGTAATAGTTTACTAACTTCTGCAAATGCCTGTTATTGCCTCTTCTCTGTTTTATTGCTGATAATGATTCTAAATGTACTGTTCAATGATCATTTTTAATTATGCACTACTAATAAATTAATAAACCTCTTCAATCCTGATTTCATTTATATCGTGAGATAGAAATATTTTCCCCAGGACAGCAGGCCTAGGTAAGAGATGAACACTGTGCTTGAAACAAACAATTTTCTGTGAGTTGTAAGACAATACATCAATGGTCCTGATTGTACTAAAGCTTCTGGGGATCACTACAATGAACAGAAATGAATAGCTTCATTTCTAACCTGAATACTGTCTTTTTCCTCCCAAGTCAATGACACTGTTTTCATCTCCTCTGTCACTGTACTGTATCTCTTTCTTCTCTAAAAGCTGTATAATTTTTAACTGCTGCTGTTTCACACGATGTTCCAGAAGTCTCACCTGGGCCTGAAGTTGTAGCTGCTCTTGAAAACAGTTCTGTAGCTCCTAGAGAGGAAAACATCTTATTATAAAAAAAATAATTATTGTGTCGAGTTTAACACATGAAAAAGAAAATAAAATCTAATATGAACAAAGTACTTTTCCACAATTCCCTACAGACCCTATGTTGATTTTAACCCCAACTGTTACCTCTATTTGAAATGATTTGGTATTCTGGAGTGTGCAGCCACAGACAACTTCTCTTCAGTGATTCTGCTACCAGTTCTCAGAGGTAAACATGCGGATGGGACTAAGTATACTACAGACCTGAACCTATGTAATGATCACTTACTTTCTGTCACCTTATCATCTACACATATTTACTATCCAGAGAGAAATGCTGCTAACATTAAGATTCTAAAATTCACAGTTTTAAATAAATTCACATTTATACTTTTTCAACTTCATTGTTCATTTGTAAATGCTTTTATGTTACATACTTCTTATGATAAGAATCATAAGATCACTGACATAAATATTGTAAAATTTAGAGCTCTTTTGGCTTGCTAAAATAAATAGCCCCTAAGAAACTGCAAATACATGCATGAAAAATAACAGTTTAAAATTTACAGTCAGTATTGTACTGTGACTTGTACACATAATTTTGCAATGCAAGAGTAGGGAAGATGTTGCAATTCTGATATGATCATACCTTCTAATCACATGAGCTAAAGATGTAGGCGTGTAACAACTACCTTCCCTGTGGAAGATTATGATATGTTAGAACACTGCCCTATCACACTTAAGGAATAGGTAAATCTGAAGTAGCATACTTTTATCCACTGGCATCAATATATTTCCATCATGCTCAGGCTTCATTTGTTTTTCACAAACACTACCACCAATGTTTCTTGTCACTTTCTTGCTGCAGTGATTTTTTTTTCCTTCTGATACAGCTCTGCACATTTCTATGCAGCAGAAACGTGGTTCTGGTTGGATATTGCCCTGCAGTAACATTAGTAATTCTCTACAACTCCAAGAATAGACTCTGTGAATTAGCAACAGTGTTGATAAGAAATTGCATTTTATTTTTAATTCGTGTGGAATTTTCTCATAATTTATTTGTGGCACTAGTTAAAAATCAGGGGAACTTCTATTACTGGCATGAAACATACACATAAACTGTCACTATTATGATGTTATTTCTGATATAACGTGTTGCTGATATCCAAGATAATTTATTTTTTGAATACTAGGATGCAATTCATTTTCAACTTAGGAAACTAACTTGATAGGTTAACATCAGGAGGTGGTTAGTTAACACCAGGGAGGTGGTGGAATCACTGACCCTGGAGGTGTTCAAGGAACGTTTGGATTTTGTGTTAATGGACATGGTTTACTGAGTACTATTGGTGATAAGTGGATGGTTAGACTGGATGATCTTGAAAGTCTTTTCCAACCTTAGTGATTCTGTGATAAGTTTCAATAAAGTATTTGAAGCTAAAAGAATGTATGTCCATGGTTTTATTAAAATGGTTCAAAACCATCATGGTCCACTTGGCTGTAGTATTCAGTCTCAGAGAAAAAGCATGTTGATCATGCATGCTGACTAGACAAAATGATCTTAAGTATAGGCCTCTGCTGTAAGTACTGCTGCAGATTCTCACGTGCTTGCTAAACTGCAAACTAATATATATGGCAGAATAAAAGAAGAGGTTATATACAGGTGGTAGGACAAGGCAGTGTGGCTACCTCTCTGCAGCTGTGCTGCCCGTACTAACCAGCTTTGACAGTAAATTTGCCTGCAGGCTCCAACTGCTTGCTACTGTATCCTGAGAAGCCATTAAAGTTTAACCACAAGAAGGAGTTGTAAAGTGAGAGGCACAATTTACTAAGTGACATTGTTTTTGGAGGGAATTATGAAAATCATCTAGTGACCTAGAATCCGTAGAGCCCTATCTTATTTGAGAATAATCCCTTCAAAATCTATTGGAATCCACCAACAGTATGACAGTGCCTCATGTACCATTATAAAACACCTGTAAGAGGCTATAACTTACTGCTATTCCCTTTGCTAGATATGAATCAAATTAAAACTTTTACAGCAATAAAATACTTTAAAAATTTGACTGTCTCCAGCAGACAGTAGAGCCCACTGTATGAAAACAAACTGAAGATAAATTGTTCTGTTTCAGTGAAGCAACTATTTGCACTACATGTTGAGAAGCAATTACCTAACAGTTGCTGACAGCTCTGCTTGTGGACATGCAGTTCCATACTTGAACTACTACTGTGTATTCACAGTCTTCATTTTATGCCATAGCTGCATGAAATACTTAGCAGCTAGAGTCTTCTCATTAAAACTAATGGTATAGAACAGAATAACTTATAAAAACCATGAATACACAAGAATTTAATTTGAAGTGTTTTTGTCCTCTATTTTTAGACCATAAATAAGCTTAAAAGAAAAATCTCAGAAGATATTAGAATAGGGGCTTTTAAAGATGAATTTTAGAATATTCTCAACTCTTATTATCAATGACTGCCTGTAACATTCTAACTGAAAAATCAAAAGAAAGCAAGCACACTTCATAGTAATGCTTTTTCCTCAGTAATCATCTATAAAAATCAATAAGTTTCTTCATTCTATAAGCAAAGACAATTACAAACACAGATACTTGCTATCCTAGAGCTAGCTAGGCAAATAAAAAGCTTCCACAAGGCAGAGTAAATGCGCTATAATGCAATGGGAAGTACAACAATAATGACAGAGCAATAAAGTCCTAGACTACAAAAAGAAAAGATAAGCCCAAAGGCAACAATCATAGACACCTTTACAAGACCCTAGATTGACAAGGAATACTAACAAGATACCCATTCTTTCACTGCCGACCCTTAAATGAGATCTGGGAAGAGGTAGATCCTGACTCCCCTCAGTTGGCCCTGCCCTCCTACCAGGTGCTCAATCACTCTACCAGCTGTGACTTAATATTTCTGTGACAATATGCCGCAAGCAGTTATGCTCACTTAGTTCTAAGTTCAGCAGTCACTTGCACCAGTAATTTTGAATCAACAATTCGATCTCCAAGGTCTCTGTCAGTTAGGATCTAAACATCAAAGTGGGAAGGACATCCAAAACAGATACAGGATTAGAGACTGTAGCAGAAATACTAAGTCACGGCTTGAAGCAGTGATTAAACACCTGGTGGGAAGGCAGAATCAACCTAGTGGAGCTCAGGTGCATGCAATATACCTGAGTGACAGGAAGGGGTGGAGCCAGGATACACCCCTTCTCACGACCTCATTTAAGGGTTGGCAGAGGAGGGAAGGGAATTGTGCTGGGGGTTGTTGCATATCTAAGGTCTTCTGAAGGTAAGCAGCTTTTTTTCTTTGTCTCTAAGTTTAGGGGCTTTTTTTTTTTTTTCTGTATCTAAGGACTTTGCTATTCTGCTATTATTGCTGTACTTTCCATCAGCTTATAGTGAGGCTCCAAGTGGTTTGGTGGAATGAGCATGTTTCAGTATTTCTGTTAGTGAGGTACAAGAAGGCCTAAATGGCTTTAGGAGATAGAAGTAAAAGAACCACAACCATTGTTTCTTAGTGCAAGTTGTAATGCTAGCATGGGAACAAAGGAGGATATAAAGCTATTGATCTCTTTAGATGAGAAGCTGTATGGCTACTCAATTAAATAAGAAAAGAATAGAAATATTTATTCTTCACATCAGCATATATACTTCTGTAGTCACTAAACTCACACATCAGCAATTCCTGAGTTTTGCCTGTCTGTAGGTATAATGCTCAAAACTAAAAGTGCTACTTTAAGTTATCGTCTCCACTAAATGGAATGACTGTCTTCAGTGCATTTTCTTACAGCTTTTATGTTAATGCATTGTGATACCTTTGTAGTAAAGGAATTCTACTCCCTCCTTTTTCATACTAGTTGTAATAATAAACCAAATTACTTTATTTGATGCTCTTGCCTAATTACTTACATCTTGTTGTGTATTTATGTGCCTGCTTTTGCTTTTCATATCAAAAACTTGTCTCAACTGAATACTGAGGTTATTCCCCTAGTTCTTCAGATTTCTATATTATTTCTTAAAGATTCTACTATCAAATCTAGTTGAGACACATTCTAAGAACTACAGAGAATAAGATATGAAATATCTAGAAGGAAGTCTAAACACAATGATTAGAACTTACAGAGACTCTAGTGGCAGCTATCAAGCTACCTGCAAGGAGAAAAACAATCACTATCAAAATCTTCATTCTTTCAAAGCTGTGAAGTAAAGAAACAAAGGAAAACAGTAGTTAATATAAACATTAAAGCTAAATATTTACACTTGATATCTTTAAATATTATTGGAAATAATCTAATTAACCTGTAATTATATCCCTATATTTTACAAGTGTAGTTTATGTTTTTACAATGTGTAGAAGTGTGATCAAACACAACTTAGAGTGAAATCAAAAGCTATTCTTTCAGGCTATTATGTATCAGGTTTCTGCTTGTTTCAGGACTGCTATTGAAGGTTACAGAGAGACGCAAATTACTGTGAAACAAAAGCAAAATAGCCCTTTAAAATACTCTAAAAAGCAGAACAGTATTCCTTGTTGGTTTTCTTATATTAGGAGGAAAGCCTCTTACACTTAAGTAATATAAAAATCTGAATTTAGTTATCTTTGAAGTAAGGAAAGTGTCTTGTGCAACTTCTGTGTCCTAGGAAAGGATGGAAGTAATTTTTCTATCACAGAGTTATTTCTGGATAAAATGTAATAGTCAGCAGCTTTTAGTCTAATGGTGACAAGGATCACATCTGTCAACTGATAGCTATGTATATTTTATCTTGTATGACCCATTCCATTTTAAATCCTACTACTTCATACAAAGATTATTTTATGATAACCAACACCATTGTATCTGACTGCTTTACAAGCATTAACTAATATAATTTGAAAAATTTCTAGAATGTAGGTTGTCTTTCAATTCACAGATGACAAAGTTCTATTATTATTAAAATATTTGCGTGGATCATACACAAAACAATTTTGAATTATTTAAACTGATGCAAGTGATCAGATGAGGGTTTTTTTCTGGTGAGATGAATTCATGAGAATTGTCTGGCATTGACTTTTGTAATTAATTTGGATTTCAGAGTTTTATGTAATAAAACATGCCTTTTCATGAACTGTGACTAATAATTATGGCAATGCAGCTGTTGCCACTGATTGCAATGACATTGTCTGTTGTGGTAGAGCAGTGACCAAACAGCATGGGCAGGCTATGAATGACCTGTATTTGATAATTTCAGCCTTTACTCCATGCATATCAGGTTAAGTATGTCACATCAAGTCTTGTATTCATAGGGTTTCCTGTATGTCTCTCACCTTTCCCCCTCTCTTCTTCCCTCCCTCTGGACAGATACAGAACTAATGTAAGACAAATATGGACATAAATACAGGGTGAGTGGGATTTCCTGGCTTGCTTTTTCACAGTACAGAACACAAAACTTTTGGGCTAGCTTTGGGAAATGCAAAATCTTTATCATTGGAGTGGCTATATGCAAACTGTTTATCTGATAGCCTGAAAATCAACCTGTGAAAATCAGGCTTTAAATCACCTTGAATGTATTTTATCAATTGTATTTCAGTTGTCATTTCATTAACTGTAAGTTTTCTAGGGAGAGTTTCACTCTCTGACTACATTAAGCATCAAAGAATGGAACGGAAACTGAAGGTCATAAGGTCCAATTTTCGTTCTTACAATGAAACAGTACAAAATTAATGCTTTACTTCCTCTTCTAAGAGAGGAGTTGTAATGATGTGACAGATCTTCACTTGGAGAATAGATCACCAAGAAACAAAACACAAATGATCCCACCACAGAAAATGGAAAACAGTACATTAAAAATATTAAGGAGTGTTGTTTCTTCTGCAAGAACATCCAAATCTTAATCCATGTCTCAGATGAAAACAAGTGCATACCTAACTTTTTTTGTTGCTGATGTTGGCTGAGTCTAAAGGGACAGCTTTTGCTGAGATATTCAAAGGTTTTGTTATTAAAAGAAGTTTGTTTTATAGAACCAGTGTTTGCCAGTTCAAATAGTTAAAAATAACTTGTGCTGGAGATACCCATTCCTATGAAAAACATCTCAGATAATAGACATGAGGCTTAATTAGCACACAGCATGGGGAATCTTACTGTAATGCTTTTGAATTGAAAGCACAAGCCCTTAATTGCTTTCTATATTAGTAAAAGGGAGGTTTAAGGGCAAGTCTGGTTAAATTTGCAATTTTATTCATATCAAATTATATGTATGGCCTAAGTATGTACTCTTATGATGATATGGGAAGATTTCTTCTATAATCAAATTCCTAATTTATAATATAATTAACTTTCTTTCTGCATAAAGTTAAAGTACCTCTGAAAATTCTTGCATCTCTGTGCCTGGGCTTTCTTTACAGGCAAACATGAGAATCTGTCTGCCAAAAGGATATCTACTGATATGAAGTTCAAACTTGTCTAAATGACAAACCTGTCTAAACTCATGCACAAACTTTGCTTTGTTAGCACAACAAAAATTGAGCCCATTTCCTCCTTATCTGAAAAATGGATGCTCATTCATGATTTTATCCACTTCTAGGCCTGGAAAGCAACCCTTATTCAAGAGCTATGCGTTATTATTAACTAAAGAACTACAAATTTGAATATGGAATTTATTAACTGACTAACTAGATAGCACAGCAAAATAGCTAAATACTACTGAAGCAACATATATGCAACATTAGCAACATGGTACAATGTTACATGACCTTTACAAATAAACTTTTTAGTCCATAGCTATCCAAATCACGCTAAATTCTTTCTTCCTCCTCCACAGGTAACTAAAATATTTACCTTTATCCTCTGGAAAGAACTCAAAGCTGTTAAATCTTCTTAAGCTTTTGCAAAGAATTCCAGACCCCTTCCCAGACTGCGATTGTTTTTGCTATTAAATTCTGTAGTGCTGAGGCTTACATCTGCTATGAGTCAGTGTGCAGGAATGTTACTGAGGAGATGCAGTTCTCAAAACTGATTGCAACATAAGAAGGATGATAATTCTGAAATAAAATAGACCAAAAATAACAAAGCATTTGTTTTCTTTTACTGCTGTGATCCAAGAAATTGGTCTCAATGACATTCAGCTTTTCTGAAATGGAATCTAAATCTCTTAGGCTTCAGAGCTAAAAAGAGCTTAACTGACTTGACTGATCATTAACACTCTCAGAATATAACTTACTGGTTAGAGCTGATATAATAAAGATCTGCTTAAAACAAACAAAAGAGAAAACAATACAGACAAGGCCAAGGAGAGCAGGGAGGAAAAGAGAGAATCCTGTATGGTGTAGTTATTTTTTAGCTGAATTGAAAGGCACTCAGAAGTGTATGATCTCAGTGACTCAGTTGGAAAACATCAACATCACTTTGTATATAAGCATTTTTAGATCCAGATGAATACAACAAACTTTGAAAAACATGATTTGTTCTGAGTATTTGCTCTCCAATTACACTAGTTCTTTCCAATAGTTCAGCAAATTTTCTGGACTGCTTCTAGACAAAGTGCACTCTTAAGGAAATACAGAACAACAGAAATAAAGAGCTTTACATCCTACAAATACCCTTTCAACTTACTTTTGAAGACAAACACTTGTTGAACCTTTAATTTTTTTCTTATCTGGAACCCCATTACCTAGCAGTATCTCTCTTTACTATTTACATTACATTTTAACTGAACTGAGTTTAAGTAACTGAAATGAGTTCCTCATGAATGGCCAATGCTAAGAATCATTAAAAAGAAGTGATCAGCAGTTAATTTTCATGGGGAATCTTACTGTGGTTATTTCCTTTAGGAAGGAGGTATTGTAACTGTTCATAGCATGACTCCTGACTTAGCTCATAGAAGTACAATACTCAGTGTATAGGCTCTAACTGAGAAAGTAGAAAAAGGCATGATGTTTTCAACTGAGATTTATTAAGGATTCAAACAAATTACTGAGGACTAGAAGTAGATTCTTTGCCATTTAATCTTTTTAAACTAAGACTAGATGGCTGTGGCTCAGCTAAACATGACTGAATTCAGAGCAAGAGCTGTATACAGCAACAAGTCAAATCTGTTATTCAAGATGTCTATAAGCTACATATCAAATGAGTGGTTTTATAAGAATAAATATATTAAATAGAGGACTCTTTAAAGAGTATGCAGATAGAAGTAATATAAGTACAAAAGGAGAAGACCTGGCTGCTCACACAAACTTCCTTTGGATTTGCTGTTCCTGGGAGGGTTTTCACAGAAGTGTAGAAACACATGCAAGAATTATTAATTTTTTTTTTCAGGTTTTCAATGAAAGTACATTTAAAGAATAAAATTATATTACTCATTTTAACACTAAACCCACATGCTTATCTCCCCTAAGCAAGGCAAAATCCAAAAATAAAATCCTTTTATTTTTGAAAAAGTTTTCAGTAAATAGCTAACAAAGGAATGCAGTAGGCTTTACTCCAAGTATATTAGAACTTTCAGCCATGTATTTCCTGAGATATTTTATCTGGTAGCAGTTCAACAGCTTATAAAATCAGAAAATATGGGATTTCATATCACCCTTTTATCATTCAGTTTTAAAAGAAATTGAAGCTCATAAGAAGTGTTTGTGGTACAATCAATCATCAATTTTCCATGATAAAATCTAATATAGGTATTAAATGCTATTTATAAAACTGACTTTTATCTAGGAAAGTTTTAAATCACAAATGTCACATAGAAATTTGAGAGGGTCAAAGATTGTACAATGATGACATGGTAACTTTGTGCTTGCCAAAAAAGTACTTTCATTCCATCTGTTACAAATTATTTTGTTTGTATTCATCTCAGGATTGTTTTGTTTAATGCTAAGAGTAAAATAGAAGACATGTAATGGACTCCTTTTGAGGTTTGACTCAAATCACATTTGAAAACATGCATTCACTATTACATATCCAACAAGGGGCAAACAGTCTTTCACATTTTCTAAAGAGTAACAACAATATAAAGAAATGCTTTTAAGTGGCTGTTTAGTTTCTCAGCTTAGCCACCAGGCTTTTTCTGAATATGATACTTAATTATCCCCAATAATGTGTAAACATAACAATTTTGTTTGTTTGTTTTTCACTTTGTCACTGCAACAGAGCTGAAATTAAATATAAGCCAAGTTCAGCTTTATGCACTTTTTCCTTTGTATATTTGTTTAAAGGTAGCCTCCTTTACAATAAGTGAATAGATTTTTTTCCACCAACTAACTCTAAAATTGTCTCCCATGTTTATAATTAAATCTGACTCAGTAGTTATCATAATTGATAATGTGCCAGTTGCCAGAATACTGTTAGATCTTCATGTAATTTTATTCTACAAATGAAAATGCTGTATAAGAGGTTTACACGAATTTCTCATGGCTGTCTGCATAGCTGGCTGCCATGTTAAATGGCTTCCAGTCTTTCAGAGACCATTGATGAAGATGATTCCAATGCCCTTCATTTGTGTGGGGCTACTTTAGAATGTTCAACAGTTCACTTGGACTGTATTTACTGAAGATTAACTTAAAAGTTCAATGAGTAAAATAAAGAAAAACTACAGTGGTTTTAGTCAATGGTTTGGCCTGCAATAAGTTATAGCCACTGAATTTCTAGAAGTTAAATATACTTATTAGTCATTTTATAGTTTGGAGCCACATATGACATTGTTTTTTCATAGTAATTTCAGCATTAATATTCTCAGTGATCCTACTTACTAAAGCTATTCAGCACTTCAAGATTCCTATGGAATAATGTAGAACAACTTAAAGGGAATCTTAGTTAGAAGACCACATCTCTCTTATGTGGACTACTCATTCACATGAAAGATGGTTATATCAAAGTATTAAAATAGCTACATAACCATATAAAGTGACATGCTCATGAGGTGTTCATGATGGGCATTTTTGATCCAATTATTATTTATAGGATAGCCTATGATGTTCTGTTGTACCAAACATAACAAATAATCAAAATGACTCAGTATCACTGTTCACTGTAGTTCTCCACATATTTGGCACTACCATGAATTACTTTCTTTCCCACGGTTGCTCTACTGACATTTTCCCCAATTGTTGCCTTCCTCCAATATTTTACTCTTCTGCTTCCTTCATTCCAGTGATGTGCAGTTCCATGAGGTAACATCCCATGCCACTTCAGTGATGCTCAGGCTTCAGGAAAGCTACCTGAATCTGTGATCCACCAGAGGTCTCAGTCTTTAGAGCAGACAGTGGCTATATATTGTTTCACTTTCCTATCTGCCTAAGCTATATAATGTACTTGCTTATGCATTACAGTTAACTATTCCACTCATTAAGTTTATAAATACTTTGCTTTTCATACCAGATGAATGAGAGTGCTACAAGCCAATACATTGCTTGCTTTTGGACAAATAAAAACTTAACAGCTCTTGATTCTTTTAACATGCAGTCTTCAAAATGGCTTGCCACAATTCCATTCAGAGCAATGGAATATTCAGGAGTACTGAAGTTAATTTATAAATTTCTACAGATTTCATCCACTGTAAATTAAATGCACAGAGTGACCAGGACCTATGACTGCGTTGTAAAGTACATTAATAACAGATCTAAGTTTTGCATAACTACATGATGAATTTGAAATGTTAGGACAATGAATGTGATTCCCTGATGAGGCCAAGAATTGAAATGACAGAATGTACTTATTTTTTGATGTACTGTTCTAGTATATGACAAACTTCAGTCTTTAAATAATTAACCTCATTTTGTGTAGTCTTCTAAGAAACAAGTATAAAATTTAGACATGATACAGAAATCAGCAACAAACCTTCATTACCATGGGCAGTAAGTAAATTCAGTGCAATTAAACATTTTATAACACTCCAAATATTGGGAAATCTTAACATTTCTCATTAAAAAAAAAAAGCAGTTCATCCCATAGATGGTAGCAACAGCAGTATTATTAGCATAGATAGAACATATAACAGAAGTTAAAGGTGTAATGAGCATCTAGAGATGTACACATCTCAAATATGAATTAAGCTCTGCTGTGTGGAAGAGTATATGGTCGACAGGTGAAGATGTTAGTGCAAGAGCATTGAAGAACATTCTTGTCCTTTGATTCAATTCAGAGGGAGAAATATATGTGGTACTTCCAAGATATGCAATCATTTAATCTTTCTTCACATTTTTTAGGCTTTCATTTTTCCTTCAGTCTGGCAGGTATTTAGATAGTGACTCCAGAAATCTAAATAACATGGAAAATGTTGTAATGCACAATGACCATTCCAAGTATTATGAATTGAAAGCTGTTCCTACTTACTTGTCTGAGGAATCTGCAGATATGCCGAACTCGAATCTATCATTTTAGAACAGCCATTTTTAAGTGCTTTTGCTAGCCAGGGGATGAACTGCAGATGTTATTATAGAACCAGAAACAAACAAAATAAGTAGATGAGACTGTCATAAATAAAAGTACAGTGTATCAGAGGTAATGTTGAACTAAACAACAAAGATGGACATGCAGATTAAGCACTTCATTTGGAGGTTGTTTGTAAAAACTGGATCTGAAATTAAAAGTGGAACAGTGCTTACAACCTTGCTAGTTTCTGTGCTAGAGATCTCCTTTAAAATGATCTTCAAAATGGGCTGTAATGGAGCCTGCCTTGAAAGCAGAAAACGAGAATACATATGCTCCTAGGGCTGCTTAAGCAGGGCAACAGCAGTCCTCTTGATGTGTTTTGGTTGTGTTATGTAAGCATGCTTAATAAAACCAAACTGATTACATCTTATCTCCGCCCCATCAATTATACAACTAGAAAATATCTTTCCAATCTAATGTTATGCAAAAATAGGAAAAAATAACTTCAGTACAGTAGTCTGATAGATGGTATGTAGCTATATTTTATGGTATACAAAGCATTTTTTGCAAGAAAGATCTTTGACAAAATAATCAGAGCAAACAACTACTGTTTAACCAAATGCCGTGATAATGACTGCCTTTGCTTCAATGTAGTTTAACACAATTCTCCCCAATTACTCCTCCTCATATCTCTTCACTCTCAGTTAAACTCTAACCCTTCACTTCTTGTCACTAGTCTTTACATGTACTTTGTCTGCTTTCTTTCCCTTCAGTATAGAATAAAGTAAAATTAACAAGGTAAGGACAGCAGATATGCGAGGAAAAAATCACATCTCTGATAGTCTAATTGTGATTGAAAGCTACCTCAAACCATAATTTATTCAGTTTCTGTGATGGTGCATTCATTAGCGTGTCTACTGATGGAAGGACTTATAACAGAAATCTTTGCAGCAGGAATTAGTGTCATTCTGTAGGCTTAATTAGCATAGAAATGGGACTTCCCGAGGAAGGTGGGTTTTTTTGTTTTTAATTAACAAAACATTCTATAAGCCATATTGTGTTGGCTTACAGTTCTGTCCAAATTCTGAGATGTTATTTTAGGACTGTAACAGAGAACAACTTAAAATAATGCTCCTTGTAGTGCAATCTAAGATTCCTGAATGCTTATTATACCTTTTTTAGTCGCCCACCTGCAACAACAACAACAAAATAGTATTGAGGAGCTGGTACTGTTTAATTTCTTTGGAATTAGTTATTTATTAATTTTGGTAAGAAAAAACTCACAGCCAATTCCAGAAGAGAGATAGTAAGAGAGATAGCAAAGCAAAAAGAAGAGAAATATAATTCAAATGGCAAGTGGAAATCAGTTACAATGATCCTGTAAGGGCTTAGAAGAGACACACTATGAATACATTATGTGTAATTGTAAGGAAGGGAAAATATGCAGCTATAATATTTAGATCACAGTAAATTCTAATATCTATTTAATTTATTGGGGTTTTTTTTCCCTTAACTTGCAATTCTTTATCTGTGTGTATTTTAAGAGTAACCACAGTAAAAAAAAAATAAAAATAAAAATACAATGGTAGTCATTCTACTATGGGCATTTTTTTTTCCTCTTAAATTCTGCTTCCACCTGCTGGTCAGTGGAAGGTATGCCACCATGACAATATAAAGCCAACAGCAGCCTTGTCAGTAATGTGCTGAGTATCCAGGCGTGATACCCCAGGCCAGGATAAAAGGACATTGGTGAAGTATAATATAGTTGAATAACATCTATTCATTACATGCAGAGTTTCTCTGTTGCAGATTCTTTTTGAAGTGATATACTTACAGATATACAGTCATGTAGCCAGTGGTAGAAATTGGAGCAAAATGCTGTGATGACTCATCTTTCACACACTATGTATGGTCCAGAACTATTCCTTCAATTCCCAGGCAACTGCTGGGGAGAAATACAGGTATTTATTTATATTTATAGAAAAATTTTTATTTCACAGAGTTTGTTCCTTTACTAAGTTATAGGCTAATGTGGTGTTTTTTTTTTTTTCCTCTTGGATCAAAACACATTCATATGATAACACATGGGGATTTAACTGTACTTCCAGGCAGCATCAGTAGAATGCCTCTAGCCCAGGTTGAACCCTGAGGCTTAGGCAATGCTTTGTTTCTTCTCTGGAAGTTCAGCATAATGCATATCTTAAACATTGTAGCTGGCTTTTCCTATTGTGACAGTGGGACATCCCCTCCTGCCCACTGTAAAGCATTCTCCCCCCACCTCCCAAACCAGAAAAGAATTAGGCAGTATTTAAACTGTTTCCTTTTTCTTTTTCCCGTATGTTTCCCCTTCCCCCAGAGAACACTGTTAAGAACCCAGACCTGCAAAGTACAAGCACTAAAGCAAGTAGCTGAGCAAGCGCAACACCAATGCAGGAAAAGCAGAAAAACAGGCGGGATGGATTATAAGGATTCCCGCTTTTCCACCGTTGTATTTTTCAGCTATGAATTCGTACAGGTAACCAAACAAATGCAGACAGAAACACACTCTGTAAGTCGACGTTGTCCTAAAGAAAAAGGACTCTGAACGTTTTTCGCGGCTTGTGATTTTGATGTTGTTATTTTACTAGTCTGCTAGCCTGGTAAAGTCACTTACAGAGTACACCATTTTCGTGTTTCGTTTTAGAAGCAAAAAGTGCCCGATGATACGTCAGCAGGCAGCCCCCGCGCCGCCAGCGCTGGATACGCGCTAATTCAGTTACGGTCCTGAGCGCTGTTCTGACTGAAAAACTACAGCTCCCAGGAGGCATTGCACCCGAGTAGCGTAGGCGCGAGAGCGCTCCCTGGAGCATTGCATGCTGGGAGTTGGAGTTCCCGTCGCGGTGCGCTGGGGCGGTTCTCAGCCGATAGCGCCGCGGGACTGAGACTCGTAGAAGCGCGGGAAGAGCCGGGCACGCCACTCAGCCGTCACGCGGTGCAGCGCAGATGGCGCTTGCGCAGCGCGGAGGGGCATGAGCGAGCCGCGTTACTAGGTAACCGTGTGTATCCGTCCGCGGGGCCCGCCTCCCGTTCCCCTGGCGGTGCGGCGAACAAGATGGCGGCGGTGGCCTTTGAGGTAGTGCTGTGAGCCCCTCGGCCTCCGCTCTTCTTTGCGGCTGGAAAGTGAAGCCTTCGACCGGGCAGCCCGGGAGCGGTGAACGGCGGTGGAGGAGAAACCAGGCCCGGCTGCCCTCCTCTCCGCCGCGGGGTGAGCCGATCTTCTCGGAGGCCTCAGGCGGCCGCCCGGCGCGGGGTCGTGCGAGCGGGAGCCGATTGGCGAGGAGGGGGCTTCGGCTCGCTGCTCGGGGCGGTGGCGAAGGCCGGGGGGAGACAGCGGGCCCGGAGACCCCGCGGAGCGGCAGGTCGGACACGCCTGTCCGCTCTGGGAAGAGGCGCGTTGCCCTCTCTCCAAGGAGACGCCGGCGGCAACGGCCGCGGCTTTGCCCGAGGCGCTCGGAGCAGAGCCCGCCTTCCTCGGCGCCGTGAGGGAGCGGGAGGCCTTCGGCGCGCCTCACGAAGGCCCTCAGGCAGCAGCGCTACTCTGCGCTGCCCGTGACGGCGGGAGCCGCCGGGCCCTGAACGCGCGCTGCTGCAGCGGGTGGTCCTTGGTGTGGGTGATTAGGTCTGTGGCTCTCCTTGCTTCCGTGCGGGCTGCGCTGTGCGGGAGAGAGCTTTCACTGCCGCCTGTGTGTCGGTATTACTCGCTTGGCGATGCCGTCTAGGTGTTCGATGACTTAATGCTAAATTACGGTGCTCAGTGAGGAGTGCGTATCCAAAATGATGAATTTTAAGAAGTACTTGATTTCATTTTCCGTCTTTATGGCTCTGCGGTGGCTCTTTATGACTTTGAGTTTTTTTTGTTTAGCCTTTTCAAGCTTCTGAGCACAAAGGGGAGTATTGCTCACATCTCTTGCAACTGAGATGAATGCTGTAGTAGAAAAGAGTGCCAACAGCGAATCCACTGCAGAAAAAAAAATCTTGCATGTCTTATGTATTTTCATTATATTAGCATGTCTTCTTGTGATGCTTCTGGCAATTTGCACGTTGCTGTAAATTGCAAAATGTGTGCAACTATAATTGTGTAGATGGTTTGATGTGTAAATGTTGTGACTGTAATCTCGTATGCTATTTTCTCATTACTGTGGTAAGCATACTTAAAAGGGTTTTCATCTCCCTGGTAAATATTGCGAGTTATGCACATGCAGAAATAGAGAGAGCTCTCTTATGGATTCCCCATTGTCCAAGGAGTTCGGGCTGTTACTGGGTTGCTGCTTGCAGAAATAGAACAATGGAAGGACTCCAAACGTTATAGGAGGATTTCATCTAGTATACTGGTATACTGAAAAGTAAGGCAATATACAAGTTAGTGAAATATGTTGGGGGTGAAAAACAACACTGTTTAGGTGAGAGCTTCATCTCCAAGAAGAAAGCCGTCTGAACCTCTTTGATTCATTACTGCATTGAGAAAAAATCAGCATAGCTCTGTGAATGTAAGTTTGCTTGTATATAACTTGTTTGGGAATATCCCAGACAGTAGTAATAATGTTTAGAGACCTCTTGTCTGAGAAGACCACAGTGCTGTTAAAACATTTTTCTTACAGTCCACTTGCTGGAAGCAGTAAGCTTACTGTGATTTTTGAGCTGTATATAGTGGAGTACATTGGCATGTACCTTACCCTTATATGCTGAGAAAACTACTCAGAGTGTTACATCTAGAATTAATCATAGAATGGCTTGGGTTGGAAGGGACCCCAAGGGTCATCAAGTTCCAACCCCCTCCTGCAGGCAGGGGTGCCATCTGCTAGATCAGATTGCCCAGGGCCCCATCCAAACTGACCTTGAATACCTCCAGGGACGGGGCATCCACAGCCTCTCTGGGCAGCCTGCCTGTTCCAGCACCTCACCACCCTCTCACTGAAAAAATTCTGCCTGACGTAGAATCTAAATCTCCCCTCCTTAGTTTAAAACCATTTCCAGTTGTTCTGTCACTATATACCCGTGTAGAAAGTTGATTTCCCTCCTGTTTATCATCTCCCTTTAAATATTGGAAGGCCATTATGAGGTCTCTCCACAGCCTTATCTTCTCCAGGCTGATGCCTATAGCAAAGATAGTTGAAGATAGTTTTTGTGAAAATTTTGGATTAAATAAATGTGAATATTTTTTGTATTAAATTAAGCTTAATATTTCCACTTCTCTTTTGTTTGTTTGTTTGCTTGTTTTTTATTTTTTGTTGTTGGGTTTGGGTTTTTTTTCAGTGGAAAGTAGGAAAAAATTATTTTACTGCAATTTTAGGAGAATTATATAACAGTATTATGGGGAAGTGGCTTACTGACTTCGAATGTAACCCCAGATGGTCTCTAATCTTGTCATGATGAACTCATTATGCTTAGTGCTGGAGGTCATCACTGAGTGCCAGTCCAAATGTTGGGTCTTGCACATCTGTGCAGCTGAATGGTTTTTCTGTAATAAAAAAGTTCATAGAAAGGCATAGCTTTTTCTGGAATAAGCTATATTGATAACTATGGATTTATTTTGAATGGTTGTCTTGTACACCTTGTGTACTTCTCATAAGATGTTTGCATTTTTACATGAAAAATGTGAAAGAACATCATGTTTTTATTTTCTAAATTAATTTGGCAGTTTCCCTGAGTGAAAAATTGCACAGAATGTGTGGTTTTATGGATTTACCTTATGTTTTGCTCCTATTGATGGTATGGCTTCTTTTTGCTTTCCTTGAGGTCCAGAGCATATGCAGCTGTTTGATTAGCCAGATGGGGGAGCATTCTGATTCAAAACTCATTGTTTTGGTTTTTTTTTCCTTTTTAGATTTTGTTTGCTGGCCAAGTTAGCTTGTAGGTGGAACTCTCTAATTGTTTCATCACAGAAGTTAGCAAGTCCAAGCAAAAAAGGGTTATGAATGAATGTGCAAGGACAGTAAGGTGCAGATCTGCGTTTCCAAAGTAGTAGACTTGATTATATGTGCATTGTGATTCTGATAGTGAGTGTAGAGGCTAATTATTGTCTGTGTTAGCATGGCTGAGTTTGATCCACTGCCAGTTACAGATGTTATGGTAGAATGGCCATACCTTGTAGATCCCATTTCCTGCATGATACGGTATTTGGTTGTGGTTGCATAAAAATACCGCTTTGTACAACTGAACCTACTCAAAGGACCATACTGTGTGATTGTGGTGAAATGCTGTAAAAGTTAAACAAGATATGTGCCTTTAAGCTTCATTATTATTATTTTTTTTTTTCTGGGTTTGATTATGCAGATACTAAATAGATGCAGTAAAATGCAAAGAAATAAAGTTTTTCTTCATTTTCCAGTTAAAGCAAAACTAGGATTATGTTCCAACTTAGTAGTTAAGCTTACTTTGAGAAAGTAGTTTTCTGCAGGACTGTTTTTCTTCTGTGTCTGTAACAGAACTTTCTGTTATACAGATGTTATAAAGAACCAGTTTGTAGCACAGTGGAGCTGTGTTAGTAGCAGTTAAAGTTCACAGTTCTTATTGCTGCCTGGTGGTGGGTACAGCTATTGAGCAGCCTAAGCTAATTTCTTTACTACAAAGGAATACTTTGTTTTTGGTCTTTCAGCTTAAACAACTTCATTATTAATGTCAAAACTGGAAATGAAGTGAAAAATTTGAAAATAACAGATTCCTTTTGCTGCACAGAAATACACTGTTAAAGAGAAAATCAAAGTTGTAGGACAATTATTTTGTTTTTTCTAGAAATTGGTATGTAAGTAATATGGCATACCCTGCTTAAATAACCTTCAGTAGGAAAAGTAAGAATGCTTTTATTGATGTCTGCTTCTTGTGTGTTTTATCAGCAAATATTACCTTCAGTATTTTGCTGTTAGCATCTTAAAATTGAAAAAAGTGTTGGAGTTCAACAAACAGTGAGCAACTTTGGAGGCCTGGTATTAAATAGATGTCACTGGACCTAGTATTACAGGCTTGATAAATCTCAAAGTGATCCTTGCAAGCACTTCTGCAGGATACTTTTGAAGTGAGGGATATTAAGATCTTCAGAAAAAAGCACATTTACTTCCTAAGAGCAGTGGTTTGTAAAGAAAAGCTGGAGATTACGAAGTCTGTGAAAAAGGAACAAAAAACCTCCGCAGCATCCTCCTGGCTACTTCTTTAATGTTTAATGACAATATCTGTACTACATTTTTATTAATAGGTTTAGGTTGCTAGAATATGTAATTGTCGTATCAGAGATCTCTGTGCAAAAAAACTCTACATAAACTGACTTTAATGCAGCTTATTTCTTTCAGCTATTTCTTTCAGATTCTTTTTTGGGTGCTTGTCATGGCAACAGGAGGCGGCCCATTTGAAGAAGGCATGACTGATCAGGACTTGCCTAGCTGGAGTAATGAGAGCCTTGATGACCGGCTGAACAACACGGTATGATTCACCTTAGCTCTCAGTTGTTGTTTTATGTGGTACATTGAAAGAAACAAGTAGATTCTGTTATGGCAGGCAACAGTGCCAAACTAAGCACTGTCAGTACAGCTTTTCAGTTAAGTATGTATGAAATCAAGAAAAGTAATTGAGATATATATATGCAATTGCTAGGTATAATTCAGAGATTGTACAATGCAGAAATGTATTTATGGGAGGTGTTCTGAATAAAGTAGCTAGACATACAAGCATGCTACCTATCGTTAGAACTGAAAACTCTTATTCCTAAAAGTTCTAAACTGCCTAAGAGTATTTGCTGAAGAAAAAAAAAATAGAATTTTGGCTTTATTTTACACAAATTGGAGGCATTGTAGGATTATATGAGTTAAAAATTGCCTGACAAGTTTCATGAAAGTGGCAAAGATGATTATTCTTTATTTATGATTTTTATTTTTAAAATAGAAGTAAACTCTACTTCACTAGATTTAAAAGTTTACTTTTGTCTATATGGATAGTAAATATGAGGTTTTTTTCTTTTCCTTTCCTTTGTCTTAAGGACTGGGGAAGTCAACAGAAAAAAGCAAACAGATCATCAGAAAAAAACAAGAAAAAGCTTGGTGGAGAAGCTGAAACGAGGCTTACTAATGATATATCTCCAGAATCTTCACCTGGAATGGGACGACGGAAGACCAGAACTCCTCACACTTTTCCTCATGCTCGATACGTGACCCAGATGTCTGTTCCAGAGCAGGCTGAATTGGAAAGACTTAAACAAAGAATAAACTTCAGTGATCTGGATCAGGTTTGTGTGAATACTAGCTTTCCCTATACATGTGACTACAGAAGTTGTTCATTTATCTCTTAATTTGCCAGATGAATAAAGCAGGCTTTCATAGTGCATAGCTTAAATGCACTGTGGAAGCCAAATAGCAGTTCTGGTTCAGAAACTTGGCTTTTCTAGGCCTTAGGCTCTGCCAGCTGTCTTTACTTTGTTCCTTCAAATGGGCCGCCTCAATCATCAGCAGATTTTGTGTTCTCAAACTGGTATTTTTTATTCATCATACTTGTCTGACACTTAAAAGTCTCTGATATTTGATTCTGAGAGTTTCCTCTGGAAGTGGCATAGTTTATGACTCTGAACACTGTTATCCCTGCAGCTTAAGCAGAGGAGGAGCAGCTATAGAAGTTGTACCTCTGTAATGTGGAGAAATGTATGATACAAATCCTTACGCCTGTTTCCTTAGGAATATTGATATGTTTGGCCCTCCCTTATCCAGTGCAGTGTGAAATCGGAGAGATTAATTTGTTAGCACAAATTTATTGTTTCATTACTAATAGTTCCAGAATAGCAATTTGTTAATCTTTGCCAAAGCTTGTTATTAACTTGTTAGATTTGTAATGATTATGTTTGAAGTGTGATTCATTAGAATATAAAGCCTGGGCAGAATTTCCTCCAGAAATGTATGTTATGGGATCAATTTGTTATTCAGAAGTTTCTAAAGAAAAGTTTGAGATAGCATATTCTACAAGCTATTATGCTACTTAAAAAATAATATATATGTATGTGTTCTTTCAAATGTACTTGAAGAAGTAGGGTTCTTTTCACCATAGTAAAGGTGGAGGCCAGAGCAAGGATGAGGAGCTAAGCTCTCTGTGGAACTACAGAGCTCTTCTGCTTTTCAGATGTTGCAAGAGTGTGGGTTACTCTCTGACAACTATATGACAAAGATTACTGGCACTGTTTAGCTGCTGTCTAGTCAGTAATTTATGAGGGAACTATAAGATCACAAATAAACACAATTATTCTTTGTTCTCTTTGTTCATAGAGAAGCATTGGAAGTGATTCTCAAGGCAGGGCGACTGCTGCTAACAACAAACGTCAACTAAATGAAAGCAAAAAACCATTCAACTTCTTGTCACTGCAGATAAACACTAACAAAAGCAAAGATCCTATATCAGGTTCCCAAAAAAAGGAAAGTGGGGAGCCATTGCAATGTAAAGACCTGTTTGGAGCTGCTCTAAACAAAGATTTCTTGCAAAATGGTCAACTGTCTGTTCAAGAAGATGGGAGAGGAGAACCAACTATGGATAGTAGCCAGGTACTTGTATAGCCTGTAACGTCTGTGGAATATGGGCTCTTCAAAAGGTTACACTATTATTTTTCAGTGTGTTTTTCTAAATTTCTAAATTTTTAGTATAAGTGTTGTAGTTTATTTTGTATTAGAAATATTCTTCCCACTGTTCTAAGAGGCAGACTGAGGAAGAGATTGAACCAAAAGCAATGTATTGTCCTTTAGAAATCTAATTATTAGAAGGAAGTAAATGAAGATGTATTAAGAAAGTAAAAGAAGATGTATTTGGTTCTGTGGAGTTCTAAGAAATAGTCTCATAGTTGAGTATTTTCATGTTAGTACTATCAGCTTAGTTCTGTTTAAGCTGATGACAACAAGAAGCCATGTGCTTCAGCCTTACAATTTCATGCATGCTTTTATCTATTCTTAAAGGCTTTTATCTTTTTAACCACTTACATAAATGTGCCTGTATGATGGAAAGTACAGCGTGTTACTTTATTATTGCTACTTGGCTGTTGCTTTCACCTTGTTTTGTGCATTAAATACCTTATAGCTATTGCTGAATGCATTCAGTAATTACAGTGTCTTTACAGATTGTCAGCAGACTAGTTCAAATTCGCGACTATATTGCTAAGGCGAGCTACATGCGGGATGATCTTGTAGAGAAAAATGAAAGATCGGCCAATGTTGAGCGTTTATCACACCTTATAGATCACCTTAAAGAGCAGGAGAAATCCTATCTGAAATTTTTGCAAAAGATGCTTGTAAGTTTGAGAACATAATATATCTGTTTCTGCACTGTAAGCTTCAATTTATTATTATTATTTTTTAAGAAGTTGACTATTGCCGTTCTGATGGTGTTACTAGGGGCGTTGATTTATGAGATGTAGTACCTTCCATAATTCATTTTTACTGCTCCATTTATATAGCTTTTTATTTATGCCACTGAAATATTTCAGGCTAGAGAAAATGAGGATGATGGTGTTTGGACTATAGATTCAGCTGTGGGATCTGGTTCTGTAGGTGAGAGCACATCGCTAAACACTGATGTGCAAGCTGAGGCATCAGATACCATGGTAAGCTGCCTTTTAGTAATTTAGTAATTAAAGTGCCAGAAATGAAGTCTTATGAGTATTTGTTGTTTTTTGTTTTTTTTTTTCTTTTGGTTGCTGTGGCAGTGACGTGATATGCAGTTCAAGTTAATAAATCCCTTAGCCCTCTGTTCAGGAGGTATACCCGTGTGCAGGATTTTTTCAGTATACATGGGAAAAATGATTCTGTCAAAACAAGACAGTATTTCTTGATGAGTTTTTTAAGATAATCTACTTTCCTAAAAGTAGATTAAAAGGTTAAGTATGTATTTTGGCAGAAGGATGCATGCATGACATTAGTGTAGGAGGGAATAATTTTCTATGCATCTTTTCATCTCTTAAGTTTTTCTGCTGATAAGGAAACTTGCTGTTGTTGGATAAAGATGAGAGGGTTATAAATGAATTATTAGTGGGCTCACTAGTAACCCATTGGTTAAGCGTCTTTTTAGTAATATGGTAGAAGTATTGACTTAACTCAGAAGATTCTTCCCTTATTTGGAGGGGTGGATATCTTTTAGAAAATATATTCTGAATTAGTTCTGAAGTACACAGACCATCTCCTTTCCTATCTTTACATTGCAAGCAGTTCTTGTTCTAGATAAGAAAGCATTTTAACAGCAACTTCTGTTTTGCATCAGTCAATACTTTTCTGAGCAGAATTAGTAGTTGGTACTGTTGTAGCCAGTTAGTACTCTGCAAATGATAAGTGAAGTGCTTGGTACAAAAACAGCAGATAGAATCTTAAGGAGTCTTTGTAGTTACCTTTAGTTCACTATAAGACAAGTACAATTATATGCATGGAGTGTATGCATTTAACTTCATAAAATCTTAACAAAAGGTAGAAAAGCACTGGTACAGATTTTAAGATAGATAGAAAACTTGCGTTTTTCTTCACCTCAATAAAGGAGTTTGTTTTCTATTTGATACTTCATTTTGTAGCTAATTTCTCTTTTTATGCAGAACGAGTGTTCCCGCTTTATTAGGTTGATTTACATCTGGAGCTTCATTGTTAAAACTCTAAGAAAGACTGGAACTATCTTTGCTGTTTAGTAGGTTTTATTTGATAGTAGTTTTCAATATGTGACAAGATAGAAATGGATATGTTTGCAGTTTAAAAATGCAGTTTAAAAAACACAAGCCGGAGCATGTGTTTAAAATCTAATATGTTTAACTATTTAATAAAGGCACTGTCTTCTAGTATGAGCACTTGTCCCTGCATTGAGGACAAACTAGGGGCATTCAGTTTCACAAGAACAGGCTATAGATGCTGATGTTGCAGCAAACCCAAAAGGGAAAAGTGTCCGAGCTGCTCTGGCCTTGTAGGATTTGTAGCCAAAAACATGGATTGCCTTCAAAGTTGTGCTTCAAAAATAGTGTTTTAGCCTCTAAAACAGGATTTATACATGCTGATTTTCTTTCATTTTTGTCCCTGTTAACTTGCTCTGAATGTATTTGTTACAGTAAATGTTTCTACTTGGCTTGCTTACCTCTGTTTATTTGCCTTGGCACTGAGTTTTCTTTAGCTGGAGCTGGTTTTTTTTTTTAGAGGTATTTGACAACTTTCTCTTCTGAAGTCTTAATATTGGCAGAGAAAATAATACCTGTAACATGTAACTATCTCAGCTGTAGGGAAGATGTTCTGATTTTATGCTGTTTAGATGGCTCTTCCTGTTTTCCCGGGAACAGAACAGCAAAACATGTAAATCAAATATTAATCAAACAAAATGTGTCAAACAAAATGTAGAAGTATTAGGCTTGAAAAATGTTTTTTGTTTATTAATGAACACAGGTAAACTTGGTGTTTGAGTTAGTAATTGAGTGAAACTTGGAGGCATGTACCACTTTTACCTTTCTTCCCCTCCTTCCTGTGTTGATTTCGTTTTTCTGTACTCTATTTTCCCTTTTCTCTGCTTTATATACATAAGAAAAATTTAGAAAGAATGTTCAGCTCAAGTTATATTGACACTTCTTTGGGAAGTGTTAAATTCTGGATGTGTTGTCCTTTATCTTCTGGGAGGCTGAGTGTTCTTTTTTGCCCAGAAATATTTAATAAGACTTATGCTTCTATCCTGACTTTCAGTACTGGATTTGTTTCGCACTGAGAGAATTTTTTACTTCAGGAAATCAGCATTGCATGAAAAGATGTTGATACTTTTAATATTGTTATGTTTATGTTGACTTTTAACAAAAAGGAGGCAATCTTTTCAGTGTTTTTATTTGCATAATATGATAAATCAGCTTAAACAGAAGCAGGACCTTTACAAGCGCATGTCTCCTTAAAACACTTAATTTCAAAAGGTTTTGAGACAAATTTCCAGCTATTAACTAAGATGGGCTAAGGAAAATAACTTTTCTCTAATGTGTCTTTAACCATACGGCATGCTTCCATTCCTTCGGATTTGTTTCCACGTGCTTGGAAATATGTTATAGAGGGAGTTCTGAGCTGTCTTGTTTTGAAATTGATTTACCCAAGTCTGAGGTGGTTTATTACCTATGCCAAAAATACTGAGTACAAAAGTAAATACATGTTATAAATTAGAGCAGGATAACTATGCAAAATTTTCTACTTAAAATACATTTTAAGCTAGTAAATGGTCAGGGTCTTGTCAGGATCATTTGAAAGACCATGATGGTGTGCCTTATGTTGCTTAGCTTTAGCATTCTTATATTAATGCATTGCTATGAATTTATGCTTCAAAGGACAGAGGGATGCTTAGATTAGTCTTTGGGGCATATTAAATGGCTGACTATTTCTAAAGAAAATGTAATCCTGAGAGTGGTAAGCATATCTTGATGATCTAGTTTTTTTTCTTCAAGGAGTCTCAAACTCTTGATGAAGAAGACTGAAAAGCGAAACAGTTTCACCTTTAACTCTTGCCTGACCTTGATTCAGTTATGTTCTTGCTTGTTTTGACACACCTAACAGCAATACTTTCCAGATAAATTATCCTGGTTATGGTAATGTTCTTCTGTATCTTGCAGGCCAGAGATCCTCAACAGGAAGCTAAAGAGGAGTTGGAGAACTTGAAGAAGCAGCATGATTTACTGAAAAGGATGCTACAACAACAGGAACAATTGAAAGCTCTTCAAGGAAGACAGGCAGCTCTTCTTGCTTTGCAGCATAAAGCAGAGCAAGCTGTTGCTGTTGTGGATGAGTCTGGTATGAAAGCATCTCTAATAGTTATTTTAACTTGCTGATTAAATGATTAATGCTGGAATTGTAGAATACATATTAAAAATTCTTTAGTGATTTTCTTCTTTGAAGTCTTTCTGCATGTCTATAATTTAATGTCTTTTTTTAATATTGTAAAATGATAAGTCAGTTAAAAACGGCACAGCTGATTTCTGTTGTTTACTTGTAAAATCCTAATTTTTTTTTTTGCTAAGAATTGGACTACCATGTCAGGTTAGGAGTCTGCCTCTTATCTCTGTTAATGTATCAGGCATTTGTAGAGCATATATAGCATGTGTGGAGCATATAGAGGGTGTTGTCTCCCTTGCTGCAACCGTCTGGGCATATTCAATTGGTAGTTTGAGGCTTTTATTTGCTCTCTTGTTGTTGTTTGGTTGGTTGCATTGCTCTGGTTTGTTAGTTGTTGTTTTTTAATGGATGGCCACTGATAGACTAATGGTTTATTCAGGAAAAGGAGGAAGTTACTATAGCAATTACACAAGCAAATATGAAAATAGAACTCTAAAATTGTGGGATGCTTTTGACAATAGAGCACCACCATTTTAACGTAACCTTCAATTTAAAAGCATTCTTCTAATAGGTCTTCATATACTCCCAGCTTTTTAAAACCTGTCTTTTGGACAGAGGCTTCTCTGTGCTATGCTGAAAGGTTGCCAGCAGAGTTTTTCAAAAGTTCTGTCTTAAAACAGCGAACAATTGCACTTGGTGTGTTGTTGACATATAAGTTGTCTTAGACTTGTTCGTTGCAGTCTAGTTCTTTTAACTTAAATGTTAGAGTTCTGCATGTAACATCATTTCTTCCACCCCTCCACAAATGCTGTTATCTTTTATTTGGAAGTTAGATAATCAGAGCTGTGTGTGGTCCTAAGAAATTATGTCTTTGCATGGAGCAACTCTGTATTCAGGCTACTAGAGTTGTGTACCTCTTCCTCATGAAAGCTGTCATAAAGCTTAACTAGAGAGCAAGCTGGAAAACCAGTTCTTATTACTATTTTTTTTTTTTTTTTAAATAGCCATATTTGTAGAAATATAAGCATTGATATGTAAATTTTACAAAAAAACCAAGCTCTTCTTTAAGGTTCTGTATGCTCACAGAACAAAGCATTTTCATCAAATGGTCTTTATTTTGTTTCTGTGAACAAGTATTTACATTTTTCCTCCTTTTTTCTGCATGCCCAGTTGTAACAGAGACAACAGGTAGTGTTTCTGGAGTAAGCCTTACATCAGAATTGAATGAAGAATTAATTGACTTAATTCAGCGCTTTCATAACCAACTTCATGATTCTCAGGTCAGTCTTTGTGTTGCACTCTGAAGTTTTACTATTGTCTGTTTTTCATAGTCTTTTGAACAGTTAAATATTTGTCTTTTTATTTTTATTCCTCTGCTGGTGGAGTAATTGGAGTTCCTCCAAACCTGCAAGCTCAGCATCTTTGTGTTCCTGAGGGTTATCTATTAGCTAAGTGATGTAATCCGTTGTTCTGCTGCTGAGCTTATCAAGTCTATAAGAGGCCTTTTTGTTCATTAGAATTTATTTTGCTTTTTACCCGTGGTACTTTGAATGAAATGAAGTTATTCTTTTTAGACTCAGTCTGTACCAGACAATAGAAGGCAAGCAGAAAGTCTTTCACTTACCAGAGAGATTTCACAAAGCCGAAACTCTTCAGTGTCAGAACACCGGTCAGATGAAAAGGCACAGCTTTTCAACAAGATGCGAATGTTGCAGGGGAAAAAGCAAAAAATGGATAAACTGTTAGGAGAACTGCATACGCTTCGTGACCAACATCTAAATAATTCCTCCTGTAAGTTTATTTAAATGGAATTATCCATTTTCAAGAGTACAGGTTTAAAAACACACAGCCTATATGTTCTTAAGGTGGCCTTGCAGTTGGCTAATGAATGATCACTGTAGTAAGTGATAAAGCTGTGATGGGGCAGGTAGTATTACGTAACTGGTTTTTAGTGCAGTAAATATTTCATACTTGCTGGATACCTTGACAAGCAAAATAGATAGCACTTATACATTGTAACATTATTGCTGTTGATTTGTGAGGTTGTGATAACTAAATTTTTTTTTCCCAGGCTTGTCAGTGACACTTCATATAATACACTCCACAAATCAAGATGAGAATGTTCTGTATATTATCACAGTACTTCTGTATTTATGTACTGTGTGTTTCTGTTGTTAATAACACTACCGCATGGTGGAGTTTGATTTTTTTTTTTTTTTTTTTTTTCATTGTCCAAGGACTTTCTTATCCACTAGTCAAATGTACTTGAATCTCAGGTCATGCCAGAGGAAGTCAGCTGTCTGAATGGACTGGATGTTTTGGCCTGTTCCTCAGATGATTTTTCTATTCTTGAAGTCTCCCATGTGGGCCTACTGTTTGCTATATGTTTCTGTTTCTAGACTTGCATTTGCCCTGGTGAAGCTTTGTTCTATGGCTGGAAATTGGTGAGAGGCGATTATAGGGTAATCTGATTAAAAAATGAACCTTTCTAGCATGCTCCTGTAGAAGAGCAGACTGGTTTGATGCTTATGTTTCTAAAAGCCTTTCTTCTTAATGTGCACAATCTGGGTGTGTTTGGTTGTGATTTTTATATAGCTGGATAAAGTAAGCATATCTCAAGGCTGTGTTCTGAAGCATGTGACTGCAAGAGGTTACCAGTTGGTGGAAAAAAAAGTTATTAGAACTCTTTATCGTTTTAAATGTTTGAACATTAAATTTCATCAAAAGCAATTCGACCATAAGTTAGTCCTTAAAAGAACTCTTTGAGCACATTGACAGCTTGAAAACTTCCACTTACGTTTAATAAAGCTGAAAAGAACTGACTTAAGTACTGTTTATGGAAGCTGTCTATTTTGGTTGGCATTGCCTTTCATGAAACTTAATGCAGAAGTTGTTCCTAAGAGAAAAGAAGGTGCTAACTGCTGTTTTGAATGTTGTTAATGCTTTCTGTAATTACCTTTTAATGTATTTTGGTTAGGTAGGTTCCTTTTTGAATGCTGTTTTCAAGAGGTATGTTTCTTCTCTGTAGTTTTTCCAGCTTCAAGTTCTCCTCAAAGGAGTATTGACCAAAGAAGTACAACTTCAGCTGCTTCTGCTCCTGTGGGTGTAGTAACTGTTATCAATGGTGAATCAAATAGTCTGGCATCTGCTCCCTATCCTCCTGATTCCCTGGCTTCTCAGAATGAGAGTGAAGAGGATGACAATCTAAATCCAACAGAAAAGCTTCAGTAAAAAAATATTTATTTATTTGCTTTAGTGGTTTTTTAGCATTGAGTTTTAGGTGTGTTATAGTTAATTCTGTATTAAGAAACTGTTTTGTGTTTTAATTTACTTAACAGACCACTTAGTAAATGGTCTGAAACAGTAAATGGCTGCTTAGCTTCAAGCAGAAGTTTATTACAGCTAGAAAAATTACAGTAAACGTTAAGAATTATAAATGTACCTATCTATTTTTTCAATTTCCATAGATTTAATTAATACTGACCCGTGTTCTGTTTTCTTTTTTTTCCCCTCAGGAAGCTAAATGAGGTTCGAAAGAGACTGAATGAGTTACGTGAGCTAGTTCACTACTATGAGCAAACATCTGATATGATGACAGATGCTGTGAATGAAAACACTAAGGAAGAGGAAGAAACAGAAGACTCAAGAAGTGATTCTGAACATGGGGATCCACAGCCTGTTACAAATATTAGGTTATCATATGTTTTGTCATCTCCAGTCTTTGTAGCTAAGTTGTCACAGGTTTCCTGAAGCAATGTAGGATTTTGGTGAACTAGAAGTAATCCATGTTTCACATGAAATTTTTGGAAAAGTTATTGTGTTATTTTTATGTAGCTTACACAGGTTAGTAATAATCCTGTTCTATAGCAAATGCTGATCTGTAGATTCAAGTACTGAAACGTGTGTGAAATTCCTCTGGAAGATGAACAGTCCTAGAGCCTAGGAAGTTCAAGCAGAAGCAACCTTCAGTGTATAGAGACATTCTGAGCTGTAGTAATAGGATAGCTGTGTGCATCTCTGCAGAAATCAATACTAACCTGGTTATGAATCGTACAAAGCTATTTATATAAATGTACACCTTGAAATCCTCTTGTAGACTGATACTGTTGCAGTTTGAGTAGGGAAATAATTTTTTGCTGTTTCTGATTTTCATATATTTGTCTATTTTTTTGAGAAACATGTCTGTATGAGAGATGGATATTGAGAAGTCTCAATGTCTGGACTAATTTTGCTAGTGAATTTTAGGAGATTTTTTCTTTTTTTAATTACAGAGGATTAGAAAAATAAAGACATTCATAAAAGTGAGTCAGTAAAATGGCTGAAGTAGTATTCCATCAATACCAGTTCTTAAGAAGTTAACACGAGTAATGCATTTCATCCTAGAAACCCTCAAGGAATCAGTAGTTGGAGTGAAATAAATAGCAACTCAAATGTACATTGTGGAACTAATAACAGAGATGGAAGACATCTTAATACAGACTGTGAAATAAATAATCGATCTGCTGCTAATATAAGGACTCTAAAAATATCTTCTACTCTAGGTATGTTCTAAAATCTTCTAATAATTTAGGTCTTAGTGCATACGTGATTCTGAAAGCCATGCAACATTTGGGAGAACTTTATTCAAAGTGTTTGGGTCTTAACAGTAGGCTGGTATTTTTCTGAAGTGTAGTAATTAAATAAAAGTAAGCATTTCACTAATATAATTGATACTGTTTTGTTTACTCCCTTCTTCCCTCTCCACATCTTCAGACTGTCATAACAGGGAGGGTGACAAAGATATTGACCTACCCCAAGGTGAAGATGATGAAGTGGAAGAAGATAGAGCTAGTGAAGATTCCATATCTAGTCACAGAAGCAGCCTGGGTGATGTTGCAGGAGATGCTGAGTTTGAGCAGAAGATTAATAGGCTTATGGCTGCAAAGCAGAAACTTCGACAGTTACAAAACCTTGCTGCTATGGTGCAGGTATTCTATGACTATAAATCCATGCATGAAAATGTAACTCTTTATTTCATGTAATGTGGAACTTTTAGTGGGGAAAAATTCTGCTGGTCTTTATATAGAATTGACTGGAAAAAAGGAGACAGTGGTTGATTTGTCTGAAGTTGAAAGTTCAAATCTGGAATTTTCCTGGGATGCTGATCTAAGACAAGAATGACTTTAATATTTTATCTTGGCACTGGCTTTTATTAACAAAAAAACCCAACAAAACGAAAACAAAACAGGAAGTCTAGTATTCTTTAAATTATTTTGATCTATGGTTTTAAACTTATAATGAATGTTTGTTTTAGTTTTGGAATCCTAGGTTTTGCAATGTTATGCTGGATTTGATTAAGATCTTCAGATGTATTTGAAATGTCACAGTATGTTGGAGCTGAGATGTTTGGGAAACTTGTTGTTTAATAAGGATTTTGAGAGCCAGCTATAAATTTGATAGTGTTTTTAATCCGGAGTGTCTTTTTTATATTCATCATTTTTGTTAAAAAGAGCTTTTCTTGAATCTAATGTCTATGTGGAAAACTTAAAGATTTAAATGTCTGCTTACTAAGTGTAAGTATGACAGACTCTAAAGGTTTTATGTAAGAGCTGTAAAATCAATTTTAGTACATGGTTGGGTTTTGTTTTTTTTTTTTTAATAATAGTAACAGTATAGATGATGTATAGGTATTTTGAGATTACATTGCTGTCAAAATTCCCAGCATCTGGATTGGGCTTGTTTTTTTTATGACCACTACAAAGATTTTTAACTGTATAGTGTTATAAATCAGAATTAAAGAGAATATAGCATCTTAAAACACAGAAACATACATTCAGTCTTCATATTTAAAAGGTTAAACCTTTGCACTCAGTAACAGTGTTGTAGATCTGGATGGCTATCTAGCCAGTGATGATCTTTTCAGCAGGTTCTGTATTCAGAAACATTGTGTTGAAAGAAGAATGCTGTGGCTGCAAGAATTTTAAGATTTAATTGAGAACTTAAAATGAAAAAACTGCGACGACAAAAAAGTGGAATAGGAAACTTTGCAGAAAATTGTTTCTAAAATATTTTTTAAAAACTCACTTTCCAGAGTAGTTTCAGTTTTATTTCAAGCTAATAATACTTCATATAATTATTATTATTACAGTAATTAAGAGTCTTCACCTCAGTCTTCTTCTATTCTCCTTCCCCTTTTTTTTTTCTTGATGTGCTCATGTATTTCTATCTTCTCAGTCATTGGTATAAAATACAATTCAAGTGGTTCAGGCTCCCAGAATGAGGCACGTGTTATTTTGTGTTTATATCAGTAGTTTCAACAGTTTGAGCTTTATAACTTTGAATTATCTTGTTAAGATAATTTAAATTAGCTTTTAGTCAAGGTAACATGAAGATAATGACCTCTTACCTTTAGTTCGAATGATAAGATGTTCAGACTATTTAGTTAGGGGGAAAAAAATTGCTTTAATAATATTCTTATATTCAGTTCATCAGTTTGAAAATAGTCTGATTGGTTTCCTGTTTTCCTTTCAGGATGATGATCCAGAACCTCAAGTACTCACTGCAAATGCATCTAACATGGGTGACTTTTTGAGTGAGATGGAAGAGATAAAGCAACAACCAAACAATGTTCGAGTTAGCACCAATAAGTTGCAAAAAGATGTAGGACTGAATGAAAAAGCAAGGTATGTCATTGTCTGAGGACCATAGAATCTTTCTTTAGATGACTTCTTGCCAAGTAACATGTGGGTAACGTATCCATGCAGAGAGAAGTTTTATGAAGCTAAACTTCAGCAGCAGCAGCGGGAGCTTAAGCAGCTACAAGAAGAAAGAAGAAAACTGATGGAAATTCAAGAAAAAATTGAAGTGTTACAGAAAGCTTGTCCTGACCTTCAAGTAGGTAGACTTTCTTTGCTTTCTTTGGCTGTTGAAGAGTGAAACATTATTTTCACACCATTTTTCCCAATTAAAAACCTTGTTACTAATTGTGTTCTACATTAAGAATTTGGATTTCTCAAGTTAGAAAAGAGCTCCGGCTGTCTAGTTCCATTGAAGTTTTGGCTCAAGGATTGTATCAAACTCTAGTTTCACTCTTCTCTGTCCTCAAAAATTGCAGTGTTAAAGTCTCTAAAATGGAGACTTCTATATTATTTTTAGTTTGGAATTTGTCTGTCTACTGTGTCTGCTAGTCACTGCGTCTTCATTCTTATTAGTCATTTGCCAATTCTGCTGCTGTCAGACAATCCTTTGTCTCATAAACATGATCAACACTTTCTGTATTCAAAATGAACTGCAGTACTGTATTTTTTTCATACTCTTTAAAGATGATTTTCTATGAAATGAGCAGTAAATGGTCAACATCATGTATCTACAACATTATACTATAATACATTAAAAACAATTTTTGTTTGTTTCTGACTAATCTTTGAAGTAAGTACTTAATGGATTTTAAAATCCAGGTTCTCAATGAATTACTAAATAATTCTGCTATCTGAAAAAACCTGAATTGTAAATTTTAGAAAGTTGAGCTGTTCTGCCATTCTGCCTTTTCTTTCAGTCTGCTGGCCTGGGTAACAGTCCAGCAAATAGACAGACTTCACCAGCAGCCTCAACTCCAGCCATGAATGAGTGTAACACAGCTGGCAAGCCTTTACTTGAATTTGGTGAATCTGTACCAGTAGGCAATGAGGTATTTCATACTTGATATTCTGGTACTTTATGTGGAGGGGGGGAAAGGAAAAAAAAAAGTTCTAGGAAACTTGGACACATTATCTTAACTACTTCACGTGGAGAGAGTGTAGTATGGTAGCCATGATAATGAAATATACGTAATTGATTTACTTCATTTCTGGAAAGAAGTAAATATTGATAGTGCTGTACTTTTCTTCATGCTCCTGGAATATGATTTTTTTTTCTCTACGTTGTAAGTGTAAGAGGTCAATAATGTGCATTTACAGCATTATATAATAATATATTTGATAAAAATATTTGTTTCTTGACTAACCTTTGAAATGAGTTGTGGGATTAGAAAGTGTTCCATGAAACATGCGCTATTTGTCTTATTTAAAAAAGTAACTATCCTCATTTGTTTAATTACCTTTTTATATTTTAAAATGTCTCCTAAGATGGCTTCTACTTGGATACATTTTTGTAGTGTGATTAATATCAGTCCCTGGACAAAAATGTTAGTATAGTATCAAAAAGTGAAATCATAAAGTTTTACTTGAGATTTTTTTGTTTGTTTATACTCTGATGCATTTCATTTTATTGGAAACAGTTATGGTCTGAGATGAGAAGACATGAAATTCTAAGAGAAGAATTGCGACGGAGAAGAAAACAACTTGAAGCTTTAATGGCTGAACATCAGAGGAGGAGAGAACTGGCAGAAACAATATCTACTGTTGCTGCATCAGTTAAAAGTGAGGGGTCAGAAGTTCAGCATACTCCCCAGCAGAGTAGGACAGAGAAGTAAGAACATGAGTCCCTCTTTGCTGTTGGTCAGTGAGTGCTTTTGTTGTTTCGTGACGTTTTGGTCTTGAGTTACTTCTCATTTTTGTCTGAGAATTGTCGGATGATGGTATTACAACGTTAAATGGATTTCTTGACTTCTAAAGCCAAGTTGGTAACATCCCAGTTCTGTAGGGTTGTTTTTTTTCCCCCAGTGTATTTCTTCTCTTCACTAAAGAAGAGAGAGGAATACATGGAAAATGCCAAATGCATGGAGTATTGTTTCCTCATCTTTACAACATGTGTAGAGAGAGTAATTTTCCAAAACAGCATGATATTTTACTCAATAGTTCTGATACCAGAAGAGTACTAGTTTCATTTCTGTTAGATAAATGAATTTTGGTGCATCTTGATTAATTGGTGGACTTGTAATTGTCAAGAGATTGTTTTAATAGTTTGCTATAAACTTAAACAAACAAAACATCTTTCCTAAACATGTCTCATTTTCAATGCTCAGTAGGACAATGGCTACCTGGGGAGGTTCTACGCAGTGTGCACTAGATGAAGAGGATGGAGATGAAGATGGTTATCTCTCTGATGGACTTGACCAGGCAGAAGAAGAGGAAGACGCGCCAAGTATGAATGACAGCTTTTCCGTTTATCCCAATAACCAAATACCAGAAAGTGTGTATTATCTTAAAGGAAATAAGGATAGGTAAGTGGCATTAATTTTTAATTTAATACTTGTGAGAGTGTTTTTGGAAGGGATGAAAAGACCATTGCACTAAATTCAAAGCACCCTACTAGATCAAAGTGAAATTTCTTTGTGTGCTAGTGAGATGTATACAGTGGCATTTTCTTGTCTTAGCCTCTGTAGCTACAATGTGTATGACAAATTTTGATTATTCTGTAATCCTGTGTTAAATATTGCCTGCCATTCAGTTACTTTGTTGTGTTGTGTTATAGCTCCTCATGTTGTGTTTCAGTCAGCATAGCAGAAGATGACTTATGTGAATTTTATGCTGTCTCTTCAAAATCAATGATTCAGGAAATCATAATTAGTTTCCTCTGGTTTTTATTAAGGAAAAACAAACTTAATCAGTGCTAATGCATGAGACATTCTATTTGGAATTTTATGCTGCTTCTTACTATACATTTGTATTATGTTGATTGTTCTACATGCAACTGAAACATTGATGATTAAAGCATCCCTAACATGAAGGTCTGAAATGTCAGCTTTTGTTCTCCCTTCCTTTCTGCTCCTTCCCTGCCTTAGGTGGAAAAATTGCCGTCCTCTTTCAGCAGATGGGAATTATCGACCAGTGTCTAAAACTAGGCAGCAGCAAAACATCAGTATGAGACGCCAGGAAAACTTTCGGTGGATATCTGAGCTTTCTTATGTGGAGGAAAAAGAACAGTGGCAAGAACAGATCAATCAGTTGAAGAAACAACTTGAATTTAGTGTTAGCATTTGCCAGACTTTAATGCAAGATCAGCAGGTAGGCATGAAGATCAGTTAACTCAGTGTTCTAACTCAGTATTTTCCTAAATTTTTCTAGCGATAACTTCTAATTTTGGTAATTTGGTCTTTGTTATTTGTTTTCTTTCCACAGACCCTCTCCTGTTTTCTGCAGACTTTGCTTGCAGGCCCATATAATATGATGCCCAATAATGTTGCTTCTTCACAAGTACATCTTATTATGCATCAGTTAAACCAGTGTTATACTCAACTGTCTTGGCAGCAGAATAATGTCCAAAGGTTTGTATTAGGTTTTAGCTGTATAATTTGAAATGCTTCAGTATATGCCTTTGGTTTTTGGCAGATGACCTGGATAGATTCTGGATTCTAAATGTCATGGAAAGATGTTGGAAAAGCTTTGTCCTTGCTTAGGTTTTTCAGTCATGATTTGTACATAGTAATGCCCCATTTGTATGTACTGCTTACATCTTCTGAAAAAACAATCTTTTTAAAGTAAATAAATAAAAACAGTAGCAGTTTCATTTCATGGTATGAAATTTCAAGATCTTCATCTCTGTTTTGTGCTTGATAAGTGATATGTAGTAACCAGCCCTTTTTACATAATGTTTTAAAGTAATTTAGATGGCAGTTGCTGCAAATACTTTGCTTCTTCTGTTGTTTCCATTTAATTTTGTTTTCAAGCTGCTTACTTCTTGCTGAGTGACTTTTTTTTTTATCATTCTCACAAGCATGTTTAATTTCTGTGAACATGACCACAATGACAGATCTGTTGATTTTAAACTGTGTGTGTCTGTTGCTCAGGATTAAATAAGAGCTATTTTTTGACTGGCCAAATGAATTTCTTTATATATGTACTGAAAACGTAGTTTGTGTGTGTAAAAGGTTACATGGACAGATGAAATACAAATCTCAAATTACTGAGTATAGATTTACAATTTTTTGTCAGCCTGAGCATTAAGGATGCACTTAGTGGCTGTGGTTATCTAGTACCAGAATTGCTGTTGAGTCAAGGAATTTCAGTTTAAGAATTGTTCACATTACTACTTAGTGTAGTTAAGCTCTATTAATGAAGTTGTGATTTTTTTGCATGGTGTTGTCTATACCATCCTGCTGATTATTGTATTTCTATCAAGTTATTTTCTCTTGTGCTGTTTAAATTTTGAGGCACTCTTTTTCCTCCTTGTTTTCAAGATTGAAACAAATGCTAAATGATCTAATGCACCAGCAAGAACAACAGTGTCAAGAGAAGCCATCAAGAAAAGAGAGAGGCAGTAGTGCACCACCACCTCCATCTCCCGTTTTCTGTCCATTCAGCTTTCCTCCACCGCCTGTGAACCTGTTTAATATACCAGGATTTACTAATATTTCTTCATTTGCTCCAGGTGAGTATTACTGCAAGTGTGAAAAATAATGATTTTTTTTTTTTAATTTCTATTCTCTCATTTAATGGAACTCTGTCTTGTCCTTCAGATTGAAATTGGAGTACTTGAAGTTAGTATTTAAATGAAAAGAAGTTTATATCCCTTTTGGTTAGGACTTGGAGTGCTTGTTTTGAAATATGGCAAATAGCAACGTGTTACTAATTTTTGTTTATATCAGAAATATTGAGTAATTACTGATTTGGATACAGTGTTCCTAATCTCATTACCAAATCTTTTATTGCTTAACTTGAAATGAGCAAATAATGTATTCTACTGTGTCTTTAAAAAAAAAAAAGGTGATTCCTAATTTGTCTTAAACAGTAATATACTTTATCCTTTTCAGAAAATCAGCATAATCTGAAAGCTACCAGCTATGTCTCTCAAATTTATTTTCTATTTTAGAATATATTTTAAATTACAGAATTACAGAATCTACGCAGAAGAGTAATTATGTTCAATTTGTTACTTCTATGAAGATTCTAAAGTTAAAGTAAGCGTTATATGTTCTTTGACCCTGTGAATACTTGCACAGTTGGAATTTTCCTGTGAACTTAATCACTGAAGAACTGGTAGTCTTCAGTCACACAGAACTCTGGGTTTTTTGTTTTCTTTTTAGGAACTTATAATTTTTACCTCACTTGTAGGAGTGAATATTCTTGAAATGTCTGTGGGGTTGTAGTGGTATGTGTAGTTTCCAGTGATGTTTGAAACCTGCATTGAAGATAAATTCTCATAATTGGCAGCCTTTTCAGGGCGAGAGTAGTTTTTTCTTATTTCCCCACCACATTTTTTTTGTTTCAGTGTTACGTGGTGCCGCTCAGTATCTCAAACTTGACTTACAGTGTGTGGATAAATGATGTAGTAACTTATGGCATGCTTGTTTATTTTGTAGGTATAAACTACAATCCGGTGTTCCCTTCTGGCTTGGGAGATTTTGCACACAGTGGTTTCCCACAAAGCAGTGAGCAGCAGCAACATCCTTTAGATCATAATACTTCTGGAAAAACTGAGTATATGGCATTCCCCAAACCTTTTGAAAGCAGTTCCTCTAATGGAGCAGAAAACCAAAGGCATGTTTTGTCACAGTGCAACTCTCCTGTAGTCACTATTGTTACACCTTGTTTCAGCCCCACAGGACTAGGGTTCTTTTTGGGAACTTATGTTTAAAGTAAGCTAACTTACAAGATGAGCTTCAATTTTGAAGCTTCAAGGTGTTTTTGTTTTTTTTCTCTTTTCATTTGTGTGTATTAAGACATGTACTGTTTTAGGAATATTCCAACTTTAAATGTAGTGTTGCAGTATTCTGTGATATATTTTTGTCTGTGGAGGAAGGTTTCTGTTTTGAACTTGAGCAATCAAAATAACAAGAAGATGCAAATACTTCAAAGTGATTTTATTTTTGTAATGCTACTGTAGATAGTAATGAATATTGTTTAGAGAGTGTTTTGTCTTATAATACTACTTGAGTGTACTCAAGGTACATAACTATATTCAGGTTGCAGTCAGTCAGAAATGTGAATTTCTTCAGATGTCTTCATTTTTCCATTTGGAAGGAACTTGCTACATGTTTTTTAAATGTCAGTGTTCAGCTGATGACTGAGTAACTAGGGCAGATATCTTACACTACAGATGAAACTATTTGTTCGTGTGGTAATACCTGCTGCTTCTGTCTGAGAAGGCAGGTTGTAATATGTTGTGTTATTTTTTTCCTTTTGATAGAAGGAGTCATAGGCAACCTGAAGATGAAGTGGAAAAAAGATCAACTTGGCTTAATGATAGCCAGGAAGTGAAAAAAGATGATCAGTCTCAACTGAAAGCAGGCTTTCCAGTTTCAGTTCAGAGCATTTCTTCGGGTCATAAAAATCAGTCTGATATGAGCAGGAGAAGAAACTTTGATGAAGAGTCTTTGGAGAGTTTTAGTAGTATGCCTGATCCAGTTGACCCAACTACTGTGACAAAGACATTTAAATCTAGGAAAGCTTCAGCTCAAGCAAGCTTGGCATCAAAAGATAAAACACCCAAATCAAAGAATAAGAGGAAGAGTTCTTCTCAGCTGAAAGGCAGAATTAAGAATACTGGTAGGTTGCAAATAATCTTATATGCTGTGGCAAACTGAACATGGATTATAGTCACTGCATTCCAGAGAATTTACTATCCATAAGTGGTATTTATAATGAGTTCTTGAAATACATGTTACTGAAATAGGAATTCATTTTCGTGACACAATTACAGTAAAGTTTTTGAGTATTTCAGCAAATAAAACCATAAATTATTAGGAATCCTGATTTGAGTGCATAAGTGGGTACAGATGCAATAAGAGGTGAGGTGCCTTCCTCTTCATTAAGTCTTCATGTTCTGACTGGATGACTTACTGAGGGAGGTATTTCAGTAAAATACGGAATCAGCCTAGAATGAGAGGGACACTACTAACATACATATTACTGCTGCAGTCATTGAGAATTTAGTGCTGCTGTATCACCTCAACAAACAAGGAAAATCTGAAAGATAATTGTTTTTTCATTTTGAAATTGCCCTTGAACCTATGTATGGAAGTAAGAAGACTCTTTGTAATTTCCCTTTCCACTTCTTCCCATAAGGTTATGACAGTGCGAGTGCTTCTAGTGTGTGTGAACCCTACAAAAGCACTAAAGGTAAACACTCTGAGGAGGTTGTTCATGCAAAGGTGTTCAGCAAGAAGAATCGGGAACAACTGGAAAAAATAATCAAATACAGTAGATCTACTGAAATGTCTTCAGGTATTCTTTTCTGAATTTCAGTAATTGTTGTTGTGTAAACTTTGTGTAACTATAATTAGTTATGACTTTATTGCTTAAAAGTAGTATATTCTGACAAAACAGCAATGATACACTTTAGCATATGTGGATTGTGCTTTTTAATTTCTAAGGTTACAGTAAACGTAAATGCATGTGATGTTTGAGTACTGACTGATGTTGTGTGTTTTCTGTAGATTGGGTACTTGATTAAAATATTTAGAAACAAGCTTTAACTTAAGACAGACAAAATCCTAGTTGATCAAAAATATTTCTTATTTGTTGGCATTTCTATGAACAGCAGATGAAACTGTTTACCATTTTAATGACATCTGGTACTGCATGCTTGTTTTCTTTGTGCTTAAAGAAGCTTGATCAAGTATCATTCAAATTAAATCATATCATGTAAACCCTTACATTTTTGCCATCTGCACTGCTTTTCTCGCATCCGTGTCATAAAAATACTCTCTTTTGTCTTTTTAGATTCTGCCAGTACCTTGTTTGAATCATGCAGATATTTTAGTCGTAGTAGCATGATGTACAGCTTTGTCAATGTGACTGTGTCCACGCTGAGAGCTGTTTATTAGTGTTTATTATATAAACTTTGCTGTTAAGTTTTCACAATAAGCAGCGATGTGGTTTGGATGATTAAGCAGTCTTCCTCCTGCTGTTTTGTATAGACCCTGTCTTAATTTCTGGTGCGCGTTTTTGTGTTTATCACTGTCTATCCCCACTTTCCTACAGCACATGCTAGGAGAATTCTGCAGCAGTCTAACAGAAATGCATGCATTGAAGCACCAGGTAATGCATTCATTGCTTAGCTTCAACAATGTCCTATTATTCTCCCCTGCTGCCTCCTGCCTCCCTTAGCTTTGGTCCTGTTGCTCAGACTGTTTAGCAGATGTTCAAAACTAGCACAATTGCAACAGCTTCTCTATAAATGAAGCAAGAGGGGCTACTTGTAATAAGCATGGAATGCAACAACACAAGCTGCCTTGAATTATAGTTGCAGATAACATGTCTGTCGTGTTCACAGTCAGTCAAAATTATGCATGGAAAATAGGGTCTATGACAAAAAGTAATTTAAGTAGGCATTTGTAATCTGTAGTTACAATTTAGTAATGGGCAAGGGGAGCAATCTTTAGTGTTTTATTACAGACTGAAAAAGCCTGCTTCTGTGGCTAAAGCTGGTATACTATTGGCAGATAATCAAATTTTACAGTAAAATTTTCTGTACTGCTGATAATTTAATTAACTTGAATACTAACAAATGTGCATCTGTTAAACTCTGAGTTTTCCAAATTTTAACTTTGTTTTTCCATTCAACACTTGCCAAAGTATGTTTGTATTAACAGAAGAGTTGTGTGTGTGTGTGTGTGTGTGTGTATATAAGGATGATACTTTCAATTCTTAAAGGAATTTGAGACTTAGTAGGAATTAGAGCTTACTAGAACATTGTGTTCTTGTGAAGTTGGTGCTTAGTGGTAACAGGTTTTGTATAAATATCAGAAGTGCATGGAAATATAAGATTTATGTGTGGGAGGTGTGGGAAGATTGAGACCTTTGTATTTCTTAATTGAAATGCTTTCAAAGTCTGTGTTCAGCACTGAATACCTTTCAGAATTGAAAGCAACATCGTGGTGTGTGCAATATTCTATTCAATAAGGAATTCTTTCTTAAGATACTGTTTGGAACTGTCAGAACAAAGCGTGATTGATACACATACTGTATGTTTCATACTTACAGGATTTCAGAATTATTTTGTTATGTTCAAGTCCTTATTGCCTTTAGGAGATGTGTAAGCTTTAGGAAAGTATCTGTGTAACAGAGATTTAATTCTCTTATATAACAAGCAGGCTTTTTTCAACTAGACTAGTGTCAAGAAATGATCTTTTGATGATTTTTTATTATTATTATTCCTTGCAGAAACTGGTAGTGATCTTTCTATGTTTGAAGCTTTGCGGGACACAATTTATTCTGAAGTCGCAACTCTTATTTCTCAAAATGAGTCTCGGCCCCACTTTCTTATTGAACTTTTCCATGAGCTACAGCTGCTAAACACAGATTACCTAAGACAAAGGGCCCTATATGCTTTACAGGTATGCACAAACTTTAGAATCTTGTGTATCAATTGAAGAAATTGTTGATGTTCTTTTTACAGTACAGTTATTTTTTTCAGGATATAGTGACCAGACATTTATCTGAGAACAACGAGAAAGGGAAATATATAAAATCTCTAAATACTGCAACATGGATAGCATCAAACTCTGAACTCACTCCCAGTGAAAGTCTTGCTTCTACAGATGATGTAAGCTTTCATTTCAGAAGCTAGTGCACTGTCAGCTTTTCCTGTTTTCAATTTATGTACCAAAATATTCATAGTGGTGACTGTAATTGTCAAAAATTTGTAAAAGCCTTTTGCATGGTAGAATTCTTTACACTAAAAATCACTGATGTGTAAGGGAGTAACATAACATGGAGAACAGTATGGACAGTATAAATTGAAAACTGATTTTCAAAAATAGCCAGTATCTTGTGAATAAGGTCAGGGCGAGTACTGATTACAGGGTTCCCAATGAATTTATTATTTTTGTTTAAAAAACTAATAAGACCTTCACCTAGTTTCCTATTTGCTTATAGTTGAAGTATTTGAAAAAAACATGCTAGAATTACCTGTTTTCAGGAGATAAGACAGCCTGGTGACAAGCCCTTAATATCTCAGCATGTGGCTAAAAAAGTTGCTGGCTCATTCTCACATCTGTGAGAGTATGGTGCATCTCTGCTTTTACTCAGCTGATGAATATTTTTTTTAGGAAACGTTTGACAAGAACTTCCCTACAGAAGCATGTCAGGACTGTGAACAAAATGATGCAGACAATGGGAGCACTATGTCTACATCTTCACATTTTGAACCCTTTGCCACTGATGACCTTGGTAAGAATTGTGTGATTTATATCACAAGTATTATCCCTTCACCTGCTCTCCAGAAATGACTACATTCATCTACTCGAATAGTGTACTTTCATGATCTAATATGTAACCACAGGTTTTAATGCAGCATTTTGAGCAATTAGACACTTGATGAAAGTGTGTGTAAAAGAACATAATAGCAACTGTAGTTGTGTAAATTTCAAAACCTACAGCTTTAAATTTTTATTGTTGTATTCTTGTCTATCCTTTGAAAACTTCTTATTTAGATTAAAAGATGTTTTTATTCTAAATATAGGCAACACAGTGATTCACTTAGATCAAGCTTTGGCTAGGATGAGGGAATATGAGCGTATGAAAATTGAAGCTGAAAGTACCCTTGGCTCTGAGGGCTGCTCTAGTAATTTTCAGGGTGCTACTGCTGCTAAATTAGAAGGTATGCACATATATACATATTTTACTTAGTTTTAGAGAATAATTATTCTAAATATCAAGAGTAATTTAATTGGCTGAATTGTTTTCTTCTTCCTTCATATTGAAAACAAAGTTTTGTAGGTTCTTAATGTACTTGAGTAAATATGATTTATTCTAAGAGGAAAATATATATTTTTGAAATTGATATTTCTTTAATAGTAATGTTAAATGACTTAGATGTGTACACTTTTTTTTTTAATGAGGTCCCAGCACGAGTGAATGTCTTTCTGTGCCACAGTCAAGTGAAGTTTCTGCTGTCCCATGTCCTCGCATAGACACTCAGCAGCTTGACCGGCAGATTAAAGCAATTATGAAAGAGGTCATTCCTTTCCTGAAAGTAAGAACTATTTTCAGTAGTGTGTACTAGAAAAACAGGAAGAGGAGCTGCACACTTGCATAGAATACTGTTGTTCATATTGAATTAGTAGAAAATGTGATAGCCTTTCCATGTTTTAAGACAATAAAAGTAGCTTTCAAATGTTAGTATTTTGTCTAGTGTGTTCTAAAGCAGGTATCTTTGCTTCCATTTTGTACCTATATGGATATATTTCAGTTTTTGAAAGGCAGGACCAAAATATTGGATTTATATTTGAACGAGTTTATTAAAAAAATTAAAGTTGTTACTATTAGGATATATGGTTACCGTCAAATATCTTTCAAATTTCCACTTCTGTATAAAATTGTATACATTTCTGTATATAACATTTTATACACTTCTGTATAAACACTCATATCTTAGCAACAGCTGCCAATATATACTGAGTTGCAGACATTGCTGAGAAGGAAATAAGGATTAAATACTCCAGTGAAGGAAATGGTAAGGCTTCTCGATTGCGCAGGGCTGGTGGACTTTTGTCTCGTGAACAGAGATTTTTGTTTGTAGCTAACCCAATTGAATAGAAATATTTGAAAATGTATTTCTGAAATACTTACTCAGGAGAACTGAGGTAATTTTAACTCAGTCTGTTGCATATGATGTGACTTGAGATACTTTTGAGAAACAGCTAAGTTGTTGATTTTCATCTTTTTGGTGTTTAAAATATCTCGGTATTTGAGATGATTAACTTCTTAAAGTGTTAACAAAGCTCATTCTGTAATACTTTTTTAGGAACATATGGATGAAGTCTGTTCTTCTCAATTACTGACATCAGTAAGACGTATGGTCTTGACTCTTACACAACAGAATGATGAAAGTAAAGAATTTGTCAAGTTCTTTCATAAGCAACTTGGCAGTATTCTTCAGGTTAGTAATTTTTAGTTGGCATTTATGGTACCAAATTGTTTAAACAAGATTACAAACTATTATGTACTTAACTGATTTTTAACAGTATGACAGTGTTTGAGGCATGAAAGCTTGTTTTGGAAACTGAAGATTTATTTCTTTTCACAGGATTCCCTGGCAAAATTTGCTGGTAGAAAATTAAAAGATTGTGGGGAAGATCTTCTTGTGGAGATTTCTGAAGTATTGTTTAATGAATTAGCCTTTTTTAAACTCATGCAAGACTTGGACAGTAACAGTATTTCTGTGAAGCAGAGGTGTAAACGCAAAATAGAAACTACTGAAGAGATACAATCTTATGCTAAAGAGGTTTGTCTTCTTTCTTTCTTTCTTTTTTTTAGCTTGGCTTTTCTAAGTTTCTTAAGTATCTGTTTCCCAGACTTTATATATGAGGAGTGGTGTTTGTTTGCTTTAACAAACCATTTCTGTGTAGTCATAGTATTGATTGTGTAGAAACATGAACTGTTTTCCTCTTTAAGGGAGATTTCCTGTGTTATAGTTTACTGTCTGCCACATAAGTTTAACTGTGTAGACTTTGATTCAAGGGAAATGGTATATGTGTGCATCCAGCCGTGGGATAGTATTAACATCTGTCATCAAGTAGTCAAATTTAAGTATTTTAGCATATGAATGTACCACATCTCTCCATCTCTTCCTACAGCTTCCCTTGGAGTAGTTTAGTCAGCAAGCGTCTTTTCATAACATCTGTTCTAGCTTGGTAGTCATGAAACAGTTGACTTGTTGGCATATATAGGAAGTATGACTATCTAGAATTAGTGTAAAATTTGTCTTCAGAAACACATGAGAAGATGCAGAATATGAGTGTATATTCTGCACTAACAATGCTGGTTTTGGTTGTTTTTCCCCACTTCAGTACTGTAAAGATGTGTTGGCATTTCTTAATTGCAGTATTGCAGTTTTTAGGAACTCATTTTTAGTTATGAGAACTGTTCACAAAGGAAGCACTAAAACAGATCATGTTCATGTAGCTCTTAATTAAATCAGTATCTCAGTGTTTTTTATTGCGTAATATAGTTATGACTTAAGTGTCCTTTCAGTCTTCTTTTAGAAACACAAATAAAAATCCCTCAATTCGACAGAAGTTAATGTGAATCTGCCATGAGCTTTGAAGTCCAAGTAGCTTAAAGCATAGCATCAGCTAAACTTAAGTATACCTCAACTTAGACATACTAGTACTGTACCTACTAGGAGATTGGCTTCTTTAAGGAAGTCTATAAGAGATGCTCTGAATCCAGAGGGATTTGGGAATGATTTCCTATGTTATGTGGATTATTTCTTTGTTACATGAAGCACTGGTTTACCCCATACCATAAGAATGCATGGAGGCAACTTAGATCTGGCATTTCTTTTATTCTCCTGAATTGGGATTATGGTCAGTGCTTGTGTTGCTGCTGAAGTGTAAGTTCAGATTCAGTGGAGCCAGAGGTGAGCCAGAACTGGCAGGTCCTGGCTGTTCTGCACAGATCCATGTAAATACCTCTATATAGCTATTCAGAGTTTTCAGATCCAGGATCCTGAGGCACATCTGGTTTTGCTCTATTTTGTGGCTGTCTTGAGTCCTGCAAAGTAACTGGTTTTAGATTCGATGCTTAAAAATATAGCTGGCTGTCTTGATCAGAGCTGGCATATTTAATTCCATAGCTTAATTATGATTTAACCACAGACTGGAGAAACAGCATGTATAAGCATTCTTTTTTTTATTATTTTTTATTTTTAAAAAGACCAAGCATGCTTATAATGTTTTGTGACACTTAAATTATGAAGATGTCTATGTAAACATCTCATAATACAGAATTCCTTGTTGCTTTCCACTGTTTTGACATAGCAGTTCTTGGTAAGACTGGCATTTCTGGTAGCCTTCCAGGAAGCTTTAGTTTGGTTCAGTATTTTTCTGAGTTACTTCAATCTAGAATTGAAGACAGTTTGTATTTCTTCTAGGCAAAAAAAGGTCTCCAAGTGGATGTTTGTTCATCTACTGAAGATATCGATGAGGACAAAGTATGTTTATGCTTCTCATCTGTGTTTTATTCCTTAGATAATTTCACAGTTCACTTAGTGTTTTCTATCATATAAATCCAGAAGCTATAAGCAAACAATTTCTTAGTGTTTGTGAATTTATAAAATATCTTGGTTTTTATCTTCTTTATGATATTTTCAGTGGTTTACTTCATTGAAGTAAATGAACTTTCTTTTTTTAATTGAGTTGACAGTATGGAAAATGACTACAAAAAAAAAATCTGCTTTCACCAGTTACTCTATTGTATGCCTTAGTAAGCATAACTTGTATATTGTCTCCTTAGTTATTGCCAGTGTAAAGACTGATGCATTTCTTATAAAATATTATCTTTTTATCTTTCAACAAGTGTATTGAGATCAATAAAGACAGATAAGCATCTTTAATACTGCTAATTGGTGAACTTTTGTGTAGAATGAGTTTTACTTTAAAAGTGATAGTTTGAGTCTAAAAAGAACAAAGTTAATATTGAATGCAGTGCAATTGGAGTGATTTGTGTTACGTCCTTATTAGCTTTAGGCTAGGAGTTTTCTTTATTAGTATTCTTTTTTCTATATTATAAAACAGCTATGAAAGTTTTCTTTTTTCTTTTTTAATAGGATTTGATCTGGGGCTGTTCCCCCTATTCTCACTCAAAGCATTGAGAATTTAGTTATTCCTTTATTCTTTAAGTAGCAAGGACAGTGAGCAGAGATGGTTCTTAACTATTTGTAACAACAAGCATTTTCTTTTTTTAATCTTGCAAGTAATTTTTTCACCTCAAAGAGGAAGGAGATGTTCTGCCTTAGGGCACAGAGTAGTTGAGGTACTGAGTGGCCTGTATGTTCTCCAAGTTAACAAACGTTAGGAGCTAAAATATTTTCTTTTTTTCTTTGTTTCAAAAATCACTTAAAGTCATTGTGTATGGGGAAAGGGGTTGCATTTCAGATTTGTATCCAACCAAGGATAAGATATAGGTGATGTATGAAGTAGTGTTGAAAGCACAGAATCATAGAAACACCCGAGACTGGAAATCGCTAGTTACATGGGAGAAGAGGCTGACTCCCACCTCTCCACAGCCTCACTTCAGGTAGTTGTAGAGAGCAATAAGGTCTTCCCTAAGCCTCCTCTTCTCCAAACTGAATATAGGTACATATATAGACTTTTTGGGCATAGGGTGAGTGATTTCTTCTAGAGCTTAGAGCTTTTGTGATACTACTTTGTAAGGAAAATTGGAAATCTGTGTATCATTGTTTTTGTTTGCTTCCATGCAAAAGATTCCTGCAAGATTTGGAGCAAAACTTCAAGCTTTACTTGGGATTTATATAGAATTTTCTCACTCAAGATATCTAAATATCATTCAGCAGAGGAACTGCTGAGTAGCTGTCAAAGAAATGAGAAAGAGTAGTTAGGAATATTCGTAACGTCTTCTAGAGACCCTTTAGTAGTGGAGGAAAATCAGTAGAAGGGAACAATGCCAGTATTTCTTACTTCTTTTTAATGACTGAAAGAAAAATGTTTAAGACTAGTTCATTGATATGAGCCTTTTCTGATTATTCAGTTGCGTCCTTTCTGGCTGTGTCTGAAGTGTGTGGTCTGTCATAGTATGATCTGATATTGTTTCTGAAGTAGCTTTGTGATACTTGTTTCATGGGTATCTGTCCTTAAACATTAGCTTTTAGTCGGTAGATTTTTTTATTTTTGAGGGGAAAAAGAGGTTGCTCTTTAGGGTGGGAACCATAACTTAATCTTTAGATAAACAAACATGAAATTGCACAGTATTCCTTGTTTTCCTAGGATAAGGATGAGACTGAAACTGCCAAACCAGTACAGGGCTTAGAAACGTATGATGGTAATGAAGTTCCTGAAAGTATCAAGTCTGATGCTTCTGACCAAGAGGAAGATGAAGGAAGTGAGAGTGGCCCACTGGCAATAAGTAAGTGTTTTCTATGGCTCATTATTCAGTGCTTTTACCACAGTTTTAACCAACTAATTTTACAACAGAATTTTTGTTAACAGCTTCTTAGTAACAGCTTCTTTCACAAGTTTTCTAGACAGATCTCTTCCAATAGAAATTCTCCGGTACTGTATTTACTAATACCTTGTTAAGAGTTAGGTGTTTCAACTAGAGGAGCTTTTGCTCTTTGTAATTAGTAGATCTGAGGACAACAGCTCGTGGTTTGGTGGTTTGGTTTTCCTTTATATTTCTATCCTTCACAAAAATTTGTTTAATAGCTGAAATATTTCACATTAACACAGTAGAAAGTGATTTTTTGACAACACAGCTTATGCAGATCATTTGGGTCTTTAAAGTATATCATCACTATAATAATATCAAAGAATACTTTGAAATAAGAACTGATCAGTGTAGTAAATCTCAAAATGGATTTGGATTTGCAGCCATCTTGCTCTGTCAGATATATCAGTGAGAGTTCTTATTTAGAAAATTGAACAAGGTAGATCAGTATGTAATTACAGTATGAAGATGGTTTTATGTTTATTTACCTCTAGGTTTATCAAAAGCAGAAACCCAAGCTCTCACTAATTATGGCAGTGGAGAAGATGAGAATGAAGATGAAGAAATAGAATTTGAGGAGGGACCTGTTGATGTGCAGACATCATTACAAGCGAGCAATGAAACAGCAACTGAAAATGAACAGGTATCGCCAGAGTTGTAAACACAGAAGAAACCTAAGCCATTGCATAACTTTTCAGAAAAGTATCTTCATATAAATCCTTTTTCTTGTTGCACTGTTTTCATATTAGTGTTTCATATGGATGTATTTCATATGTAAATACTTGTAGCATATACTTGCATGTGAATACTGTGAAATATGTGCACGTATTTAATACCAGTTAAGACAAAAACATAGAACAGGTGTTTCTAGCAAAGAAGAGTGCATTAGACAATAAACTATGATAATTGATCAGTAGAATTTGTTCTAAATCATTTTCACCTTCCCCAATAGACTTCAAGCCAGGAACTGAGTAAGACAAAAGGCAGTGATATTTTGTCATCTGAACAACAATCTGTTAATGTTAAAGGTAAGACGAGTATGAAGCTAATTGAGAGATTAACACTTCTGTATGAATTTGCATACTCTGAGAATTACCTCAGACAGTGTCTGATATATGGAACTAAAAGGAAGATGATGAAACTTGCATGAATTTACTAGGCTGTTAGGTTGGTTTTTTTTATGGAACAATGTCATTTAAGTAGATATGTCTGTGTTGATATAGACACAGTAAACCTTCTGAAGAGGAAGCCTGAAGTAATCTAAGTACATAAGTGTGTAACATTTGATGTTTGACATTAGCATGAATTTCAGATAATTGCAGCCACTGACATGCAATTGTAGTTGAGTAATTTGTCTGTTATAGTATTTTGATGTTTGGATTTGTCTGGTGCTGGCTTTTTCCCTCATTCTACCATTTACTAGCAGTTGAAATAATTTTATAGTTTAAATATTTATACTGAGATGTAGCTGATTAAGAACTAAAAAATTATTTTCTGTCAAGACCATTGCCACCAAGTTGTATGGATGTTGCTTCTAACTGTTGATACTGCCTCCTTTCCCTCTGTCTTGCTGTTGAAAATACTAGTATGGTTTGCTTTCATTGCTCATCTGTAGCTATGAATCATGATTTAAGGAAAAATGTGATCTTGTATGCTCAGAATATTTTACTGTCTCTAAACATTAAAAATAAAACTTAAAATTTTAACTTAATTGTGGCTTTAGGTGAACAAGATGCAGCTACAATTTTACCTCATTACCTCAATGTGGTGGAGAACACACCACCGTTAGCAGTGAATACTCCAGAATCGTTTATAACAGCCAGTATGAAAGCAGAAGAATCAAGCTCATCTTTACCAGAAAATGAAACACAAATGCTAGATGCAGCATGTGTAGTAAACAAATCCTCTGCTGGAAGTTCAGAAAGCTCCATGGCTGGCAGTCCTGACACAGAGTCGCCTGTGTTAGTGAATGAATATGTGAGTATATTTCAGTTGACATGCATCTAAAAGAACTTTTTTTTTCATTATTCAGTATTATTTGTAGTTTTCAGTCTTGTACATTTTTCATCTACAAATTTAATGTGTGTGTTTCTGTTTGATGCACTACTTAAAGTGTTTAAAAATCTTTATTTTGAGTAAAAATAAAACAGTGGCACTAAATGTCACTGTTTTTATTAACAGGAAGCTGGTTCTGGAAATAGTCAAAAATCTGATGAGGATGACTTTGTGAAAGTTGAAGACCTGCCCCTTAAACTTGCAGTCTATTCAGAGGTATTTTGCTGAGTTTTGTTGGATTATGATTTAGAAGTGTGTGCCCTATATTATCTTACTTATCAGGACAGCAAAAAGAATTAGGCAGAACTGAGTTTTGTTTTATCTGTTATAAAGGCAGATTTACTGAAGAAAATAGCATCAGAGGCCCAAACCAACAGCTTGTCAGATGAATTATTGGATGGAGGTGGGCAGCAAGATCGAGAATTAGTTGGAGATGCCCAGACTCTGAAAGAACCAGGTAAGGATTATGTTCTAAATCATCTCCACGTGTTGGGAAAACATTCTGAACACCGTTAGAGTTTACATATCTTGTTATCACTGACTAAAAATAGAAATCACTGTGGTTCTGATAGAGTACTTTTTTTATCATTACGCATTGGAAAACAATCTATAAACAAAATCTAATGAAGATTTTGCCTTCATTGTCCCTCATATTCATTCCTGTTAGATTCTTTGACTAAACATCATAAAAGTTAACATTTAAATTGTATAGTGTAACTGAAATGTTTTAAAACTTGTAAATCAACATTTAAATTTCTTGTTATAAGCTCGGTTTTAATATTTTACATTTTAATTGCTAGTGTCTAATTCAGTAATGCTCAATATAACTTGTTGGCAGATTGTTCACTGTTTTTTGTAATGCAGAACTTCTACTGAGTTTACAGAATAGCAGAATTTCTCTTTGGGTAAAATAAAATGATTTCTGTTATAAGGAATACTGCAAGTTAGAAAAACTCTTATTTTCATTGTCATTTTCATGAAACTACTTCTGCAACTACAAAAACTTTATGGTAATACAAGTCAATTTATTTATAGTTTAATGTGATACTGATATTGTGAAATGTTATGGTATTGTTGCAATTACCAGAGGTGAGATGGTTGGTGATTTATGGATACCTGATGCAAGTCTCAGAAAAGAGTCAAATATTTGCCTAGCCAGTTTATTATTATAAAAGTTTTGGTTACGTAGAGCTGGGGATGGGAAGTGGGTTGAAGAAAACAATAATAAAAAGATTAGAAAATAAAAGCAAGGGTTTGGTATAGGAATGCAGAGATAGTTAACACCACAATGTCACAATGTTCCATGAGTCTGATCAGCTGCAGTAGAGGGTTGGGGTGCAGATTCTCTCTTTCTTGATTGCAGGCTGAAGGGAAACACAAAAAGGGAAAAACACACACGTATTTTTGTGGAGTGTGTGTCTATACATACATACACACATATATATATATATACATACACACACACACTGTCCAGTTCTTCTTGGGTTGCCTATAGTTGATGGCACATCTGATACAGGTGCAGCATCCAGTTCAGGCTTATCCACGTCAGAGAAGCCAAGGCCTCCAAGCTAATCCCAATTCCTCAAACAACATAAGCTGATGAAAGCATTTCTCCACTGCAGTCATAGTGACAGCATGGAATCTTCCAAGATAGTGCGAAGATGCATCTTCCATTTCATACACTGCCCATCACCATTTTACTTGTCCTGACTGTGCTAGTAGAAGTCCATTGTTTAAATCTGGTGAATATGAATGCGGAAGCCTGATGTAAATACAGTCTGGATAAAAACGCTGTGCCACAGAAAATCTGTAGCCAGCAACTAAGACACTGTTTATCTATGTAAGTGGGATGTATCTGTAGCTTTTTTTTTTTTTTTAAGTAAGCCATGATTTAAAGTACTTATGAAGAAGAGGCAAGGATCAAATATTTCTTGTAAGTATCCATTCTTGATCATATTCTTTATTGAGTTGAAATGTGGTTAGGGTTTTGTCTGATGCTTTGTTAGCTACTAGACAATAATGAGTATATTCTTTATTTTACAGAAACTTTTGGAGCTCTAAGTGCATGAGAATAATCTGAAGATACCTGCATATGTAAACTCTATACAAATGCGTATGGAAGATCAGCACTAATTTCACAAATTCTGAAAGTGTATAAAAATGTAAAATAGTTTTTGACACGCTGCCTCTTAGAATAGGTAGGCTAACTTCTGCCTGTGGCAGTTTGAACAGCTGGAACTGAAACTTCTTTTATTCAGTTTTGCTGCACTGTTCTTTTTCTGTCTTAATCTTTTTTATTGTGACTTGTTTAGTAATTTTAAACATTTGTTCAAAATTGTAGTTTTAAATAAAGTTTGGACTTGTCTGTAAATTTGTCTTTTGGAAAAATTTCCTCAGACTTATAAAATGATGTGAGGAGTTCGTTGGAAACTAACTGACCTAAGTGTTCATGCGTTTATAGTTTGCTGGTCCTGTTCAGAGAAATGCTGTTAGTTTTCCTGGGAGAAGAGACTTTTGTCTCACTGTTTCTCAGTCTTCTACAAGCATGACTTGTAGATAGTCTGCATCTCCTCCTTGCCTTATAGCCTAAGTGTAGCTGGCCTGTAAAAATTACTCTAGTTCATGGCCTGTAGAGTTAATGTCTGTCAGCACATTTGTCTGAGGTGAAGTAGATACCCTGTTTTGTTCTTAATTGCAGAAGACATCTATTTTTTTTTTATTATTTTATTATTTCCAGTTCTTTATTATTTCCTTTTCAATATGAAACAGGATAAACTTAGCTGAAAATTTTAATATCCTTTCACATGTGACACTTAAAATTGCTGTAAGTGGATACCTGTAAAATTTTTTCTTTAAGTATTTAACTTTGTGAATGGTTTTTGGATGTAAAAAGGAAGATGTATAGAAAATTACTATTAAAGTTACCGTGTATTTAAAAAAATTAATAAATAACAAAAAAAAGTTTAAGTTGGCACCTAATAAAGTCATGGCAAAGGCAGAATTAGGGTCATAGAAAAGTAGATTGAAAACTAAATCAGAATAAAAATTTTATTTGCTCTTTCATATTCCTACTTATATCAGAATTCCTAGTAACAGGAAGTCATAAAGTTGAGCTAGAAATAGTTTATTCTGTATATTTACTGCAGTGTAGTGATCCGGTTTGCCGTTTGTTAGGACAAGACTGTTTTCAAGGCAGTCAAGAAAGTAATGATTACCTTAAGTTCAGAATTTGCTTCCTTTTTGTTAGTATTACAATATGGCTATATGGTACGGAAGACATTTTAGTAGTAGCGAAGGTTCAATATACCCAAAATAGCATGAACTTTGAATAAAATGAGTGTGATTGTACTGTGATTTCCCTTTTTATTATTTTTTGATTTTGAGCCTCAGCTTTTATGAATGGATTTTGAAATGGCAGATCAGAGATAAGAGGTGATTGTAAAAGCAAAATTATACATATTAAAAGGTTTAAAGACAATTTTAGTTACTGTGCAGGCTTTAAAGTCACTGTGATGCTGCATGTAGAGGACAAGGGAAGTGCAGTCACATTGCAAGCTGGTGAAAATGAAACAAAATGAAAGATTTTAATCACTAAATGAACACCAGAATTGGTAAACCTAAAAGAGGACATAAGCTTATTTTAGGCAAAATATTGTTTACACATGAAATGTTAACATGATGTCAGGAAACATCATGAGCACAAAAGGTGAGCATTTAATAATGCTACTTATGAATAATACATTTTGATGGATTTGCCCTGCTCTAGTGATGAAATTTTGAGCAAAAACTGTGATTGGATTCTGTGAAGATTATGAACACTTGAGACAAAGGGGTAGTACAGGTGGGCCACTGGCTTTGCTTTGATGAGAAATCAAATTGCAATTGAGAAAGTGTGCATAAAATCCATTGTAACTTTGGAAAATGAGGCAATGCTTGGCAACATTAGATAAAATTGCAATTATAATTGATGTTGAAGCAGAAAATTATCCTCCAGGAAGGGTGATCAACTATAATAGATGTCAAAACTAAGAAAGGATGTCTAGATGGATTGGTTAAATAATAATCAGTGTATGCCATAATGCTCATAGAGAATTATGATACTGCTGCAGGGGGCATAGCAGGGAACAATCTTTCAGGGTCTTTACAATAAAAGACCTTGTAGTCAGGATAGCTCCTTGTAGAGGGGCTTGCCCTAACAGCTTCAGGAGCAATAAGGAAAGCTGATAGTGCACAGTGTAGGTGAAGTCTTTAGCTGCAACTTCAGGATTAAATGTTCTGTTTCAAAATCCATGGAAGGAAATGAGTTGTTTTTGGTTGTGAAAATAAAGTTGATGATAGGAAGAATTGACGTTCACTGTTTTCAAATGTGAAACTTGTCACAGAGTAACTCATCCACTATTGAAGAAAACTTTCAATAGTAGATGAGTTAGGATCAGAGGGAAATTCTTTACAGAGAGAGTGGTGAGGTGCTGGAACAGACTGCCAGGAGAGGCTGTGGATACCCCGTCCCTGGAGGTGTTCAAGGCCGGACTGGACGGGGCCCTGGACAGCCTGGTCTGGTATTGAATGTGGAGGTTGGTGGCCCTGCATGTGGCAGGGGGGGTTGGAGATTCATGATCCTTGAGGTCCCTTTCAACCCTGGTCCTTCTGTGCAAGTTACTCTGTGACAAGAGTGAAGCCTCTGCCATTCTTCTACCTCTGACACTTTAAGTCAAATTCTCTTCATACTAATCCATCTACCTTTGATATTCCTTTCTTCACACATTCTCTCTTCACAGAATCCTAGAATAAATGAGGTTGGAAGGTATCTTTGGTGATGACCTTATCCAACCCTTTTGCTCAAGCAGGGCCACCTGGAGCCTGTTGTGTAGGACCTCATCCAGACAACTTTGAAATCTAGAACACAGGAGACATTACAACCTATAGGGAAACAGCACTTGGTCACCATCAGAGAGAAGAAGTATTTCCTGATGTTCAAACAGGTTCCTCTACTTCAGATGCACTCTCATATTCTACTTTAATTATTCCTTGCTAAAATAGTATATTTGCCAAAGGAATTAAGCTGTACTACCTTATACTCTGATATCCATACTTCTACTCTTATGTAGTTCCAGTCAAGTAGAATGTCTTTCTTTCCAGTAGTATTAGAAAGAATCTCAATAAAAACAAGTGCAGAAGAGTATGAATGGAAATTTCAGCTTGATAAACTCCTTGCATAGCAATCTGGACTAAAATGAATATTACAGTACACTACCTATTATAGGCATCTTGAGGGAAAAAAAAAAGCACAAAAAGGCAATTGCTGGGGCTAAATGGCTGCCTTGCAGCTCATGCCTGCTGTACAGCCTTCTGTAAGGAAATAACAGTGAAATGGGAACAGACGTTTTTTGAAACTGTTCACAGTTCTGAGTTTCATTGTGCTGTTATCCCCCTTAGGAATAGCTGTATGGAGCAAGAAGTGAAAAGCATTTTTAGGTTTTTTTTTTCCCATTTTGTAATTTTTAAGATGAAAGTTAACATACCAGAACTGATTTTTCTTCTATTGCTAACAAAATTTAGTAGCAACTCTTCAAACTGAGGGAAATTGCTCTAATGTATTACTACTGCATATGAATGACCTGCAAGCCAATATGTAGGAGAACGTACTGATACAGAGTGAAACCAAACCTTATTAGAATTTGACTCACTTTTGCAAATTCTAGGAGGAAGGAACTGTACAATCAATAGGTGTACAGAGGTGTACAATCAATAAGTACAGAGGTTTGGCTAAGTAGGATTATAGTGGTGGAAAGATAATAAATGAAAAATGTTCACAGATGTTATAGGCTCTCCAGAAAGAGATCCTTTGTCAGTGTCAGTCAGTATATAAATGTAATCTAGGAGAGGTGGAGCCAGGCTCCACCCCTTCTGGTAGCACAGGTGAATTGCCTTCACCCATGCTCTTGCAGCTGACTCATTGCTTGCCTCAAGTGGTCAATCAGAGGTTCAGGCTGTGATCAACAGTTCCCATACAGGTACATTGACTGATTTTTTTTTTTTTTTAAACAGATTATGACATTGCTTTTGAAACTTCATTTTAATCAGATCACAATATTCAGTTGCATTTTGGAATTATTTATGCTGCAGAATTACTGATTAAAGCATTCACAAAAAATCTAAGCACTAAAATAACAGAAAACCTATAGTAACTTTGGGCTCTTTTTCTGCAGTGCTAGTGTTTTGAACTGTAGTTACCTCCTACAGTTAATATTTCTTGCTAAGAGAAGGCATCCAAACAAAACATAACTCAGTGATAAATTTAAGAACCTGAGTTAAATAATCAAGCTAACCTTGCCTTAATCCAAACAAAAACTTTACCCATTCTCTACAGGCATGTATATTCAGTGCAATAGTATTTACTCAAACACAGACTGGAACATTTCTTGTCCAACTTTTATATAAGCTTCTCTCTCTTCATTTGTCATGAGAGACACAAGCTCTGGATTTTCACTAATTTCACCATATGTGTAAGGCTGAGCAGCTACCATTAAAATAGGATCTAGTGATTCTTGCTCTTCCTCTTGTTCAAACTCGCTGCCTGCTAATTTTGTTGTTACTGTACTTGCGTGTTTGGCATTTTCAGACTCAGTGTCACTGCCTGATTCAGGTAATTTGCTTTTGACAGCAGGGGCATAGTCCGTGCTGGACAGTGACTTCATGGATTCATGGATGAGAAGAGTCTTGATGATTTCATCCTCAGTGACAGTTTCTTTAACAGCTTCTTCTGCTTCTTCAGAAGCATTTGTTCCTAGCACACGATACATTAGAATTACGAATAGTTTTAGTTACCAGATACTATGTAAATGAAATATTTTTTCCTACTTTGTTTAGCATTTTCTAAAATGCAGGCATTTTGAAGAACTTTCCGCTTTAGAAGTCAATACCAGTGTTACTGCCTGGTTCGAGCCAGAACATTTCAGGACATGGTACTCTGCTTCTGGCTTTAGGATTATCATCTAAAAGAGTCTAAGGAATAATTTTCAGAAACTAAGTTTTGATAGTCGTTAGACCAGAATTGGAGGACTATTGTATATTATGAACCAATTTCACATCATTTTCAATAGGAGAACTACATTTAATTGTAATAAAGCTGCTAAACTATTTGTCAGTGCTCAAAACTTACCAGCATTATTGATGGTAGATGTTGTTGCTCCTTCCACAGTGCTCTCTGACATCCAGATAGGTTGCTCTTTAGTTTCTTTTTCTTTCTTTTTCTTCTTGCGCTCAGAATCTTGGACATCAATAATTAAGTTTTGAGTATATGTATTGCCAAAAGAGGAATGTTTGGTGGCCCATTTTTCAGGTCTACTGCAGGGTTCCAGCATGCTTGAACATACCTTCTGGTCAAAGCTAAATGAAATGTTATCCATTTTGGACAGATTAAATACAAGCAAGACCCTCACTTTCCATTCAAACCAACCAACAAAAAAGAAAACAAACAAACAAACAAACCCCAAGAATCAAGCCTATTAGTTGCCTAGCTTTAACATGTTATCTCTAGTTTTAAATAATTTTCATTCTCCCTTACCTCATAACAAAGGCAAGTGATTCTGAACCACTGATTTTTTTTGCATAATTTCTTTAGTAACACATCTCTAGATAAAAGATACCCATAGAGTAAGATTACTTTATCACGGAAAAGGCTGTGAACTATATTTGCCAAAGGAGAAGTCTAGAATATAACTCCTTAAATAAAGTAACAAAATTAAAGATGTAAATTTATAACAATTTAGAATGCCATAAATAATACAGGCTTCTTCAATAAGGAGTTTCTCATTATGTACAGTCAAAGCAGCCTCTAGATTAGGTATTTCAAAGATGGTACAACTGGAAAGTTGTTGGAGAGGCTTGTAGTATTAGGAGATAAGAGTTATATTTATACCTTTCCGATATCCCTGGGATTGCTGTTGGCTGAGGTTCCAACAAGTCGTATGGCAGAACAGTATCTTCAGTCTCACGCAGTAGCACAAAGATAGGTTCCATCTGCTCATTGAATTTTGCTAGCAAGGTTCGAGCATCTTGCTTAGGCAGTGCTGAGGCATCTTCCTCTACTTCAGTATTGCAGTAAGTACAACGGAAAGTCTCTGCAACATTATCAAAATAGAAAAAAATCTCATGTTCATAGAGTACAACAGATAAGCAGTAGTTTCTTGTTGAGAAATCCTACCTGGACAGTTTCCAAAATACTCTAAACTTTAGTAGCATTTGTTCATTTCATCCAAAGGAATTCGAGTTCTAAATAAAAGGGTTTCTCTCAGGGGTGGTGTGTGGAGGGGTGTGGGAAGAGGAGGAGAAAGACTGTATTCTAATGCTAGTTGTACGAGACAGAAGTACCCATACTGGGGGGGAAAGCTTAGGTTGGTTAGATGTGGAGTAGCATTAGATACTAAGGTGTTTTTTTTTCCTCCTTTTCTGATCTTTTTCTAAGTTCACAAGCATATGAAAAGACATTTGCAAGCATAAAGAGCATCTGCTGGTTTTAGTTCAAAGTTTCACAGTTCAAGAAAGACTGCATTAAAACATATACTAAATCCTACATTTGTGTCTAAATGAAATAATCACCCACCTTCATCTTTGCATTTCAGTAGCACATCATAGTCTCTAGGATGAGAACAAAGCGATAATTTGCCAAATGACAGCATGCTAACTTCACCTTTGAAATTTCAAGTTAGTCACTATAAGTGTTGGTCATTCTCACTGGCTTTGGCATCCTTTCAAGGTGCCATGACCCACATGTTAGCATTATAGCTGCAATTAGAATAATATATTGCATTTTACCTCCTTTTGAACAAGTGCTCTCTAGTTATTTTGATTTCAGGGAAGAGAAACCCCTGGATTCTGATGCCACTTCTGCTATGGATGTGTCACGTTGCCCTATGAGGAGCCTGAACTTCTCTGTTTCTAGTACAGGACTGGCAGAACACCTCTCCTCTGCTGACAGTCTTTGTGGTGGTTATTACAGTAGGTGACTGTAAACTGCTTTATCCATCTTGTACAACTCTTCCATCAGAAACATCAAAGACACAAAGATAAACTTAAATTCAGAGTAGAGTAACATAAACATATATTCATTTCCATACGAGAAAATGGGACTAAAGACAGATGAGTAGTCTTAACCCAGGTAGAGTGTCTGATTCCTAGCAAGGTGAAGCCTAAATCTGGTTCCCAACTCTGGCTCTTACACTCAGGATTATTTTCTCTCGTTTGGCTTATTCTACAAAGAGAGCTTTTACCCTCATTTCCCAGCTTCTTCTTTTGTCCAGGGCTCTTGTCCCATCAACAAACAAGTAAATCCTAACAAATATGCTTTCCTTGCAAAGATTTAATGTTATCACAGTTATTCTTCAAGATAAAAATCAAATAAACGATTAAACACACCTGTAAATACATCAAAGAGTTGATTGACCTCCAGGTCTGTGTATGTGCTAGAACAAGATGGACATTTAAAGGAGGACCTGCTAGTTGAATCTCGCTCATCTGCTTCTATCTTCCTCCGCACATGGTCCAGTTTGTATTTTATCACATCCACCAGCACCTTATAATTGATGTAATAGTAGTTGTGCCTTGTGCTCTTCCCATTAGGCCCTGTTTCAACTCGCATACGCAGCTTCACAAACTTGTCTGCCTTGAGTGTGTTGAGAACAGTGCGCAGCTGTTTGCGTTCGTACTTGAGCAGCTGTAACAAGTCATCCTCTTTCACACAGGGGTAGCGGGTCAGTACATCCACAGCCAGGGAGTACTCTACTCCATAGAAACCCCTCGCTATGTATTTGGCCAGGCGCTTTAGGGCTGCTGGGACTTCTGTGGTAATGTTTTGCTCTTCCATCATGAGTTGTACCGCTGTCAGAGAAAGAAGTGTTGCACAAGTTATGGTAAGCCTTTTTGTTCACTGTCATTTGCTCTTCAGCAAGTCTTCTCTGAAAAAATTAATATAAAATCCTTAATCTGCACCTATGGATGGGGTGGTATCAATAGACAAAGATTAGGTATTCAGATTACAACTGTAGTATTCATAGATTCTGTGAGTTTTTAACACAAGAGGACATCTAGGAAAATAGGTTACAGAAGACAGTATCTTCATGTCTAGGCATGCCTGAAGTACTCGTTTTCACTCATGGCCAGCCATGAAAGTTACAGCTCAGGATGCAAGCCAAGTGGAAAATCTATAGTTTAATTCATAACGACATAAAATAGATGTGGTTCTATCTCCCTGTGTGACAAAGCTACAATGGGTATTTGAGTGCCTTAGTGCATTGCTTACTATGTTTTGTTTTTTTGTTTTTGTTTGTTTGTTTTTTCCCTTGCTGGTTGCGAGGGTCAAGCAAAGGCCTAGAAAAGGATGTTCCATTTTGCCTGGCACTGCCCTCACTCAGCACAGTGTTAGGACAGCCTACTTGATCCAGTGCATCAGAAGGTAGTTGGGGGGGTGGGACAGCACATTGTAGCATGTAGTAAGTTGCCAGCACTTGTACTGACATCCACTGCTGAGGGGCACCTTGCTCAATCCCAGGTGATTGTGCATCACTACGTAGAGCTTGCAGTTACCCTTCAACAGAAATCATAGTTAAAAACAAAAGCTATAATTAAATTTACATTAGGGAGAGCACTGTCTTGTCACTAAATCAAGTATAATCCTGGTAGTCTAAGGCTAGAAACCCAGAAAGAAATGGCACTACCCTGACCTAAATCTCCCACAGGAAGAACAGGGAGCACTGCATTAGGCTGTTCAGGGAGGAGACTGTCTGGGCTTCAACAGGGTAAGGGCCTGACCTGGCTTTGTGGTTTAATGAAACATGAGTTGGACCAGATGGCCTCCAGAGGTTTCATACAACTTAAATTAATTTGGTGTGCTCCAGAAGAATTAATCTGAATGCTAGTAAGGAGACTTTCAGAGTGTCAATTCCACCAATGGTCCACAGACTGTAAGAACAGTGTTTCTAAGATTTTTCATGAAAACCTCAAGAAAGAAGCAACTTATTTTTTTTTTTCCTCCTCTCCAGTTCTGCTTTCCCTTCTTCTTTGTCCTCATCCTCTGAAAAGGCTCAGCCAAACCATCCATCTAACTCACTGGCTCAATGTAGCTGATAGGACTGGACAGATAATCCCTTTCCCAGGTAGGAAAGCACAGGTCCTTGAACTTTTATTGAACTGAGTCTCCCAGAATGAAATCCAATTCTAGCTGCCAGTCAAGCCTTAGCATAACACCATCTGTGTACATTTGTGCAGGTGTCTGCACTGGGGCAGGAATAGCCTCTAGCCAAGTACTTTGACTGTAATTCCATCTCCACCCCTATCCTTGGAAAACTCAAGTCACTGCTTCATTTAGAAAACATACAGGCCTGAGTACAGCAGCTGACCTCAAGCCACTCGATCAGCTGCACTCAGCTGGCAATTTTCATTTCACCACCTGCAGCAAGGTCTCTTTGCTCTTACAGCTGAGTAGGCTTTCTTGTTTTCCTTTTAAAGTCAGGATAAATGTATGCAGAAGAAATAATCTTCGTATAAAGTATATCTGAGAAGCTGCAAACAGCACAGAAGCTGCTAATATACCAGATAGCTTAGATTTTCTGATTTGCTGGACTTCCACATCTGCTCTCTGGTGTTAAAACTCCTCAAATGCTTGAGCAGAAAATGATTTCTGGAGTACAGGAAAACAGATTTCTTCCACCAAAGAATATACTAACTTACGCTGATGATTTATTTCTCTCTCTTTCTGACCTCAGATTTGGAACTTGTTTCTGTGCAGTGGCTTTTGTTCAACAGGAAGGAGGGACAGTGTCCCAGTATCAACTTCAAAGATCAGGAACATGACTTTGAGCATCCTTAGGCTCTGGAGAGCACTGAGCCTTGTCCTTTCTGGCTAATCCACTGACAGGAGGCACTGGGACCTTCATTATGCTCCCTACAGAAAGGGGTCATCAGGTATTTTTGTAATAATAAGGACCAGCCCCAACAAAGAGCAGAAGTGCAGCCTCAGCACCTGATTGGGATCTGATCTCCTGTGGTGCCCTGCAGAGGCATTAGTCTGGGCTAATATATATAAAATAATTTCCAAAGGAACAGGATAAGGAGATAATCTCATTAGAGAATATGTCGGACCTGCATTGTAAACTTGGGGTTTGCTGGCCTATGAATTCTTATGTTTCCTTATCCCAGACCTGTATTATGTACTTGCATAAAATGCAGAGATTTGAATTGCACCGAAGTGTTTCCAAACACCTTAATGTTAATAGCACTTCAAGTCCAGAGTCTTACAACCATGAAAATTATTCAAGAAAAAAAAAAAAAGGAAAAAACCACAATTTCCAACACTCCCAATACCAAATCAACCAAACCAAAAAAACTCAGCACTTCCACAACAAAAGCCATTATCCATCACCCGTAATATAAATACTGTGAATATATTCTGCAAAAATACTGATAAAAAAAAAACCCAACACCACCACATAAATATACTGTCAGTTTGCAGTAGAAATTTAGGTATTCAAACTTTTGGTCAAACATAGAAAGCAATGGCTTTCTTTTAACAAGCATAGCTGAATTTCCACTGAATAAATAGCAGGCATGGAAAATAAAACCCAACATTCTCTCCAGCTCTTTGCTATATCTGAGGTCACGGTCTCCAGTCCCCATTGATAAACCTCCTCACCTTCCAATTGCCAAGCCTAGAGGCTCAAAGTTCAGGAGAAACTGCTGGTTTTTAAGAACTGCTGTCTGCAGGCAGCAGATCTCCACTGAGAAGAAATTGAGATGACCCTTATCAAGGAAAGGAGAAGCTTTGCTGCAGAGATAGAAGGGCTTAAGCAGGAATCTGCTCCAGAGCTGAGCTGCAGTCACACTCCAATAAGAGACAGGTATTTTGCTACTTGTATGGATCATTGGGAAGTAATTTTTTTTTCAGTTGGTAGCACATATTGACAGATACCTTTGAAATCATGGCCTAATTTCTACTGTTAGGCACTTTTGAAGCACTTTCATGAGGGTGGGATCTACTTTTTTTTTGACCACTTTGTTATTTTAGATGCAGGAGCAGTTCTTCTGTTTGTGGAGCTATTATAGCTTCATAAGAGAAAATACACCACTTTGTTTTTGCCATAAGCAAGAAGAGGAACTATCTTTCAGACCATCCTTTGTTTTGGAAAACCTGCACAGAATTGCTTGCTGTGTTAACAAGCAGTTATCAAAAGTAGCATTTCAAGTTCACAGACATCACGCAGAGCAGGTTGTACAAGGCTGATCTGCAGCCACTTGCTTAGTTAACCTTCTACTTGAAACTGTCTGAGCAGACAAGCTATGCATTTTTTTTCTTTTAATCAGACTTTTACTTCAAAAGCTCTGAAGGAGAAAGATTTATTAAAGTAGTCTTTTGTTAAAATTAATATAATCACATTATTTGCAACTAAGTTAAAAACTTTTATCATTACCTCCTTTGTATATGCAGAAATCTCCAGGCTGCTGCTATACAAGAATCATTCATTTCCTAAGAGCTCAAAGTAGCTGCAAAACGAGCTTAAGTATTTCCTAGCCTTTTCCTACACCCTTCTGTGTGATCAGCCCCAATTATCTCCCAGGTGGAGCAAGAGTTCCCAGATCACATTTCATTAGGAACTGAATGAATTCACTCTCATACACATTGCATCACAATAAAGTTACAAATCTGACTGCTCAATGCTAAGTACCTACAACAGATCAGGACAAAAATTTTAAGCGAGTGCAATCTCTGATTAGTGTTTTCATTAGCATGACTTTACAAGACTACAGGTAACATGATAATTAACTCATTTTTGTTGTTGCAAAACAAAAACATAGCCTGGATAATTTACATAATTTGTGCTTAGGAGCTTTCATTGAAAATATTCAGAAAAAAATAGAATACATATGTTTAGCTTTTGTGGTTTTGGCATGTTCTATTTTAGGTGGCTTCTGGTGTCTTCAAAGGAAATGAAAAATATTTTTTCACTGTATTTTTTCTCAAGAAGATAAAGTTATACTTTTATTTCCTTCTATGGTTGAGAAAACCATGTTTAAAACAAACACTAAAATAAGGCTGCCAGACACTCTTAGGACTGTAATCATCAATTTGATCTCCAATCTGTCTATCATGTATCTGTGCAATGGAGGCTGGAACCTTGTGTTACATGATGTGTGGTACTGTGTGTTAAATTTAAAATTTAGAACAGTTGAGCAGGTGTATGTTTTTTCATACTGTGGTTCTTGAACACACTCCTTTGTTAAGATGTTCCATTAGAACATGCAAAGGTGCAAAACTGCATGATGGTACTTGTTGTGTTTTGTCTGTGGGAAAGGTTTATAATGAGTAATACCTGTGGTTTCCTTGCTAAGTGTTTTCAACAGGGAAAGTGCTCTGTAACCTAAGTTAGTAAGTGTGGAAATATGTGCTCTGTAACCTTAGTTATTAAGTGTGGAAACATGGCATGAAGACATAAAACAGCTTTCTAAATTCAGGAGTGCCATGGTTTAGCTGGTAGCACTGCTCTCAGAAATAGGAAATCACAAGCACCTGGGCATGCTGTGGCTGATAAGGAAGGCTTGCTGAGTAAGGACATCAGCCTGCATATAGTAGAGGTAAGTGTGCACAGCAGGGGCACTGCTCAGCCCTGTGCCTGTATGGTGGTGGGATTCTGCTATGTCCCCTGTTGCGTGCACACTCAGAGAAGGAGCAAAGATTGTAAGCAAGTTAGTAATAAAAAAATGTGGTTTGAGTGTTTCTGAGTTCTGGCACTGAGGACCGTGGGAAGCAGGATTTGAGCTATTAAGTTGTTGTGCAACGAAGACATTACTGAAAGCAGGAGCTTGAGACACAGATAGGCAAAGTTGTTTGGTTTTGTTTTAGGCCTGTTTACACAGTTGTGACATTTGTGTAGAATGGCTCTGGCATTGTGCTGTGCTTGGGGCTACTTGAGGAAAACATGGCAGGTTGTCAGTTGAGCAGTCTGAGGTGGGAGAAATAAAGAGCATCATCAGAAGTTGAATGAGAAAAGTAAAGGGTTGCTGCTTTGTGGAGCAGGATCCCCATGGAGTAAATGCAGTACGTTTTCCCTGTGGTTGGTGCACCTGGCCTTGCAGGCGGTTGTGATATATACCTTGGTCAAACATGAGCTTTACAGGTTGCTTTTCTTCTCTTGGGCCACCAACTGCTATTCTGCCTTCTTCTGGCGTTCTGCTCCATTCTATATCCTTCATGAGAGCTGGTACTTGACTCTCCCTTAGTTTATAAAACAAAATCTCTAGCCTGTACCTTCAAGTGCTGTGAAATGACAAAACACTAAGATGCTAAGAGATCATATATACCTGCTGTCCCATGCATGCAGTTGTTAATTGCACCATTGCCTCTCTCCTTCCTTGCTGTCCCATAAGTCTCTGCTTAGACAACACACCAGGTGTTAATGTTTAACACAGTGTGTGTGTGAACCAACCAAACCCTGCCTCGAGATGGTTCATTTTCTTACTGGTTTTCTTAAGGTGCTCTCCCCTTATTAATGAATTATTGAATCCACAGTCCCTGAAGGCATGCTGGTATCAAACTAAATCAACTTTTGATTCTTCTCAGAGTAGTGTACATTGTAATCATCCCCACATCCAGGAAGATAGAGGCTTATGCTACATATGAGGTATGAGGAATTTTGATTGGTGATTTTTTTTTTTAATTTTTATTTTTTGCACTGGGTATTAGCCTAACGGAGAAAGCTTAGCAAAATTAAGAGAATGACAGAACTTTAAAAATGGGAAACTCAAAGCAGACTTAATGTATTATGTGGAGTTACGTTAAGTATAACATACTCATCAGAGGCGGGCATTACTACTGGGACTCTTCCACTGCTCACACATAAAGCTTGAGCTCAAAGAAAAAACTTTGCAAAACAAGTTAGACTGAAATGGTATTATATACATTACAGTTAATGTAATCATATCTGATTCACTGTAGTGCAGAAAATGGCCTGAGGACAGAGCTCCAGGTACTCAGGATGCAAACAAAGCAACTCCTTTAGAATTAATTTTGTCTCTTTTAAGTAATGGTGTTTGGGAGCAGATTGAGCTACAAAAGACCTTTATAATCTTTCACAGAATGAGATACGATGCTCTGAAAAACCAGTAGGCAGGCTAAGAGGAATCAGCTGAGTGGTCTGCTTGCTTCTTGATCACAGTATTTGGTCGATTTGCATGTTGTGTTTCCAGACAGTTGTAACAGTTACAGGAAGCTTTTTATAAAAGGCATTATTATGTGGAGACTTCTTTCTAAGACAAGTTGTGGTTTCTGCCACTGCTTTGAGCATTCTTTCTGGCTAATCTTGTTCTTCTAGTGCAAAGGATGGGAGGTTTTGCTGCTTGGAGAGATTTGGTGTACCTTTTTCAACCATGATTCTGGTCCCGCAAAACCAGAACAGCTGCTGATCCTCAGCATAAACAGGTAATTTGCCTGCTGTCACCACTAAATTGAAAACCAAGGTTCTGAGCTTTTTGTTTTGTTTGGGTCTGCTTCTTTTTCCCCCCAGCAGTGGTCTGAGGAGCTGTGAAGGGCAGGCAGGTGTCCATGTGCTGTGAAGGAGAATGAAGTGGGTTGTGGCGCTTGCTTAGAGGTTCTCTGCTGCTCTGTCAATGTCCTCCTCATCGTGCCTGCTTTCTGCAATTCAACTCCTATTTAGTCTTACTCTTTCCTTGCAAGTACTTTCTTGATGTCTGTGGGCACTGCTCTGGAGTTTTGTGTCTAAGCACAGCAGAGCCAAAGAAAGCTGTGTGACTCTCTTGTACTGCTTGAATGAAATATGTGCTTTTCCTCAAACAGAAGCAGAAATTCAAGCAAATAAACTAGAACCTTATTTAAACTTATAAAGAATTAAACTTAAAAGGAAAAAAATACAAATGGTTGATTACTAACCTGGGGAAAAACAAGCTGAAGAATCAGATAGTGCTTTCTGTGGTTGTGAGGTACCTCAACTATAAATGTACAGTACTTGAATATGAAGAAACAGATCTGTGCATTTTTTATTAAAAAAAAAAAAAAAAAATTTTTTTTTTCTTTCTTCAGTGAAATGCCCTTAGCTTTCATGACAGCAGGTAGGGCAGCTGAGCAAGGGAGAGGCAGTAAACTTATGCTAAAAACAAAATGTCTCTACTTATAATAAACAAATGTAACTTCTCTGGCTTGAGATAACCTTTAGAGCAAGCGCTTTCAACATCAAGAGGTGAAGATTAAATCAATAAGCAATTAATAACATTAATCACTGTTGACATCAAGGCAGATAAAGTATGGCATATTTGCTTCCTTTTTTTAATAGCTTTTAATATTTTTGTCAACAGCAGACACACGTATTTAGGCTCTGGATAGATATCCATGGGATTTAGCTATGCACCTGCAATTATAAAGCAATTTCCAGTGTGGAAATGTGAATTCTCTTGCACAAGGGGCATAACAAAAGCACATTAGTTAATGACTGTAAATAGTCTACGCTGTCTTGCTCCATATACTCTAAAGTGGGAGAGGACTAATTAAGGAAGTAAACTTACCACTTATTCTTAAATGACAAAGTAATTTGATTATGCCTCTTATGCAACTAATTCTAAATAGATCTGAACATCCCCCTATCAGATTAAAGTGTGAATGCAGCAGTACTGTGACTTGTTCTTCACAATAGGCAGGTACAGACTGCAGCATGTAACTTGGTTTGTTGTGTGTGAATCATCTGACCCAGAAACTGCATTTTAAACTACACGTTATTTTTCTCCTAATCTAAAATGTGATTTTAGCTTATGTAGGTGCAGCAGACATTACTTAGATGAAAAATAGACTCTGGTAATACAATCATGCTACTGTGTTTCTGCTTGTTTACATTAGTTGGAAAAATATTAGGTATGTAACTAGCGTAGCCCTTTTGTTTTTAAGGAGATTTTAAATAGCGGGATATGGTTTTCTGTGTGGTCTAATGTGCCAGTGCTTTATATCCATTTGAATTTCTTCCTGCTGCACTAGTGCAGCCATTTTTCTATGGCTTAGGACATTAGTACTTCATTTGACCAGATGCCATGCTTCTTCACGTACCAGCTGATAGAGTTATTTGGCAAACAGCATTCCTTTTGTCCCTCTTTCTTCTGCTGTTGATGGAGGGAAAGCTTATTAGAACTGACTGCTGTAAGCTGGTAACATGGTTCTTAAAACAAGAGATGACTAAAGGTTAGTTTTTCAATGCATATTTCTATTTAAAAAAGGACAACAGTACTAATTAAAACTTAGCCAGTCATGCTTTTGATGAAAGTTAACTTTGAATCTCAGATTTATGGGCAATAACTTGTTTCCTTTTCTGTAGACTTGTTTGTGTTGTTTGAAGTTACTTAAAAAAAAATCTTATATTTAGAAAAAATCTTATACTAGATTTTATTGTTTGGAACAGAAAACTGATAATACCCACTGTTCCAGAGCTCTGCACTACAATCTTCTGCTCTGAATATTCTGGTTATCAAGAATCCAGTTGTCATCAACTTACACATTTTAAGTAGACTGCCTTATGCAAGACTGTCACTGCAGATACCAAAGGGACAGCAAACACTTTACACCAAT